TTCCTCTCCTCTAGGAGATTGCAACTTTCTGGTCACAACTTTTGCCTAGCATATCCTTGTCTATACCTCTCCCAGCTTATTACAATATATATCCTAAACTAAAGCAAAGTACAGGCGTACCTTGGTTTACAAACAGCTTAGTTCTCAAACGTTTTGGTTCCTGAATGCCGCAAACCCAGAAGTGACTGTTCTGGTTTGCAAACTATTTTTGAAAGTCGAACGTCCAGCGGGGCTTCCATGGCTTCCGTCCAGCCAAGCTTCCTGCAGCTAATCAGAAGCCGCACTTTGGTTTCCAAATGTTTTGAAAGTCGAACAGACTTCTGGAATGGATTCTGTCTGACGTCCAAGGTACGACTGTACAAATAAGAGCAGGGAACTATGAGTCTCCAGATATTGTTGGACAGCAACTCCCATTAGCCCCAGCCAGCATGGCCAATCAGGGCTGTCTTTAGCAGATGTGGCGTCGGGGTGCAAATATCTTCCCAGTGCCCCCAAATTACCACAAATGGGGGAGGGCAAAGTTGTGCACTGCCAGCCATCGGGGGGGGGCGCAACTCTCCCCCATGTCGCTGCAGGAGAGCAATCCCTGCAGAGGCTTGGGAGGGAAGCTGCACACCTGCCAGCCATATGGTTGGTGGGGCACAGCTGGTGGGCGTGCATGGAAAGGGGAGGCTGCTGGCAAAGCCGCGCAGCTCCCCCACTCGCTGGGGCGCCCCTGAGAGGCCAGCGCCCTGGGGCGACACACCACTAAGCCCTATGGGAAAGACGGCTCAGTGGCCAATAGTAAGCAATGATGGGAGATGGAGTCCAGCAACATCTGAAACACCACCAATTCCCCATCCTGTGTATATATTTATATAATATCAAAAGCTTTTCCAAAACGTTAGCACTGTTGCTGCAACACAGGGCTGAGAGGAATGATGCAGGATCCAATTCCCAGATGGTACTAGATAAACAAGAACTGGCCCTAGAGATAAGTCTTTGTACCTGTAAGTTTTGCTAATTAAAGCAAAGACTAGCTTTGATGGCATAGAACTAGGGGAAAGGGTTAAATCCTATACTTCACAGGTCTGGTTTAGGTCCCTTGAAGCTGTGTTTTGTAAGGAAAAGGATGTCAAGAGTTCCATTCACAGAACTTCCATGCCACATCTAATTTGACTATAATGTCTGTTATGCTACCCAGGAGACAGTAGTAACTGAAAAACAAAGATTTGCCTAACTACATCTGAACACTATGAATCCCAACCCTACCCAACACACACACACACACACACACACACACAGGCAGAGAGAGAGAGAGAGAGAGAGAGAGAGAGAGAAATGACTTAAGCAATTATGCTTGTATTGGCTGATATTCTAAAGTCAAAAATAATTTTGGCTGCTTTTTGTACACTGAACATAAAATCATGGCTCTTTATTAACTGAGTATAGAAAGCCCAAGAAGCAGTAGTAAGTATAAAATAGGGCTGCCAACCAAACAAAACCCAATAAGTAAAAGCCAGGCCTGTTCTTGATCCTTTCATAGCAGCCTGAAGATTTTCACAGCATGGAGATAACATTCTCCATTGCAACTTTAGAGAGTGTTCAAAACATCGAGAACTATACTCAAAAAGTCGCCAAACAGTGGCTTTATAGATCTGTCTTTTAGCTTAGACCTTTTGATATAAATACATTAAGTCTTCAAAAAGCAATTATCTGTTTACTATGCATTGTCCAAAGCCTGCCTTTCTGTAGATTAGTCTCCATGGGGTTACATCACATAATACTTTTGTTGCTGATTTATACCACTGTTGCAAGGTTATTCACACTGCAAAAACATCCATCTTATAACATTATTCTGATATGATCCCACCTACCTGAAACTGTATGTGTGCATATAAATTCAGACAATGTGTCCATATGTCGGTGGGAAAAGAAAGAAAGCGACCTCTGCTGACCAAGTAGTGCTGCTGATTATATTTCTTCCTCCTGCTTTCATTTAAGTAAGCTGTCCAGGAAAAAGAAGCCAAAACTATCTAGGAAATGCTATTGCACACTACTACTGAGTTCAGAACAGGAAATGGCTGCATATAGATTAGGAGCACCATAAAGATAGAACTGCATGGATAATGTAACCCCCCTCCCATGGGGAGATAATCCTGCATGCCACTGCTAGAAGCAACTGACAAGGTGAGGTATATGAAAATTATGGAGGGGTGAGAAATAATATCACATTTTTTAAACATGGCTGCAATCCTGAACATCAAATAGTGGCATCTAAGCACAGGATTGCATTAAAAGTATTATTTCTATAGTCAAATAATTATTATTATGTATAGATTATACATACAATGTAAATTCCTCTTCACCTTTTGTAACGTAAAAATTCTGTCCAAGTAGGCCTTCCTGCAAATCTAGTAGAGATCATGGCAGTAGAATCCAAACATACTCGCTCAGAATGCACAATGTTAAACTCTTGCTTCTTCTGAAAAGCACTGCTTTGCTCAATTAAAAGTAGTTATGTTCCAAAGAAGCAGAATATATTCTAAGCTCTTCAGTGTGCTGAAAGTAGTAAAATGAAAGCAAAACACACTGTTTCTGTTAATGTAGTTGCTCTTTGAGTCCTGAGTATTCACCCTGGAATCTTCTAGTTCATATCTCTGTTTAGATGTCAACTCACCAGCTAGCCTTTGGCACAAGTCATTGTGTCTTCTTAGCTCATCCTCCATCTTTAACAGACACATAATGCTGCTGGTCTACTTTACAGGAGTGTTGTAAGGACTACTAAAATAAACTGTATGAAGAAAAAAAAATACCACATGATATTCATCATGGCTAAAACATATGTGTTATAAGTTTTTGGGGGGGAGGGGGGCCAAGGATCCCTTAAACTCATGGTTGCTAGATCCTCCCCATAATTCCTGGATTTAAGAAAAGTTAGAATTAACCAGTGCTTAGAGCGTTAAACTGAAAGTTAGACTTTAAAGAGCTGGGTTCAGCTTTCCCTGTCTAGGAAACAACCTGGGAGAGGAACCATCAAGGGGAACAAAGCTAATAATGGCCGAGTCATCAAGAACACCATTAGGAAGGTGAAGATTATGCCAGAGAAAGAGGGGTGGGGGTCTTCCTCCAGCTGTGCGTTAGTAGGCAGGAAAAAAAGGGTTTAAAGCAGGGGTCTGCAAGGTTTACCTTGCCTGGGCCGGTTCACTCCCAGCAGAGAGCCCTCCGTGGGCCGGATTGCGCGCCCACGATTTCCCGGCTTCTGCACAGACACAATTTTAGGCATCTGCATCTGTGGAGACGCGATTTTTGGCGCTGCAGAAGCGAGTCCCCACGCCGCGCCACATCGGTTTAGTGCAGCGCGCAGGGACTCGCCGAGTGGACGGCTCGGTTCGGGGGCGGCTCAGGTGCCGCTTAAACGACCTCTGTGGGCTGCTTGTGGCCCATGGGCCTTAGGTTGCCGACCCCTGGTTTAAATGGTGTAGGATTTTAGTTTGGATGGTATGAGCAAACAGGAAATAAGTTTCATTTTCCAAGCTGGGGGGGGGGGGGTATTCCAGGACCGAAGGCTGTATGTCTGTTTTATTCTGCACAGAGGTCAGATACAATGTTTGGGGAATGTCTTAGAATCTGAGACTTTAACAATAAAAGGAAGAGGACCCTCTTGGGATGTGAATGCTCTGAACTCTCTCCATCTAGCCTCAGGTTGTATATATGTGTAAATGAACCATATATCATAAAGACACCACAGTCTCCGCTGTTCCTCATTGTGCAAAAGGAAGCACAGACCCTAGTAAGTGCACCTGCCTGGCACCCCTGGAATCTCACACCACTCAGAGGTTGGGGTGTGATATATTTTTCCTCATTGAATTTTGTGGGACTTGCTTCTGATCATTGTTTATTTTCTTTCATTTTTACCTCATCTTCCGTCCCTCATGAAATCCAAGGCACACAGTGTCTGTTGAAAAATCCCTGCAAATCAGCACACAGCAGGGGAGAAGGCCAGGCGAAAATGTTACTCCTTGACGGGCTTTTTTTCCTTTTTGACTTGCAAGCAGGTTTAACATTTTTGTTTTGTTTTATGGGAAGCATTTAGAAATAGACTTTCACCTGCAGTCTGAAGATGTACGGTCCAGAAAGCTGTCTTCTGATCACATGACCTCCACAATAAATAAATAAATCCTAGGTGCTGTGTAGTGCAGATCAACCATCTGACAACTCTGCAAGAGGCATCTCTACAAGACAACTCTACAAGAGGCATCTACAAGTGGGCTGGACTGGCTATGTCCTGCTGCCTACTTGGCTGCAGTCCAGACCAGCCTGGTCAGGCAGCGGGGATGGAATTCCCAGCCAAGCTGTGTGTGGTCTCAAACAATAGCAGCCACCATACCATATGCAGTGATGACCGCTTGGCGACCGCATCTGGAGGAAAGAGAGAGGAGGAAAAGTAAAACAGAGTGAAGGGAAAGCACTAAAAAGGGAAACAGTTCTGCAGAGCCACTGATCATGGGATGAGCTTGTTTACACAAGGTTTCTTTCCTAAGGGAGGAAGAGATGTAGCAGTGGCACTACATGGCTGCATTAGCTCACAGGCTAGAAAGGCAATCTCATAGAAAAAAAAGAGGAGGGAGGAATCCTGAAACAAGAATGTTGAGGCACCATAGGTGGTTTCACTTGGAAGAATGGGGGAAAGCAGAGAAGTGGGCTTGAATCTGGTGAAAATCCTCCCAACAAGGGAGGGTGGGCCATGCATGTGTAGCATTTTTGGCAAAGTTGTTGAGCTTCTTTTAGTTTTGCTGAACTTTTTTGGCAAAACTGCAAGAAAAAAATGCCATTTTTGAGCTATTTTTATGGGAAATAGGCAAAAACAGCACTGCCAACATACGTCCAGATTTTCCCAGACATTTTTGCCAATTTCCACACAGACACTGCTGTCAACTGCAGTATTCCGTATATGTCTGGGAAATTCCAGACGTATAGCAACCCTAAATTAAATCAATATCTCCCTCCCCAATCAAACTATGATCTGGAAGAACGGTAAATCCTTTTGTAAGCATCTGATGAGTGTCTACTGCATTATTAACTCCCACCAGAGGTCACTCAAATCATAGGTTTGAAATAATAATTCAGTATGTTGCTTTGATAAAATTTTGCTCACATCGATTCATATTATCTTTCCTAATAATTCATATTGTGCCATCAGTTCAAACAGGTTTGAATCAGTGGGAATGGGAACTGTGTAGTTCAGCAGAAATTTGTACACTCACTGCATATATGGGGGCAAACTTCTGTGAAACACCCCCCCTCCCCATTATTTGAACTTGAAAACACGGGCCTTGCATGGGAGATGCGAGTCCACTACACTGACATGTATATTTTCACTGCCTGATTGTGTGAAGCGGATTCTGTCCCTGATGTGCCAGTAGGGTTTTGAGAGGAGCCTTTTTCCTCTTTGCAGTTCCGCAGAGCTCATAGACCCAAGAGGAATAACTCATCCAATGCCACAAACAGAACATTTCATCTCACTTCTGAGCACAGTGTTTCCAATGGAATAAATTCGCACAGCACTGAGTCATCAAGAGGCGAAGAAAAACAAGTAGAATTATTATCATTTTATTACACTGGTATTGAAGGAAGGTGAGGACAGGCGACCTCACCTAGGCCCGAAGTCACCCCCCCACCAAAGCAGGCTCAAAGCTTCTCAAAACTTTTCAAAATCATTTTCTTAGCAGCTAAGCATCAGAAACATTCTGCTCTGCTGTAACAAAGGTAGAGAACAGTCCATTGTTTCTCAGGCCTTTCTCATGTCTTCTGGCCTTGCTAAAGAACCACATTGCAACTTACTTTCTGTCCGGGAACCATGCCAGAACAAGAGATTGAAACATATCTGAACATGCGGTAAAACCCGTGGCGTCTCACCCCCTTTCCTGGGAAGGGTGCCAAGAGTCCACAATAGTCCCAGACAGCTTTCTGTTCATGCTCAGAGGAACTCCTGAGGGAGGAGAAAGGGGGAGGGAACTGGAAAGGGGTATATATGCTTGTGCACGTGATTGTGAACTCGTGCATGCTTTTTGTGACTTATCACACTTGCTCCTTCCACCAGTTCATGGATGGTAGAAATAAAAGCCTTTTCTCCGAAACTATTCCTGGAGTGTCTGTTGACTCCCACTTCCCTTTCCCAGGCGCAATATTTTTCCCACCCGAGGGCAAAACCTCATAAGGCTACATTTCACAGTCCTTGCATTCATCCGAAGATATCAGGGTGGCTCATGGTATAAAAACACAATATATAAAACTCAAAAGCATGTAATAAAACAATAACAAAAACCACAGAACAAATAAACACCCCCAAAAAAACAAACACATTTAAAAAGGGGTATAAGATGTTAATTAACCAAAGGCCTGGTTGAATGTATTCGTCTGGCTCCTAAAGGTGTATAATGGAAGGGACCAGATGAACCTCCTTGGGGGAGAGCATTCCACAAATCTGATAGCACCTTAAAGGCTATAAAAAATAAAAAAAATAGGGCACAACCTTTCATGGAATAGGGTCCATTTCCTCAGATGCGTGGTATATTTATTACTATTTCATTTATCCACGCATTTTTAAAAGTTCCCTTTCCTGACCATGGTTGCCTCCCCAATAAAACCTCGCACCAGAAGAAAGAGGTGGGAGTTACAAATTTTAAAAAAATGAGGCATGCGAGAAAAAGTGAGCGTAGACAAAAGTGTGGGGAGCAAAATCCACCTTCCAAGGCCAGGCCGCCCGTGATACTGTTTGTGGGCTAAGCCTTTCCCCTCTCACCCGGCCCGTTGCCTTGGCAACCCGCCCGCCCCCGCTGCCGCGACGTCCATCACGAGAACGCCACGCCCCTCCATCGAGCAGCCAGTAATCCGCGCGAAGCGAAGGGGGCGGGCCCAGCCAGTTGGCAAGGTAACGAGGTTAGCCTCCCGCCTGCGGCGGCTGCTTCTTTTCCTCCGCGGCGTCGCCGCGCTGCGCCTCTCTCGGAGCTGTCAGCGCGCGCGGAGTGCGCGTGCGTTGTCGTGCGTGCGCGGGCAAGTCCAGTAGCGCCTGCCAGCGCCTCGCCACGGGCAGGTAGGCAGCAGCGGCAGGAGGCAGACGGGCAAGCGAGCGGAGCCGAGAGCGGGTTGGTGTGGCGAGGAGACCAACCTGTAGCCCTTGATGCAAGCAGGTTGTCTGTTCCCCAGGTGGGAAGCGGGCGGGAAAGGGGCCTCGCTGACCTTTCCTAGGCGTGGCTTGGCTGTCGTGCAGCCTGGGAGCCCTTGCAGCCACGTTGCGGGAGTCCTGCCTGTGCGCTGCTGGCCTGGCCGCCTTTCCCTTTGGGCTCTATTTATCTCGCAATTCGTACTTGGCTTGTGGTCCTGATTCCAACCCTTCACGCTCTTCTCTCCTGCTCATGATATTCATCTGTAGCTCTTGTGCCTCTTTCGTTTTTTAGGTTATGGAAAAATAAGTACGTTTTCTGGCAAGCGTTTCGGATTAAGATGCTTGCTCCCCCCCCCCCATCCAAAAGGACAGGGTGTGCTTAACTTTTTCTTTTTAAAGGGGGGCGGGATTAGAATACTTTACAGTTCCATGTTTTGTGATCCGGGTGCACGTGGGAAGTGGCTATTGCAAACAAGCATTTTTTTCAGGTAGTAATAATAGAAGCGTTTTGATTTTTGTTTTGTGTTTGTACAAGCGGGGTTTCTAACAGCGTGCCATCACTTTAAAAAAACAACAACTTGTTGCATGTAGATTTGAAGGAAAAGTGTATACAGTTTTTGGTATAAAAGGGCAGGCATAGTGCTGCAATGCTTTCCCCACTTTGTACGTGTCTACAACATTCAGAGGTGTAGCTGTGTTAGGAAAAACAAATTGTCTTAGGTTGACTGTGGCATGGGCTTCCTTGGACTAGAGCCATCAGATGTAGGCTCCCATCCAGGAGACTACATACTGCAATAAATCTATTAGTTTTTAAGATGTCACATCTACAACATTCAGTGGTTGAAATGGGAGAGATGCTGAACAATATATAGCAACAATAGAGTAAGGCAAGCACTCAAATAGATCATAGAACATTCAAGCAAACTTAAAGAATGCGATGTTGTAAGCCAAGTACTGTATTGAAGAGCCAACTATCCCTTCCCCCATTCAGTTGCATGATGAAATGTGAAGGCAGTGTGAAGTGATCTCTCTATGGAACTGGGTTGTTTTAAAGACAAAAACATGGCGACATTGAAATTCTGTGCTTTTGTAAAGCTGAAAATCCCTTGCTTGCTTAATGATGACACTGGGGGTTAGCATTATTATTCCCTTTGAATAATCCATTTGTCTAACAGTGATATCTGCCCAGAGTGTTCATTTGATTTCATGGAGAATTAAAATGCAAAATGTTTAAACATGTGGCTTACAATGAGATCAGAAAAATAAATTGGAAAGTGGAAGAAGTATGTGCAGTTTGAGTAATGATTACTTGTGTACAGATATACACATCCACAGGAGCTCCTGCTCCCCCACAACTGGCCCTGTTGGCTCTGCCCATTCTTCCCTTTCCTCCTCTATCAAACTGAACACTGGTTTCTTCTCTCTTCATCTCCTCCACTCCACCCCACTCCAATATTTTGGGCAGCTTTTAGCTTAAAAAAAAGGGTTTTAGGTATATGACATGTTCCTCTACTTAAATGTAGATTTGGTGCCTTTTCTAAAAAGTGAGTGTATTATTATTTTTCAACTTGAAAGTGCTTGTTGTGTGTGTGTTTTAATAATAATCACAAGAGCCAGCCAACGAGCATGCTGCTCAGCCAGCTTCTTGAAGAAGGACTCGTAGCTAGGGTCTATGAAAAAAGTACATCTTACCCAAAAGGGGTGCTTGTGGATCCCCAGTAAGTTCCCCCCTCAAGCTGTGTACATTGTGCATCAAGTGCCTTTGCAAAGGACCATTAAAAAATAACTTGTGGAAGTGCTAACTAGGAAGAGAGTTTATTTGTAGCCTCATGGTGAACTGCATTCTGACACTGCTTATAATCTGTTTAAAAACTGCCTCAGAAGTACAGGTGACTAACAGTCCACATGCTAAACTTTCATGCAGCACACTATGTGGTAATCCACAGAGTTAGGACTGATGTACTGTACTGTGTATGTGCAGCAGAACTGAATAATTCAGTCCAGGAAAAATAGTGCTACATTGGACTGTAGCTGAGGAAACATGATCCAGTGTTCCCTTCCTTTAAAAAAAAGAGAAAAACTTCTTGCAGACCAAAAAACCCCCAGCACACCAGAGGAATATTCCATTAGAACCCACTAGCCAACCATTTTATAAGATTGACCATAAGGGTTAAGAAGCCTTTTTTGTTACTCAGCACTTATCCAGTGAGCCTTCCTGCTGTGTTTGGATTCCAGTTATATTAATTTCCCCTTCAAATGTTTGTTTCTCAGTTTTACTAAATAAACATGAGAGAGAAGCAACAACAGAACAGAATTTTTATAGGAAGTAATAATGCTTTCCAGTGGGATACTTGGGGTGTCCATGGGCTGGTTCTTGATGTTATTGGTAGTATGGTATTTTAGTTATAGCAATAAAGACAATGACTAGACTGAATGCCTGTAGAGAGCCTAAACAGGAACGGTTATATTTACGTATTCCTATCCTTGAAACATCACAGCTTCTTTGAAAACGTTTTCACAAAACTCTCCTTCCTTTCAGCTATTGTTTATAAACTATTCTTCTCCAACCTAGTGCTCTCCTGATGGTTTGAACTACAACTCGCATCAGCTTCAACTAGGACAGTTGTGCCTCATGTTGGATTTCATGGCTCTAGTAGCCTAATTTTTCAGTTTATGGGGAGGGTTTTTTCCCCTCCCCCTGCTTTGTGTAGCATCTTGCTTTATTAAGAGATCTGGAGAGTACAAAAGCTTTCTATAATTTTGTGTCATTTTGGTCAATACCATAAAGGTATTACTGAAATAAAGTTTCAGTTAGCTTCATATCGGCCTAGACTTCTTTTAACTCCTTGTATAAAGTGCTAAAAGGATTTCTGTGGCAGTAGCTTCACCTTCAGATTCTGAAGTTCTGCTTACTCTGTTAAGCTCCAGGGTGCTCCTTAACACTTTTCCAGCTCTCTCCCCTGGACCATCATCGTTTACAGTGGTGCCCCGCAAGACGAATGCCTCGCAAGACGAAAAACTCGCTAGACGAAAGGGTTTTTCGTTTTTTGAGCTGCTTCGCAAGACGATTTTCCCTATGGGCTTGCTTCGGAAGACGGAAACGTCTTGCAAGTTTGTTTCCTTTTTCTTAACACCGTTAATACAGTTGCGACTTGACTTTGAGGAGCAACTCATAGAACGCGGTGTGGTAGCCTTTTTTGAGGTTTTTAAAGACTTTGGTGATTTTTGAAGCTTTTCCAAAACTTTCCTGACACTGTGCTTCGCAAGACGAAAAAAATCGCAAGACGACAAAACTCGCGGAACGAATTAATTTCGTCTTGCGAGGCACCACTGTATATACTTGTGAGTTCTAGCACCCTAGTCCCAGTGGACTGCTGCCACATAACACTTAACTTGTTAAGCAGATTAAGCAAAACTTTTCCATAAGTATGGTATATGGTCTCAGGGGTGCCCAAACTTTTTTCAACGAGGGCCAGGCTTTTTACAATTTGACCCCATAGTTGTTGAGTTGTTGTTTTTTTGGATTTTACCCCGGGTCATATACTGCCATGGGGGCCAGATTAAATCGAACAGAGGGCCGGATTAGGCCCCCGGAACGGACTTTGGACTAGGGGAAGTTTATGCATGCATCTTCAGAAACCTGGACTTTAAAAAGAAACTTGTTTGAATGTTAAAAACTTGTGTATACTGTAATAATGTTACAATGTCTTCACTTTATATGCAGGTCTGGATCCAGGGTTTGATTCTGCAGAGTGCACTGTGTTCTTATTGCCTTTTGGTATTAATTGAAGGCTATGTGGTTAGTGCCATGTAGAACCATAGACTTTTATGCAAGGGTTTCTGGGGTCTGGACCATGGTGACACTAATCACATAATTAAGTAGCAATGCATTGGATGGGATTTGTGTTTATATCTCCTTTGAAGACTCCTGGGATTACTTTCAAAAGCTGGTCTAAATTTAGATCAAATCAAGAATATCCCCATTTATCTTTGTTATAAGTTTAATATTGTACGGTTACGTTTTGTTTTAAATAAACGGCTCTAATTTCATATGTTGGAAAAAATGACCAAGACTTTCTTGTTGGAAGGGAGCAGCAATTGAGAAGTACTTGTATATTAAGCAGAAAGCCTGTGGTAGATAAATAAATATTGAAAGCATTAATAGAAATTCACTTTGATTTACTACTTCAGATGAGCCATATCGTGTATGTGGTGCTGTGGTCTAAACCACTGAACCTGTTGGACTTGCTGATTGGAAGGTCGACAGTTCAAATCCATGAGGTGGGTTGAGCTCCCATTGCTCTGTCCCAGCTTTTTCCAACCTAGCAGTTTGAAAGCATACCAGTGCAAGTAGATAAATAGGTACTACTGTGGCAGGAAGGTATACAGCATTTCCGTGCGCTCTGGCTTATGTCACGGTGTTCCATTACGCCAGAAGCGGTTTAGTCATGCTGGCCACATTGCCCAGAAAGTTGTCTGTGAACAAACGCCAGCTCCCTCGACCTGAAGGGAGATGAGTGCCACACCGCATAGTTGCCTTTGACTGGGCTTAACTGTCCAGGGGTCATTTACCTTTGTACCTTATCATGTATGCACCTTATGAGGTTGACTGAGATTGAATTTGGAGTGAGGGTGAAGTTGCTCTTTTACGGCGCAATACTATGCATTTCTATTTGAAAGTGAGCCCCTTCAAAATCAGGGGTATAGGATTGCAGCATAAGTAAGTTGCCAATCTTGCCTTCTTGGGCAAGGTTCTGTAGACTATATCCAGGCACTCTTGGAGGAAACTGATTTTCTAGATCCATTTCAATCCGGGTTTAGACCCAGTTTTGGCATAGAAACTGCTTTGGTTGCCCAATAGAATGACTTGTGTCAGGAGAGAGACAGGGGAAATGTGTCCCTTATAATTCTCCTTGAACTCACAGGCGCTTTCAGTACCATCAGCCTTGGTATCCTCCTGGAGCACCTATCCGAGTTTGGGGTGGGTGCTTTGCTGTGGTTAGTCTTTTACAGAGGTTGATGCTTGGGGACTGCTCTTCGGGCCTGTGGATTCTTCAGTGTGGGGGTTCCTCAGGGTTCAGTTTTATCCCCTGTGCTGTTTAACATCTACATGAAACCGCTGAGTGGGGTCATCTGGAGCTTTGGAGTACGTTGTCAACAATATGCTGAAGACACACAGTTCTGCTTCCAGTCTTGGAATTACCGGTAGTCTCTCCCCCCCCCCCCCCAATTTTAGTTGAGTGGACATTTGAAGGGGAAGATTAAGCTTCCTTCTCACACCTTTCTGCTCTTTAAAAAAAATAAAAAATGCCACGTACTTTTAAGAAAATATGTGGTTGAAAGCATCACAATGATGCGAATTTCAGACAACTTATGGTTGCTTGCATGTCACCGTTCGAAAAGAAAAGAAAAGAAATGCAATGTTGGACATCCATTGGATCTTAGCTCAATCACTGGCCCCGATGTTACAGAGGTCTGACTGGCCTCAATTGGAAGTTGGACATTTAGCGTCACCTATCCCATGCTCTGGAACACTATTCCAGCAAAGATTTGGCCGGCATCCTTGCTTTTAACTTTCAGGCATCACTTCAAGACATTCTTTTTGCCCACAAACATTTGCAGGTGTTTTGTGTGTGCGTGGGGGTGTCTCTCACCAATCACCTTAATGATTATATGCGTTTCAAATTTAATTTCATTTTTAAAAATGGTATTCTGTGTTTAACAGTGTACACCAGCTTGATATTTTATGATATGGTAATAGTTAAATACTTCTATAAATAAATACAGTGGATGCTCGGGTTGTGAACGTGATCCGTGCGCGTCTGTGCATTCATCGCAAAGCGCGATCGCTGAAACCCGGAAGTAACCCGTTCCGGTACGTCCGGGTTTTGGCGGTCCGTAACCTGAAAAAACACAACCTGAAGCATCTGTTACCTGAGGTATGACTGTATAGGCCACTGGATTGATTGCACACAGAGGCATGTTGCCCATAGAGGCCGGGGTGCCAAGTTCTGGAGGGCTCCAGGGAAGAGGCAGAGGCTGGACGCATCGCCTCCTGGCATCAGCTCGCTGCCCTTGCCCGCCTCCGCCATGCCGCTCCGAAGCAGCACCGCGCCTGGAGCCTCTACCTACTGTGGCCACTGTGGCACAGGCACCAGTGAATAGGCGGAGGCTGGGCGTGGCGCCTCCGGGCACCAGCTTGCCACCCTCGCCCAAGCAGCGCCGTGCCCGGAGCCTCCGCCTCTTCCCCACCAAAGGAGCCGCCCTCCAGCCGCTGCCTGCCTCCTCCAGCCCTGCAATGCTGCCGGCAGTGCCATAAAAAGCTCAGCAACTCTGGAAAACGGGGGGGAGGGGCGCCGGAGGGATCTTTGCACTACGGCACCGGATATACTTAAGATTGTCCTGATTGCACAGTGTTCATTGAGATTTAATTTCCAACATTCTATCACTGCATTAGTGCTTAGGCTGCAGTCTTATGCAAACTAACTTGGGATGGGAGTGAATCCCATTGAACTAAGAGAGACAGTCTATGTTGTTTTCTATAGCCCGAAAGATTAATAAACTTCAATATCATAATATAGTAATGGTTTTGTGTGTCCCCCCCTCCCATCCTAAGTTGTTCTCCTTTCCTTGTTTGGATCTCATACCATATATGGATCTTATTTGTGCTTGAATCTTTTAAAAATGTTTTCTATGAAATAGTCATAGTCAAACTTGCTTTTATAGATGAGTTGATTTCACAGAGCATAGGGCTCATCTCTGTGTAGTCTCAGAAATTTCCACACAGAATCCATATTGCCTTAGCATTATTCAAGGGCTTAGTTACCATATCCTACATTTCAAGTATACAATGGCTTGGATGAGTTGTATTTCGTATTGGTTTGATGAAGACGATTGGTATGATGGACAGCAAAGAGTAAGATCCTTTCTTTTCTAGAAATAACTGCTTTGTATTGAATCTCACTGAATCTCTCTGCAGCATATTGCCTGTTGTTTGTAGCATTTATACTTCGCACTGCAGTGCAGTGATTGAATCAGAAATATTTATTTGATGGGTGAAATTAAAATTAATCATGTAATGCAATGTTTTACAATAACAATTTGATGTTTGGAGCTAAAGGTAAGCTGTCAGTTTTCAAACAGTGGTATCTGGTTGGGGTTCTGTGCTTAAAATACAGTATACTGCAAAATGTTTATTTTACTGAATTGGAAGAAATTGATGCAATAGCTATGAAGGTGGGAAATAATTAAGAAGTGATTAATAGATATAAAGCCAGTTTTACTAAATGCAGCATTGAATTTTACTCAGTGTTTTTTGAAGACTGGTGTAGGCATTAACAGTATTTTTCAGTAAGAAACAGGGTTGCTATGGTGATCTTTGTATGATGTTTGGGGGGGAAATTTAAAGATATCGAACAACTGCTTAGGAAATTATAATTTTCTATGGGTTTAAGAGAGAGTAGAGGGAGTGGAAAAGTCTGGATTTTGGTGCACTGGTTGTAAGTTGCATGAAATACATCACAGTGCACAAATGCAGCTGCATAGATCCTCTTTGTTGTTATGATCAACATCTTGCAGCAGTGCAGTTTTAAAAATGGTACAGCAGGATAAAAAGATCAGTTCAATATTGTATTTTTAAAAAATCATAGCAAGTTATAACTATGTCTAAAAGAAATAATATGAACAGAATTTATTAATTAAATATCTTTCATATCCTGCTTTTTCTGGGTAGAGCTCAAGGCTGTGTTCATACGGTTTCTACGCCATCTTCCATTCAGATACTTCTGAGACCCAGATCTGATTACATTCTGCAAGGTTGTAGCATCATGTGGCTTCAAACCTGAGAAGCTGAATGAACATAGTTTAGCACAAGAGAACAAAACAAAGGAAGATGCACTGACAATACAAACATACAAATATGGATGCCATAATATGTGATGAGTCAGGCAGATGGATCTTTTGTGAATAATATGTATGTACACATATACATAGGGACGCGGGTGGCGCTGTGGGTAAAACCTCAGCGCCTAGGACTTGCCGATCGCATGGTCGGCGGTTCGAATCCCCGCTGCGGGGTGAGCTCCCGTCCTTCGGTCCCAGCTCCTGCCCACCTAGCAGTTCGAAAGCACCCCTAAGTGGAAGTAGATAAATAGGTACCGCTTTATAGCGGGAAGGTAAACGGCGTTCCGTGTGCTGCTCTGGTGCTGGTTCGCCAGAGCAGCTTCGTCTCGCTGGCCACATGACCCGGAAGTGTCTAGAGTGAGATGAGCGCACAACCCTAGAGTCTGTCAAGACTGGCCCGTACGGGCAGGGGTACCTTTACCTTTACACATATACATGCATGCTGAAGGTGCATGTATATACACTATGCATTACTCACATAGGAGTGACAGGGACATGACAGAGGGATGGAGTCTCTTTTCTTGTTACTTCTTGTGTGCGTAGTTGTATTAAGGGTTGTCACCTGATTAAAGAAATAAGTATTTATGAAAACTGCAGATGATATTTTAGAAGAGATATTTTACCTTGTGTTTGAGAGCTGGGTGGGTGCCTCCTTAAAGATGGCTCCCCCCTACACACAGCAGATAATAACATTGCTTGACTAAAATGAATGTCCTGCAGAAATTAATAAATGGCATTATATATGACATTTCAGTGTTTTCTCATTTGTGCACACACAAATTGTTGGAAACAGAAAGACAGCATGCATTGGATATGACTGGCAATAAGTTGATTAATTAATGTATTTATACCCACTTTTTTCTCCAAGGAGCTCAAGGTGGTGTACTTGGTTGTCCCACCAGTGGTAGTCCTTGGAATCTCAAATTTCAGCAGTGCCTTGTGGAATGCCCAAATTTGGTACCCCCTCCCGCCTCTCGCCTTCCATTTTACAGCATAGTTGTGGAAGCCCTGAGGCTCCATGCCCAGTGTGACCTAACTGGTCGTGCTCCCCTAAATCTGCCTCTGCTCCCACTCTTCAAATGATCCCCGCAACAACCCTGTGAAATAGGTTAGGCTGAGAGGCAGTGGCTTGCCCAAGGGCACCCCTTGAGCTTAATGCTGAGTGGGGATTCGAACACTGGTCCCCCAGGTCCTACACCACACTGGCTCTCTTACTTATACACAATGATAAGGTATTATCATGAAGTTAGAGCCAATACTGAGAACACAAGAGCTGGAACAGGAAGACTTCAGGAAAATGCACACTTGCATATTAACATGGTACCTCTTCGAGAGCTGTAGTTGCCAGGCTACTGACATTGCTGTGTCGTGTGTGTAGTGCTCCACCATGCTTGGACTGCTCTCCAGCATCTTTTAGTAGCAGTATTATTTCGTTAACAACATCAGGATTTAATTTCCTCAGCCGTTGAGTAAAGCAGTTTCACATTATAGGCAGAAAGAGGCTGCATATTTGGAATCTGCAGGGCTTTGGAACGGACATGGAAATCCTTAAATGGCTTGCAGAAAATGACATCTCTGTTAAGGTAGGGGTAACCGAGTCATTCAGCTTTCTCAAGCCAGCCCATTTTATTAAAAACATACTCATGTTCAAAGAGATCTAGAACAAATAGTCCTTCAATTTTATCACTTTTCTATATTTAGAAACGAGGAAGGGCTTAAAATATTGCTCTGGCTGGGAGAAAAGTCTCTCTCCCTTCCCCTTTGTTGTAGCTTTGGTAACCATAGTCATCAATTTTTACAATATTTTATGATGTAAAATACGAGTGTAGCAAAATGTTTTTGTGTCACCTGTGTCTTGAATAGCTGAGACTTATTTGGCAAGGCTGATTTTATGCATTCCTACTCTTGAAGAGGTTTAACTTTTCTTTTTCTTAGAGTTGCTTTCAGTTTGTGGTGAATATGCTTCTCTGTGACTGATTTAAATTACTGAGGAAGTCAGTTACCGTATTTTTCACTCTATAAGACGCACCAGACCACAAGACGCACCTAGTTTTTGGAGGAGGAAAACAAGAAAAAATATATTCTGAATCTCAGAAGCCAGAACAGCAAGAGGGATAGCTGCACAGTGAAAGCAGCAATCCCTCTTGCTGTTCTGGCTTCTGAGATAGCTGCGCAGCCTGCATTCGCTCCATAAGACGCACACACATTTCCCCTTACTTTTTAGGAGGGAAAAAGTGAGTCTTATAGAGCAAAAAATACGGTAGTTCTGGTTTGGATGCATAATGTTGACTAGTGGTTCAAGTCTTTGCACAATTGATTTTAGAATACAGTGGTACCTCGGGTTAAGTACTTAATTTGTTCCGGAGGTCTGTTCTTAACCTGAAGAACCACTTTAGCTAATGGAGCTTCGTGCTGCTGCTGCACAATTTCTGTTCTAATCCTGAAGCAAAGTTCTTTTTTTTTTTTTTTTTTAAAGCAATTTATTGGATTTTACAATAGGAATAAATGTAATAAACAATATAACATTCGTCTTAACATAATTTCACATTTTCTTTGGACTTCCTCACATCTCCCGCTCCCACCTTCATCATTATAACATTTTGTCAGCAATTTATCATCTTATTTAAATTCTTATATCTCTTCGATATTTCATGATCTTATAGTTCTCATAAAGAGTTAAACTTTCACAGTTTTTCTTATTTTCTTAAAAACTTCTAAGTTAAGTGGTGCTCAGTTATTTAGTCTAGCATCTTATTCAGCATTCAGTCAAATCACAATGTTTTTGTAGGTAGTTCTTAAATTTCTTCCAATCCTCCTCGATTCTCTCTTCTCCCAGGTCACGGATTCTGCCAGTCATTTCAGCCAGTTGCATATAGTCTATCAGTTGCATCTGCCATTCTTCCAGTGTGGGTAGATCTTGAGTTTTCCAATGTTTTGCGAGTAGTATCCTTGCTGCTGTTGTTGCATACATAAAAATGTTTGGTCCTTCTTTGCCACCCCTTGGCTGACAATACCCAAAAGGAAAGCCTCTGGTTTCTTAGTGAAAGTATATTTAAATACCTTTTTCAATTCATTATAAATCATTTCCCAGAACGCCTTCACTTTAGGGCAGGTCCACCAGAGGTGAAAGAACGTTCCTTCACACTCTTTACATTTCCAGCACTTGTTATCAGACAGGTGGTAAATTTTTGCAAGTTTGACTGGGGTCATATACCATCTATAAATCATTTTCATTACATTTTCTTTCAAAGCATTACATGCAGTAAATTTCAATCCATTACTCCACAGCCTTTCCCAGTCCTCAAACATAATATTATGCCCAATATCCTGTGCCCACCTTATCATAGCCGATTTAACCATTTCATCTTGTGTATTCCATTCCAACAGCAAGTTATACATCCTTGAAAGTATCTTAATCTTTGGTTCTAACAATTCTGTTTCTAATTTCGATTTCTCCACCTGGAACCCTAGTTTCTTATCATTTTTAAAAACTTCTTTAATCTGAGCATAATGTAACCAATCTCGCACTTTGTCTTTCATTTTCTCCAAACTCTGCAATTTCCAATTGTCTCCATCTTTTCTAGTATTTCCCAATATTTTGGCCATTTGGCCTCCATATTGGGTCTTTTTCGGGCCTTAGCTTCCAAAGGTGAAAGCCACCTTGGTGTTTTATTTTCCAGCAAGTCTTTATATTTTGTCCAGACATTAAACAGTGATTTTCTAACAATATGGTTCTTAAAGGCCTTATTTGCTTTAACTTTGTCATACCATAAATATGCATGCCATCCAAAAACATTGTTAAACCCTTCCAAATCTAACACATCAGTGTCTTCAAGAAGTAGCCAATCTTTTAGCCAGCAGAACGCTGCGGCTTCGTAATACAACTTTAAGTCCGGCAGGGCAAAGCCCCTCTTTGTTTTGCATCAGTTAGTATCTTAAACTTAATTCTGGGCTTTTTGCCCTGCCAGACAAACTTCGAAATGTCTCTCTGCCACTTCTGAAAGCACTCCATTTTGTCCAAAACCTGAAGTGTTTGAAATAAAAACAACATTCTTGGCAATACATTCATCTTAATCGCAGCAATTCGGCCTAACAAAGAAAGTTTCAATTTTGACCAACTGTCTAAGTCTCTCTTAATTTCTGTCCAACATTTTTCATAGTTATCCTTAAATAGACTTAGATTTTTTGCTGTTATGTTTACCCCTAGGTATTTTACTTTTTAACCACATTAAGTTCCGTCTCATTCTGAAACCGTTCTGACTCTGTCTCAGTCAAATTTTTCCCAAAACCTTGGTTTTCTGTTTATTTAATTTAAATCCCGCCACCCGACCAAAGTCATTAATCAATTGTAATACTCTTTTCGTACTAGGCTCTGGCTTCTGCAAGGTCAAAACCAGGTCATCTGCAAAAGCTTTTAGTTTATATTGTTTCTGACCAACCTGAATTCCTTCCACCAACTGGTCCCCTCTAATCATGTTCAATAGCACTTCCAGAACCGAAATAAATAACAAAGGGGAGATAGGGCAACCTTGTCGTGTCCCTTTTTCAATTTTGAACTCTTCTGTAACCACATTATTAACTATCAGTTTAGCTTTCTGTTCTGAATATATCGCCTCAATCCCATTCTCAAAACCCCGTCCCACTCCCATCTCTTTTAAGTTTCCCATCATAAATTTCCAAGAAATATTATCAAAGGCCTTCTCCGCATCTATAAAAATTAAAACTGCTTTTGTATTTATGTCAGTTTGGAGAAGTTCCAAGATATCAATAATGTTCCTTGTGTTAGCAAACAGATGTCTACCTGGGAGAAAACCGGCCTGGTCCTTATGAATTACTTCATTTAAAAATTTTTTAAATCTACTTGCCAAAATATCTGCAAATATTTTGTAATCCACATTTAAAAGGGAGATGGGACGGTAGTTCTTCAGTTGTGTCTTTTCAGCTTCTGACTTTGGTATCAATGTGATAAACGCTTCCTTCCACGAATCCGGTGCCCTCTTCCCCTCCATAATTTCATTGCTAACCTCCATCAAGGGTTGTATCAAATAGTCTTTTAGTGTCTTATAATACTTGGAGGTCAGCCCGTCTGGCCCTGGAGATTTGCCAAGTTGCATGTTCTGAATAGCTTGTTCAATCTCCTGTCGTGTTATTTTAGAGTTCAGGGTTGTCCTATTTTCTTGTGACAGTTTAGATAATCCATTTTTGGCAAAAATTGTTTAATCTCGACTTCGTCTTGCGGCCCTTGGGTATATAGTTTTTAAAATATCTCTGGAAACACTTTCTAATGTCCACTGGATTCTGAATGTTTCTTCCATCGACCTCTAAATTTGTAACCGTATTTAATCTTTGTCTTCTCTTCAACTGCCAAGATAGCAGTTTTCCACATGTATTCGCCGACTCAAACGTTTTTGTTTCATTAATTTAATCTTCCATTCAATTTCCTGATTTATCAATTTAGAATATTGTGTTTGATACAGTTTAATTTCTCTCAGAGTTGGCTGTGACTTTGGATTCACTCTTAATTTCTTCTCTAATTCTTTTATTTTATCCAAGATCTTGTCTTTTTCTCATTTTGTGTTTTTTTCTTTACTAAATTCTGTTGTATAAAGAATCCCCGCATGACAGCTTTGCTTGCGTCCCAGACGATTCATGTTTATCTCGAAATAGTCTTTCAAAACTTTTTGGGCCTTCTTGGTAATTTCCTGATCTCTAAACAAATTGTCATTCATCTTCCATCTAAAGGATCCAGTTGGTAGTAGTGTCATATCCATCTTTACTGCGTTGTGGTCAGAGCAGGTCTTTGGGCAGATTTCCACTTTTCTAACCCTAGGTGCCAGGCCTCTAGAAATCCATATTTGGTCGATTCTTGTCCAGGTCAGTTGGGCTTCAGAAAAGAATGTTCCTTCTCTACCTAGTGGGTTCTTTGTTCTCCAAATGTCGATCAAGTCCATATTGTCAGTCATTTCAAAAAAGGTTTTAGGTAGTCTGCCATCTTTTGTAACATTTTGACTTTGCGACTTGTCCATGTTAGTTGATACGACCCCGTTCATGTCTCCCATCATTATGATGTTGTTGTAATCCAGATGATCCAGCATTGTCCCCTGCAACTTCTTGTAAAATTCCGATTTCCCTTCATTGGGTGCATAGATTCCTAATATCAGCAGTTTCTCTCCTTGATATTGTATCTCAATAGCCAAAATCCTTCCATGTTCATCTTTAAATAGAAATTTAGGTGACAGGCTCTCTTTTGCATATATCACCACTCCTCTCTTCTTCACTTTATCCGACGAAATAAATTCCTGGCCCAATCTTTTATTTATTAACACTTTTCTGTGGAGCCTCGTCACATGTGTTTCTTGTAAACAGATAATGTCCAATTGTTCTTTTTTTAATATATGAAATATTTTCTTCCTTTTTTCCGGAATGTTACAACCATTAATATTCCAGCTCAACAGTTGCAGAGACATCCTGGATCTGTCTGGTTATTTCTCCCGGGGTGGTGTCTTCTCTGGATCTTCAAGTTCCCCAGGTGCAGGTGTTAATGCTGGCTTTGCCCCAGGCTCGGAAGGTAGTTCAATTCCTTTTTGTAGGTCCTCTCCGTATGTAGCCAGAAATTTATCTCTCTCTTCCAATGTTCTAATTTTGACCTTTCTCCCTTTAAAGGTAAAAGATAATCCTTGGGGAAATTCCCACCTGAATGGAATTGCGTTGCTCCTTAATAGTTTAGCAAGTTCAGAGTAGGCGGCTCTGAGATCCAACAGTTGTCTTGGAATATCTTTATATATCTCAATTCTTCTATCCAAAACCTCCAGTGACTTTTCGTAATGTAGACCCAAAATCTTATCCCTTTCCTCCTTCGATCTCAATGTAATCAAACAATCCCTGGGCCTCTCCTTCTTTATAAATCTTCCAAGTCTGAAAGCTGACACAATTTTAAAGTCCTTTTCTTCCAAATTCCAGAACTTGGAAAATTCTTTGGTCAAAAACTCAGTTAGATTTCCTTCTTCTGCCTCTTGTAATGATCTAATCCTCAAATTATTCTCACGATTTCGCAGTTCTATCATAGAAAGATAAGTCTGATGTTCCCCAACTTGTTTAGTGAGTGGTCTTACCTCTTGCTCTAAATTTTCCAATTTTTGTCTGGTATCCTCAGCCAATTTTCGGTTTTCTACTGAGGCCTCCGTTAACTGTCCAATTGCTTGTGTATTCTGTCCCACCTGTGTAGTTAATTTGTTTAGACAATCTGTATTTTTATCAATCTTTGCTGATTGCGCATCTACTTTCTTGTCAGCCTGCATTCGCTCCATAAGACGCACACACATTTCCCCTTACTTTTTAGGAGGGAAAAAGTGAGTCTTATAGAGCAAAAAATACGGTAGTTCTGGTTTGGATGCATAATGTTGACTAGTGGTTCAAGTCTTTGCACAATTGATTTTAGAATACAGTGGTACCTCGGGTTAAGTACTTAATTCGTTCCGGAGGTCTGTTCTTAACCTGAAACTGTTCTTAACCTGAAGCACCACTTTAACTAATAGGGCCTCCTGCTGCTGCTGGAGCACGATTTCTGTTCTCATCCTGAAGCAAAATTCTTAACCCGAGGTACTATTTCTGGGTTAGTGGAGTCTGTAACCTGAAGTGTATGTAACCTGAAGCGTATGTAACCCAAGGTACCACTGTATTACTGAGGTAGAAATTAAAAAAAATTAAAATCCACATTGCAAGAATTTTTGGAATATTATCAGGTTTCCCAAAATGTGGGTTTTCCATGCAGAGCCTTCTGGCTTCTAAGGATCAGAAACTACATCAAAATGGTGAATAGACAACTTGAGGAAAACTGCAATTGCTTGGTCCTCTTTGAATCAATGTGGGTATGTCTGAAATCAGCTGAATAAGGCTGGTAGTGACAACAAAGTGGAATGGTAGAGGATCCCATCAGGTTTTCTAAGGAAGAGCAGTTTGCATGTAGGATGTTAGTAATGAGTTTTCATCCTATAGATAGGGATTCTAATAAAGCGGCTGAAAGAAGATAGGGATTTACGTAAAATTTGTGTATGCTAAATGCAAATTCAGAAATAATTACTCTTATTTAAATAGAAATAAGATACATCTCTTCATTGTGGCAGAAAACTATGACCTTTACCTGCTGAGTCTGCTGTGCATGTGCTAACTCATGGGTAGGCAAACTAAGGCCCGGGGTCCGGATCCAGCCCAATCACCTTCTAAATCCAGCCTGCAGGCGGTCCGGGAATCAGCGTGTTTTTATATGAGTAGAATGTGTCCTTTTATTTAAAATGCATCTCTGGGATATTTCTGGGGCCTGCCTGGTGTTTTCACATGAGTAGAAGGTGTGCTTTTATTTAAAATGCATCTCTGGGTTATTTGTGGGGAATAGGAATTCGTTCATCCCCCCCCCCAACAAAAAATATAGTCTGGCCCCCCACAAGGTCTGAGGGACAGTGGACCGGCCCCCTGCTAAAAAAGTTTGCTGACCCCTGAATCATGGGCAGTTTCAAGGGTTTATCTTTAAACTGGATCCGAATGGGAAGGTCCTTCAAATAGAGGACTGTCCTCTGTAAAGTAGGACCATCCTATCTATAGGTGGAAGCTGGGCATAGTCGGGCATTTACCGGACTGTGTATATAGGGATAAAATAATGAATGCGCTTCCTTGTGTGAATGTGTCGCTTTCCTGTCCACCTGTTTATTCAGCATCATGCTCTAACCAACTGAGCTAACCAAAACTCTCATTTTTCTAAAGAAAGATCAGATAGATACTATGATCAAATAAATGCAGTGCAGTCCAAGTTTTTTTGCAGTTCTCCATAGTGAGGGGGACCTCACTGGCCTCGGATTCCCAACATGTATGTTTTTTAGAATCCACCCTATTCCCGTTACTATAATTTGTTTTTAATACTACATTTTAAATAGTTGTTACCCGCCTGCTGGTAAAAGACGGGTAATAAATTTAATAATAATACCAAAGAATAACACCTGCGCAAGTCCTAGATGCGCCTTCCTGCAAAGTGGCATTTTGGAGTGATGAAACTTGACTAGCCAGGTTCTGACAGCCTGAAATGTTCCATTATCAAGAAAGAAGCTGCTTCACTGGCTCAGTGATTATTGATCTGCCCAAAGCCAGGATGCAGTGCCTCTCCATCTTGGCATCCCTGCTGGGTAACAGGCAAGTGAGCGGCTGCTGCTGTATACTCATCCATCCTGCACTTTAAGCATAATTTCTTCATATCATCTTGGGATTTCCTTCAGGCTTTTCATAAACAAAAATTCTTTCCCCTAGTCAATCATTTCTTCCTCAGGTGGCCAGGGCAGAGGAGTTATTTCATGCATTTAAATCCAGTTTTCTAAACAATTTCTATTTGTCCAAATTGAATAAACACACTTCAGTAGACTCTTACCCCGTGTACATTTAGTTCAGGCAGATGGAAAATGTCAGTACAGAAGGAAAACCATCTCTCTCTCTCCATCTTCCTCCCACTACTTCATTTGAAGCAGCCCAGACTCAGCAGCTCGTTTTCAGCATTTAGTATCTAAGAACCCAGCCCATCAGTTAATGGATGTGAGCAGTGCTATTTTTCTAGAAAAATAGGTACCAGAATTCACCACGAACGCTTCCCTTGCTCTCTTATAATGGCAGTGGTGTCTACCTGAGAAGTGCTGAAAATGAGTTCTTGTGAGTTCCTCCTGGAAAAAAAGCCCTAGGTGTGAAGTGGGGAAAGAGCTGGGTACAAATATATACATCGTTATCACAATGTTAATTTTAATGATGTAATCAGAAAATTAGACCAAATGTGCAAGTTTCAATGGAACTGTAATATGTATTGGAATTAATGAGTGAAGTTTGTATGAGAACTGGCCTTTGCAGATGGCACCTATGCAAAGTCTCCATTCACCTGTCCCAAAGACCAATTAAAGAATCTGAGCTTATTTAATCACAAGGATATTTGCGTGGTTTTATTCAAGATTCTGTCTTCTTGCTTTACAGCTATGTTTTTCCTAGTTCTCCAGACTGTTCTACATCAAAGTGCTGAATAAAACATCACTTAAATTATTCTGTTTCTCTGTTTTCCAGGCAAAAATGGCACAGGTTAAGCAAGTGGGCTTATTAGCTGCTGGGTGTCAGCCATGGAATAAAGACGTCTGTGCTGCGAGCGGAGATAGATTTGCCTATTGTGCAACTCTTGCTATTTATATATATCAGGTGAGATGGATTTTTAGATTTCTCTGTGAATATTTTTCTTTCCTGCTACACAGTAATGTTTCTTAGTAAGTGTTGCCGCAGGATTAAACAGATCTTTATTTATTTATTTTAAAACATATAATGTTCCTTTTTAGGGAAATTTTAAATTTTTATTCTGTTAGCGGTTCATTAGTTCAGGACCAGAGGAACCAAGCTGGAGTGACTTGGAATCTGGGGTACAGATACTGCATACTGCTCTCTATCAGAACTGTTATATATTTCAAAAGCTGTAACTTAGGCCAAAAAGTCATGTGTCTCAATGTAGCAAAGGGGTTGCATATAAAACAGTAGCCCCAGATACAGATGTCCATTTATGTCTGCTTCAACAGATAAATCTGACAAGTTTCGCTGAGAGCCTATGTGAACATTGCAATCTTTTTTAATATGGTGCCCTGTACAATTTCAAAATTTGGCATCCCCAAATGGATGGTTTCAATTATGGATCTTCTGAGTTTTGTGCCCCCTCAGCTCAGTGCCATGTGCGGGGGAACTGAGTGCTAGGTACACATCTCCAATCAGATGTGCATCCACAATCGCTCCATGCATGATTCCCAATCCCATTTCGTCCTCTTGAATTTCATTAATTTCCCCAGCCTGCCTTAGGACTCCCAAATTGTTGTTTAAACTCTCACATTATTATTTTTTTTAAAAGGTAGGCACAAGAGCTGTTTAAGGAAAACTGTTACCTCTATGCATCAGGTTTCCATCTTGGATTTCCCTTCAAGCTGTTGCCTTCTCTTGCTGTCAAAACTGCAAAACATTGCATATGCCCACCAGATGTGCGTACATGTGCCCCCTTCTTAATCCAGGCTCATAGCTTTAAGAGATTCATTCTTTTTTGGGAAACATTTCTTCAGGAACCTAATATTTCTGTAGACATACTAGTAGTTTTATAATATATCTTCATGTGTGCAATTAAAGTGTGTGCTGTTTAAAGGCAGAAACCTTGGGCTGTATCCAGTGCTAGTCCTGCTCAGCAGACCCATTGCTGTTAAGGGACGTAACTAACTTATGTCCATTAATTTCAGTGGATCTATTCTGAGTAGAACTTAGTTGGCTACAACTCTTGGAATTTAAGGTAAGCCAGCTTAAGGAAGTCAATGAAAGGAAAGTTTCCCATTCCCCCCTCTCCCTTGCAGCTCCTGTGCCCCCTGAAACAACTGCCTTGAGGGTTTGTGGGCCCTTTTAGACTCTTCTGGGATGGCGCTGCTGGGGCAAGGGAATATTGACGAGACTTGGGTATATCTCTGCCTGATTTGTGGTGATTTCCCCCCCTCCACTAGCCACCTTTACTTCTCCTGTGGTGTTAAAGGTCTCTCTCACTCTCTCCCAACCCTTCCTTACATCCTTCTGAATAAGATTGTGGGATGCAACCTAGTGGCTCTTAAGCTTCTGTCATACATAAAATGCATGTGTAATTAGTTTTCAATGTTTCTCAAAGTAGCAAGATCCACATACTGTCTTTTGAGGTATATTTACATTTAATTTTAAATCTGTGTAACCTTTTAGCTGGATCATCGGTACAATGAGTTCAAACTGTGGGCAATTATGTCTGAGCACAAGAAGACCATCACAGCTGTTTCCTGGTGTCCCCATAACCACGACCTGTTTGCAAGTGCAAGCGCAGATAATTTAGTAATAGTTTGGAATGTGGCTGAACAAAAAGTTACTGCAAAACTTGATGGTACAAAAGGTAAGCGAGAAATTTGAGTCTAATGACATTTATTAATAGCAAAATGAAGCCACCAAAGGCTGAATCCAGAAGTGCTGTTCTGTCAGTTGAAGACAGCCAAGGCTCCCACAAGCAGAAGAATGTGTGTGCGCTTTTTACTGATTTTCCACTTTAGTTCCCTACACATGCAATCTGTGGGGGATGGGGTGCATCCGGAATAGAATGGGAGGTGGTGCAGGGGAGGGGAGAAGGAATTGGTGAACATCACCTTGCCCCTCTTGACATGCACACCATTTCAGTTCACAGGAGCCTAAGTGTGGGCATGATAGTTTTGCTAGGATGACACAAAAAACAAATACAGTCAGTTTCCCAGACAACAGCTTGAAACTACAAACCTCTCTTCTGTTATCCTACTATAGAAAAGAGGGAGATTGCTGCGGTGAAAACAGTTGGCTCTGCTTGACCATTACTATGAATTAGAGTAGAAAAGGCGCCAGTTAAGGTATTTTAATTTGGATTATGTGTATGTATATTTAAGGGTAGACCCTTAGCCAATTCCACCGTTAATGCTTTGCCAGCAGTCTGCTTCAGGATGTTTCCTATGGAGGGAACAGATTACATTTGAATGGAAATTCCCTGTGTTTTGTTCAGGAAAGATCCATAACCAAATAGCAGCTCTTCCTTCAAAAGAAAAATAAAAACCATGTGACCTTTCCATTCCAGTGTAATAACTTCCTTATGTGTTTCTCCAGAGAAATTCTTCCTTTGAAGAGGAAAAAAATACATTAGAACCAGCACGCATTCTCTTTGTGTTTTTAATCTCAAGGCTGAAATGTGTTCATAGAGTGAATATTCAGACTGAGAGATGAATGTTAATTGAGTTGCCTGTTTGTTTAAATTCAGTATCACACTATTAGAGATGTGGCACCAAATATTTTTTTAGATTCTTAGATTATGTTTTTATTTTTCAGGAATTCCTGCATCTCTTAGTTGGTGTTGGAATGCAGGTGATGCGGTTGCTTTTGTCTCCCATAGAGGACCCTTGTATATTTGGACAATTTCAGGACCCGACAGTGGTGTAACAGTACATAAAGACGCTCACAGTTTTTTGTCAGACATTTGCCTGTTTAGATGGCATCCCAAGAAAAAGGGGAAAGTAGTATTTGGACACACTGATGGAAGTCTTTCTATTTTTCAGCCAGGTAAGGGTCTATTTTATAACATATGCATGTTTTGATACATGGTGAAGAAAACCATTGTTTTGAGAAAACTAGACACTTGTTTTTCACGGATTCTCTCCCCTCCCGCCATTGCATTGCTAATGGAAGGGAGTGGAAATCTCAGCACAAGATTGATTTTAGATTAACAAGGCATCATAATTTATTACTACATAATAAGCACATTCTTGGAATACAGCGGCCTTGTTTGCAAATCGCAGTAAGCCAAACTGTGTCTTCCTGGGACCATGCAAAGTGGAGAGGAACTCGCACTCATTTTGCTGCTACCAGGTCCTTTTAGTCTTGGCTACAGATCATGGTTAAGGAGGGGAGAGCTTAACTGCAGCTTCATGCTCAGATGATACGCAATCCCTGTGCTAAAAGGACCAGGGAAGAGGGAAGTAGGTGTGAGCATCAGTTCATAAGCCAGCATGTTTGCCGGGTACCAATATGCCATAGTTTGGTTCACCATGCAAACAAGGTCTGTAAATGTTTGTTAACAACAGGCTAATAAAATAAAAATATATACCTAATCATACATAGATGGGAATGACTAAGAATTCTGACTATAGGAGCCAACCCCTAGGGGCTATGGGGTCTTTGCCCCCCCAATAAAATATTTGAAGGGGCTGCCCCCCCCCAAGTTGATGGGCATTGCCATTCAAATGGTGTGCATGCACCACATCGTGTGCTTGATTATGCAGGGTGGGACCTACCTGGGCCCCCTAATATTTTATTCAAGTTGGTACCCCTGATTCTGACATCCACTTTATACCTTTTGCTTGATACCTTAGTTTCCCATGTGGAAGAAAAGGTAGATATGGTGCATCATGAGGTCATAAACTGGCAGTCAGTAAGCATGGTATATTATAACTTCTCAAAACAGAGATGTTTCTGGAGAGTGGCAGTCAGAACAAAAAGACTGATTGTCAGTACTTTGGATATATCTTTATATAGCTACAAGTGTAGGCATGTGGCTTCTATAGGTTTGTTTAGATGAATGAAGCCAGTCTCTGCAAGACCATATTCATTTTCATATTGCTATAGCAACTGCTGCAGTTCTGTGTCAGTTCTCATTTTCAGAAGGAGGGATCTTTTTGATTTGTTTTTCATTCTGTTCAGTGTTGGCAGTTTAGAACCAAGCTTGTCAGCGTAGAAATTCAATCTGCACTTGGACGCGTCACAGTAAAGAGAGCTATCACGAGCCATTTTGTTCAGATTTCTTATTTTTAGCCATTTGCCCCACCTTAGACCAATTTAGAAAAAGACACATGATAACATGAATTCATTAATGAGTTAATTTCTGCGGAGAATGTTCTGGATGCAACAATTTTCTTTTCAATTGCAGGTTTAAAAATACAAGCACACAGTCACATCTCACTTTCTCACCTCCATGTACTAGAATTGTTGAGCCTTTGCTAAAATTGGATGAACCAATCAGTTCTGTTCAGTATAAATTTGGAACATTTGTATGTTAGAATGCCTCTGTGTAATCTGCATCCTACAGGGAAGCAGAAGCATGCAGTTTCCTTTTTCTTCTTTATGATGGAATCAAAGACTCCTGGTGTATTTTTTATGCCAAAGATATGCATGGGCTCAACTTCTACACACACACTAGCTCTGAGGAAAAATGGATGCTTACTATAACTAAAAGATTAAAAACATCATGTTGAAGAGATGACCCTTAGTTTCTGATTTGTTAGAATGCATCCAGGCATTGCTCGTAATATGTGTATCATACCACATTTGGGGTTCTCTTCCTAAGATCCTTCAGTTACCCCCAATGCAGAGCTCTGGATGAATCTCAAGATGTACATGAAACACTTTAAGCAGGCTGCCTTGTTCACTTTCTTGCTTCATGAACATGACAGGATAGACATGAAAGTGTCTGTTGCTTCCATTGAAATGAATGGGGCATTTAGAGGCTGGGGGATGCTATCTGTGCATTAAAGTTCGTACACTTGCTTTGTTTTGCAAGGATGCCTGTCTCTAACGAAAGCTTTGAGAAGTTCAGGCAAGTGCATGCCGTTCACAAGAAGCTGCTGCAGAATTGCATCTCTTGATATTGCAGTCGAATTTGAACCCGCAGTCTTTAACAAGACATTAGTAGGAAATTATAGTGAATGGTCTTCTTTCTTACCAAGTGCTGTTTTGCCCTCCAGAAAAGCACTGAACACCTTCCGTGCTGTAATTTAAGGCTGAGTCATTATTGAGTAACTAGCACGATGCAACAATTACTTTTAATTGTTAGCATTTAGTGTCTTACCCAGTGCATTCACTTTATTTTCAACTAATTAGCTCTCTCTAGCTACTAGTAACACAGTGGAGGCACACAACAAAAAAGAGTGCAGATATGTGAAAGTTTAACTTAAAGATTGGTGTTCATTCAAATGTAAAAATAAATAAATCTGCAGAAGTCATTCTGGTTTCCTGGCATGTGTGCTTGCCAATAAGTCCCACTGCATCTAGTAGAGCCTACCCCATTCTAAGGATCTCTGCCAGCAGTAGCCAGTATAATCCCTCCAAATAAGGCGTTTCAGAAGTGGAACTCTGCTAAGCAAATATCCATTGGAGTCTAAGCTAGCCCAGCAAGCCTCAAGTTGCAGTGGGAGGCTTGAGTCTTCCCTGGAATTGGCATAGCAAGTAAAAAAACACCCCACTGCTTTCTCAACCAATATGTGCAACAGGGCTGCGGATTCTGGCAGCAACTCTGCAGTTCCTTTAGGTCCTATTGCTATCCAGCTGGGGTTATGGTTGTACCCTAAGCCTATAAGAAACAATTTTATTCAAAGCTGCACAAAGGCCAAAACCAGAAAAGGCTAGTTTAGGTAAATGCCACGATGAAGAGTTCTAATCAGGGAGAAGTGCAGTCTCCCAAAAGATTAAGCAGAATTGTTACAAAAGGTATGTGGAAAATTCAGGACAGAAAAAACCCAACCCCGTGTAAAATTAGTTCAAGCAGCAAAAATGAAATCTAAAAACAAAAGTTTTGCTTTCTCTTGTGTTCCACAGAAGAGGTAAGTTACTACAGAAAATGGTTTTGGGGTGAAACTGCTTGCTAAGATGGAGAATAGTGAAGAAACATGGAATAACATGAAAGCTTTTCAACCCTCCAACATTCCAGTCCCCTTTACTACTTGCTGATTGGTTCTACTCTTCTCCATCTCATTTGTTTAGAACAGAATTTTATTTATGAACTGGTAAATGGTAGGTCCGGAGTCACACCACTTGAGTGTCCATGATAAAGCTTTCCTTTTTCTTGGGGCACCTGATGTGATCCTCGGGTCTTATAAGATGCATTCTGGGCCAGAACCATAGGAAATATCCAAACTTTTGACCTGGTCACCTTGGCAAAAATGTGTCTGTCTTTTCCCTCCTTTATCTATCCTATCTCTGAATTCAGAATCCAGAGGCTCAGGCTAAGAAAAATCTCTGCCACTAAGACCGACATTCAGGCTTAAGCCAGGAGCCAGTTTATTGACCAAGGTTTGTTCCATGGAACAATTGTTTGCATCATGGATGCAGCTTTTCCCTTATCCCACCCCCCAAATCAGCTTTATTGGTAGAAAATCAACTTCAGTTAACAAGAACAATAGAAGGTTCCTGAGAATTGCACTGGCTTTGCCTTTCGTCGAGTAACCTGAAAACTCATATCTGCTGAGAAGAATGCAAAGAAGCTCTAGTGTCACAGATTCACTCTAGAGCTCATTGACTCTGTTGGGAGCAATCATCACCAGTGGCGTAGCGTGGGTTGTCAGCACCCGGGGCAAGGCAAGTAATTTGCGCCCCCTAACCCGTGGATTTGCGCCCCCTAACCCTAACCCCCAGAAGTTGCGCCCGGTGCGGCCGGCCCCACCTGCACCCCCCACGCTACGCCACTGATCATCACGGGTGGTTGCTGCATCCAGTAGCTTGGATCTGCATTTACTGAAAGTTTTCTACTTTCTGGGACTTTTGTTCAGTATCTGGAAAGCTAACTCTTAACCTGCTTTTAAAATTGATACATCTTTTACTTTTCAAGGTTCTAAGAGTCAGAAACATGTTCTAAGGCCAGAATCACTTGAAGGTACAGATGAGGAAGATCCCGTTACTGCCCTGGAATGGGACCCTCTCTCTACAGATTATCTTCTTGTTGCAAATCTGCACAATGGAATTCGTCTAGTTGATTCGGAGTCTCTGTCCTGCATTACAGTCTTTAGTTTCCCTAGTGCAGCAGCATCTGTGCAGTGCTTAGCATGGGTTCCTAGTGCTCCTGGAATGTTTATCACTGGAGGTAAATAAATATTTTCACACATTGTTTTATGAAATAGTAAGATATGTAATGCACAGGCACAATCCAGAGCCATGAATGCCAGTTGGTTATTTCCAGTTTACCTCAATAGAATGTGATTTAAATTGTGAGTTAGCTAAAGGTGAGGACAGAACATTTGAAGAGTGATAGAAATGGCAGCCAGCAGCATCCCTGCCCTGAAAACATATGCAACTATCTCTTGTCTTGGAAGCAAATTATGGAAAGGGGAAAAGAAGGTTCTGTGGGGGTTTGATCTAGTTTGGGTTAAATTGGGTGGTGAGGGGAGAAAAGCTGGCTTTGGTAAAAACTATTCATAACAATGCCAGCACCACTTTCCTCTCCTGTTCTCATCCTTGTTCATGGAACAGTTTTGTATCTGGTTTAGGAAAGTTAATTTGCTCAGTGTGTGTATATATACCTCTTGAAAACTAGATAACTCACACGATACACAAGAAGAGGGAACAGACTGAGGGCTAACACACTTTCTTGGCATGAAAGCATGCTCTGTTTGCTGGTGTGCATGCTGTAACCCTAGTTGGGAAACCAGGCTCACACACTGTGTGAAAATAGGTGAAGACCAATGCTATTTTTCCAGGAAAAGAGGTGCTAGAACTCGCCATGAATGCCTCTCTTGTTCTCTTATAACGGCAATGGCGTCTACCTGAAAGGTGCTAGAACTGAGTTCTGGTGAGTTCTGGCTGAAAAGCCCTGGTGAAGACAGACAACACTCATGAAACAGGACATGGGCTCTGTTTGTCATATTCTGTTCATGACTTGTGTTATGTTTAGCTTGTCTACCAAGAAATATGTATACATAAATATGTACAAAATATATTGCAGTTGTTAAATTTTTGATCATTGGACTAGATGGATAGAACTTTTTGAACTGATAATCAGAAAAGAAATGGGATTTTTCTCTTAATACAGATTCTCAAGTTGGTGTGTTGCGTGTCTGGAATGTGTCACGTACAACACCAATAGATAATTTTAAAGTGAAGAAGACAGGTTTCCATGGCTTACATGTTCTTAGTTCTCCCCCAAAGAAAAAATGTAAGTATCTTTAAAAAAACAAAAATCACAAGAAAAAATGTGCCTTTTCCTTTTCCTAACTTTCCCTTTTCTGTTTGCACTTGGAAACTCTTTGCTGTTCAGCACAATTTATAAGCCACAGTGGCATGGCTTGTCAGGATTGAGGAGCCTGCTACTTTGTGCTGCCCTGTTGCTCCTGCTTCGCTCCTTCTCTGGTATCAGCAGGAACAACAGGCCATGAAGTGTTGACTTTTTGTTACTTCTGAATACAGGGTTATTGGTTGTTTCTTCCAAATAATTCACTGTCATGGAGCAATGGCTAGTACAGACTGCCTAATCTTGGTAAACCATAGTTTATTGTTATGTGTGATCTGGGTCAATATAGGCTGTATAGTCTTCCAAAACACAATTTAAAACACATATGCACATTAGGAATTCCTCTTTAAGGATTATTGGAATACTTCAGAGAGTCTCATTTTATAATTCAAAATGCATGTCAGTAAGAAGATTTGAAAGCATGCTAGTTAAGATGCCTTACAATGTGTTGAAAGCTCACTGATCCCTGAGTGCTCCATTTTGTCCTCCTGTTTTTCTCCCTTTCGCCCCCTCACCAACCTGCAATCCATTCTGTTTACCATCCTTTCTTTGTCTTAATTGCTGTAACACCCTTCGCCAAAGGCAGTAATGTGATGAGTCTTCTGGCTGTTTAAGGGAGGGGTGCCATTTGAGAGAATCATACCAGGAGTGCTTTTCCTACCTGGGTCTCCTTTACCTGTGCAAAACCAGCATCCCATTTTGTTTCTACCAGGCTAAAATGGTTTGGGAGAGGCATTAATACTTCTCTTTTTTTGAATTTGCAAGAAGAGTATTGGGTCAGCTGAGAGTGAAACTAAAGGTGACATTAATTATGTGAATATAACTACAGTAATTTTTTACTGTGTATTTTTTGTACACGACATTTTACTGTACATTTTAACAGCACATTTTTTGTTACATAAATAGCAGCTGAGGGGAAACCTGAGCAGCTTTGGAATCATGGGGAGGGGGAGTTTAACTTTTTATCTCCTGACAAAATCATCCCTCAGAAGCTGCTATTTGCATTTCAAGAGGAGTCACTTTCATGTCCTCCAAAGTGGTATATTCCAAGGGAATATGTGTATTTGTATTGAATTCTACTTCTCTGTGTTGCTGACATCTTCAAACCTACTAATGTGCCTTCCTCTCCTAATTATTCCCACTGGCCCGATCTTGCATCATTTCACATCTCCTCTGTATTGTCAACATTGGAAACAAAAGCTGATTGCATAACAAAGTCATAGTATCCGAGTCAATGTATTAAATGTGTACTTCTTACCTGCTAATATGTTTGATTAGTACTAAATTTTCTGTTTTTCTTACAGTAGTCAAGTGGTGCATATAGGCATATATTCTGATTTTAAGAGAATTCAATAGCTTATTGTTGAAACTAACTGGATAGCTGGTGTAGAGTAGTGGGCTATGAGCAGAAACTCTGACTGAAGTGCTTGCCGATCGGAAGGTTAGCAGTTCAAATCCACACAATGGGGTGAGCTCCCATTGCTGTATCCCAGCTCCTGACAACCTAGCAGTTCGAAAGCATAACAACACAAGGTACCGCTGTGGCGAGAAGGTAAACGGCACTTCCGTGCACTCTTGCACTCGACATGGTGTCCGTTGCACCAGAAGTCATGCTGGCCACATAACCCAGAAAGCTGTCTGCAAACAAACGCCAGTTCCCTCGGCCTGAAGCAAGATGAGTGCCACATCCCATAGTCAAATTTGACTGAACATAACTGTCCAGGGGGTCCTTTACCTTTTATGAAAAATGTTCTGACTACTTAGAGAAAATGCTATAATTACTGGAATTATTATTATTAATTAAATTTCTATACCACCCTTCATCTGAGGATCATGGTGATTTTTATAAACAAAAATAAAAATACAAAACATAGTAACAAACGAAAACAATACCCCCCCAACAGTTTAAAAGGCCATAGATTGTTTAATTAGTCAGAGGACTGGGAGAAGAGGATTGTTTTCGCATGGTGCTTAAAGATATGTAGCGAAGGTGGCGGCCGAGCCTCCCCAGGGAGAACATTCCACAAGTGGGGGAGCCACCACAGAAAAGGCCCACGCTCATGTTGCCACCCTCTCGTCCTCAGATGATGATTGAAGGGTCCAGGTTGGTTCATGGGGGGAGAGGTGGTCCTTGAGGCACTGCAAGTCTTTCTGTTAAAATATAATTAGTATTATGATGCTATGTGAATTATCAGTTCTGCTTTCTGTGACTGAAATTAATACTCTTAGTAAAAAAGAACTTCTCATCAGCTGATTTTATAAATTTATTGTACTAAATCTCTCTGTGCCATATGCTTCAGTAAGATAACACTTGTTTCTGAAGGAGACAGCTGGACTGAGAAACTAAAACATTTAAGGAAAAGAAAGTTTAGGGCTTCAAAGTACTGGAGAGTAAATTAGGAAATTCTCATACATAAGAAATTCTCAGATGTAAGAAATAAATCAGATAGGGGTTAATTGCCGCAATTTCCCAAGAAATGTAGTTCCCAGTAGCAAGTGGACAATACTTTGTTTTAAATGTAGCAGAACATAAAACTTATGCTAATATGTTTTATCTTTTTAATTCAGCATTTTCTTCACAGTCTCCTACCAAAAACCACCACATGTCATCTACAAGTGAGGCTGTTCCACCTCCAACTCTAACACAAAACCAAGCATTTTCTCTCCCTCCTGGGCATGCTGTCTGCTGCTTTATGGATGGTGGAGTGGGACTTTATGACATGGGAGCCAAGAAATGGGATTTTCTTAGAGATCTGGTATGTTTGCTCTTCTTTCCAGTCTTTGAACTTGGCGTCACTTAAGGTATTTAAAATCTTCAAGTGATGTGCCCTAACTGTTCCTGGGGATGCTTTCACTTGAAGAATATTGTATGTCATTGGGGCTGTCTGTGGATACAGATGTTTCTCCCAGCTGCAATTTCCAAGCTCAAGGTTTTCTACCAGCAAAAATCATGAGTATCAGAAGCATTCCCAAGGGGATATTGCTATGTCCATGTGTTCGTTCCTCTATCTGCACTTACCCTAGTGATAGAGGAATACCTTGTGGAGAATACTTTTTGAACATGTAAAGTAGCCCAAATAGAAATAATTAGTTTGTGTGCTAATAAATAGGCTCTTTGCTTCCTTCTTCTTTGAAGGGACTTGGAAAACTACAGTAGAAGTGTTATCCGGAAGCGGCATGCCAGATTGGATGGAGCCACTTTGCTAGATTCCCAGGATAATGGGGGGAGGAGGCAGCAGGAAGGTCAGCGTGATTTAAACGCTGTGGCAGGAGTGCTAGATTAGCTCTGATGGTGTGTTTGCATTGCACCGACCTTCCCACTGCTTCACCCTTTCCCCTCCTGGTAAGCAGCAGCCACCAGCCTGCCAGAAAGCTAATGTAGCTTCTGCACCCAACCTGGCAAGCCTCTTCTGGTATCAGGCCTCTTCTCTTGTAACGGGGCTTTCTCTTGTTGCTCTAGGGTCATGTCGAAACCATCTTCGATTGTAAATTCAAGCCTGACAACCCTGACCTCCTAGCTACCGCATCCTTTGATGGAACAATAAAGGTGTGGGATATAAATACTTTAACTGCTGTCTACACTTCTCCTGGTAATGAGGGAGTCATATACTCCCTTTCATGGGCTCCAGGTGAGAATATTTTCACTTAGAAATAACTAAAGTTTCATATAGAAAAGAGAATGCTTCTCAGCTAAGATTGGTGGGTATCCAGAGTTATGTATATTTGGTAACTTCATGCCAAAAAGAAAAAAGAAAAAAGCACAGCTCGGAGCAAAAGAACTGCAAGGGTTCTTGCATTTATGGAATGTTGCTTTTCCACTACAGCCTCCGGTGAGGAGCCCCCTCAAATGACCTCTGATGTAGTGTGAGTCTTGCAACTGGGTTGGGGGCAGGAATATAGTACCTGGCACAAACTTCAGCTTTGTTTTTATGGTTTGGGGGAGTTTTTAAAAAGCAGATTCATAGTCTTTGTCATTTCAAAACTGCTTTTAGAGGTGTGTCAGCAGTGCCTGGTGAAATCTAAGAAGCTCAGAGGGGTACGGAATAAGATTTTTTTTATTAAGAAAGAAGGCTTTAATCTCCCACTACATTTCTTTTCTGTGTCTGATAGAGTCGTATTGAAAATGCACAATAGCAAATCATTTAGATGACAGTATGATTTCGAATGGGATGTGGGTGGCGCTGTTGGGATGTGCGTGGTGCTATGGGTTAAACCACAGAGCCGAGGACTTGCCGATCAGAAGGTTGGCGGTTCGAATCCCCGCAACAGGGTGAGCTCCCGTTGCTCGGTCCCAGCTTCTGCCAACCTAGCAGTTCTAAAGCATGTCAAAGTGCAAGTAGATAAATAGGTACCGCTCCGGCGGGAAGGTAAACGGCGTTTCCGTGCGCTGCTCTGGTTCGCCAGAAGTGGCTTATTCCTACTGGCCACATGACCCGGAAGCTGTACGCTGGCTCCCTCGGCCAATAAAGCAAGATGAGCACCGCAACCCCAGAGTCGGTCACGACTGGACCTAATGGTCAGGGGTCCCTTTATCTTTACCTTTATGATTTCGAAATAAGCGAAATTATGTAGATGTTCTTAATTTGCACATTTCATTTCGGTTGGAGAATTCAGTTCAGGCTGGTGCAAAATTTTGGTTACCTTGTAGAACTTAGATTCTTCTTATAAGTGCAAAGTGTACATGGTGCTATATATGAGTGAAGAGAAAAAAATCAAATTGCAGCACTATTTTGTGCACAAAGAGAAAATTGGTCAGAAATGGGCTTAGCTGGGGCAGTTTGTAAAGGAAAGGATCAAAAGAGCAAGTCATGCCAATTGTAAACACTGTGAACTGGTTAAGTCATGGCAAATAGGAGGGAGCATGCTATCTCCTTCTAAATGTAGAAACATACTAGGCATGTTCCATGAAGGGTAAAGAAGCTAAGGAATCTTTAGAGGCATGTGAGGAAAAAAGAAAATCGGAAGGGGAAAAACCCTGACTGCTTGAGAAAATAATAGTGAATGAGCAAAATGGTTTGTGATTCTTTGGTAACATCAGAGGTAGAGCTGAAACTGAGTATTAGGTAAACAGAACAAAGAGATGCCTGCAGTGAAAATAAGCAGAACTTTGAGGAAGTTTTTATGGAAGAATATGAAAACAGCTGTTTAGAAGAGTCAAAGAGAAGGGAAGTTCAGGGAAGTTCTTTTATTACATCGCTAGTTCTGAGCCTTTAATAGGTAATAAGAAAAATAGGATAAATAAGAATATAGTTAACCTTCTTTCTATCCAATGGACTCTTTCCTGAAGGAGACTTGAACTGCATAGCTGGTGGAACTTCCAGAAATGGTGGCTTCATCTGGGACGTCCCACGGGGCAAAATGATAACCCGTTTTAATGAGGTAATGTGAGTTTGGTTTTAAGTTCTTATAACTGAGGTAATAGCAGGAAGATAAACAGTGTTTCTGTGCGCTCTGGCACTCGTCAGAAGCGGTTTAGTCATGCTGGCCACATGACCCGGAAAGCTGTCTGTAGACAAATGCCGGCTCCCTTGGCCTGAAAGCGAGATGAGTGCCGCAACCCTATAGTCGCCTTTGACTGGACTTATCCTTCCAGGGGTCCTTTACCTTTACCTTATAGCTCCCACTAATGCTTGTTTAAGGAAATGTTCAGTTAGTATGTGTACCAGTAACCTGATCCTAAGAGCTATTAAACTTTAGCTGCAAAACTATAACAAAATTCTAGGCCAAAAGTGAAACTTTTGTGACTTATTTAGTCAATGATGAAAAATACCCCTCCTCCAGCAATTTGGTGGGGAACACTTTAGAATAAAAGTGTCCACTTACCTTTTTAAAAAAATAAATAGAGCCAAACAATCTTGGGGAATGAACAGACAGTAGTAAAAGTCACAGTGGGGAAGGTTTGCCGGTTTCCCATCATGCACACCTTCCCCTGGGGACATTTCAGTCATCCTAAAAATGCTACTTTTAAGATAAAAATATTGTGTTTTCTGTGTATCCTCAGTTAAAAATTGAAGTGTTGCAGATTCAAGCAGTGGTGGTCTTTTGGAGTCTTACTTAAACATTTCAATAAGGAGTGAGATCTATGCCTAAGGGCATATAGAAATAGTCTTGGAGCCAGACTAGATGTGACACTAATTGTATGAATACAGTTTTTTATGTATCTAGCAGTCATGAAATGGCTTGAACAGCCTTGGATCATAGGGTTGAAGCGCTTATAAATGTGTTCCTGCCCTGGTGCCAGGAAAAATAATCTCTCACAAGCTGTTTTTTGTGTTTTAAGAGAACCTTCAATTGGCAGAAAGAGAAGTAGTTCAACTTCCCATCTCCCAAGACCTTTAAAACTCCTTCCTGGCTATTGTTTGCATAATGAAAACATGTGTTAATTGCATCCACACAATTCAAGTTGCATCTAGTTTCCTCATTGTCTGGAATTCAGAAAAGCACTAGTATTATGATTGTGCATCTAAATGTTTACTCTTGGGTTATTATTTTAAAAGGTGGAATTTTAGAGTTTGCAAACTGTTGTTTAAAATCTTTAAAGTTCAAAAGATACTCTTAACATGCTGTTGGGGAACTGATTAAGGTTGTATCTATTCATCTTCATTTGGCTATAACTCTCCAGTCTTCGCCTCAGTTCTTAAGACAGAAATTACTAGAATCCATTAGCTTTCTGTTTCATCCTCTTTCTTATCATGAAGAACGCAAAAATATTACCTAAAAGAGGCCACACCCTGTCATTACAAAATGCCTCATGGGAGCAGGGGTTATGTTTGCTTAAAGGCTGGTAGAAAATATTGATTACTCCTACTTGGAAAAGCGGGGTGGGGAGTCATAAGAAAAGTATATAAATAAGAAAAAAAGGGGTGAATTATTTCTTATTGATAGGCATTTTACATTTTTTGAAGCACGGAAAGAGTGGAATCTTCTGCATTGCATGGAGTCATAAAGATTCCAAAAGGATAGCAACCTGCAGTGGAGATGGATTCTGGTGAGTGCTATTTTTAAGACAACTCTATGAAAATTTATGCGACAAATAGCAAAGCATTATTTGATTTGACTACTACCTGGCAAATGTGAATTTGATCCTATCTACTGATATGGAGGTGCATGCTCCAGAAATCTTGTAGTGTGATTTCAGTCACTTGTCACTATTTTTAAACAAAAATGTTGATTATTTCCAATCTCAGCACTGTAGTTTGCCAGTGCTAAGTTTGCTTTGATTGCAGCTATACAGTCTTTGAATGTGGTTCAGAAGGCAGTAGACTTCTCTCCAGTCTTAGTGCTGTGGAATCACACCATTATGGCAGCAGCAGAGGCTTAACTCTGATTTTGGCACTTAGTCCTTAGATGGGACATATCATATCTCTGCGGATGATGTCATATGATGTAAGGTAACTGACAGGAGGGCTTTGCTTGCCCAACATGGCCTTGCATGCCAAAATTCAGAGGCCTTACAGCCTAATTAGGCCTATAGGCTGTAAGTTCTCCACTGATATATCACCACTGATATACATTGTGACGGTATTAATTGATTTAATTTTCTGGCAAAATGTAAATGGATAGCAGGCATTGTCATAAAGTTGCATGTCCCAACAAAGGACAAATATGTGATTTTTTAAAAATGTGGTTATAACGTGGAACTTTTCATAAAATCATAGTTCCCTGATGAACAGACATACAGACCTAAAACATATTGTATCACTGTGGAGGATTATTAAATTTATATAATTTTAACTTAGCTTTTGGGCTAACCCCATTTGTTCTGTGTAGTTGCTGCTGTGACTCTCTTTCTGTGCTTCCAATTTTCCCCAAAGTGCCATGACAAACAAATAAAACCATGTAAATACAAAATTATAAATCTCTGATTTCCACATTCAATTCATTCAGCATTATTCGGACCATTGATGGCAAAATTCTCCACAAGTACAAACATCCAGCTTCAGTTTTTGGCTGTGACTGGAGTCAGAACAACAAGTAAGTACTTTCATATAATTAACTTCATAGTGAATTATAAATGTTAGAATAAGCTTGTTTCAGAATTAATGTAGCTAGAATAATGTAATGGTTTTAGTGTTATCTAGCTCAGTAGGATCAAGTAAAAGGCAATATGTTCTGTATCAGGTCAGTCTAGAGCTGAGAATTTATATCCTTGAAAGACTTGGCAGTGTCAAATTCCAGTTTGATTTCTGCCAGTTATTGTACTGTGCATGTGCTGTAAAGTAGTCATGCTGTCACTCACTTTTTATGGGGCATCTACAAAAAACCAATAGCAACATTCTCCTCTCACGTTTTCCCTGTCCAGCTGTTTTGTGTCCTATCCCATGCACCCGAGTTCCAAAAAAAGACTTTTTAAAAAGTCGGTAAAATTGTTGCACATTTTCCTTGGGTATTGATGGTCTATTGTGATGCTATTCTGACCAGCTACGACATCTCTACAGGCTGTAGCTGTTCCCTTGACTAGTCCACATATTTCCTTCTCTGATCTTTATCTTCTCTCTAGGATTCAGGTCCATCACTTCAACCTTCCCTTCTCAAATTGCGTTGTTTTTATATCCACTCCCAGTCCTGGCTGCAGTAAGGGGGCGGCACTTGATTTCTCTGGTTTTGTTGTTGTTGTTTAAAGAGATTCAACTAATTTGAAAACAGGATGACTGCTACAGTTAGATGTTTAAAATGAAAATGTAATAATGCAGGGCAAGTTTTCAAAATGTCTTGTTACATTTATGTGTGCCTTCTGCAGCTGATGACTGTACTATATTTTACAGAGATATGATAGCCACTGGATGTGAAGATAAAAATGTCCGTGTCTATTACCTAGCGACTAGCTCTGATCAGCCACTGAAAGTATTCAGTGGGCATACTGCCAAAGTGTTTCATGTAAGATGGTCTCCTCTGAGGGAAGGGATCCTCTGCAGCGGTTCTGATGATGGGTGAGCATATTTGGCTGAAATTGCGATGGTGGGATTAGCAATGCAAAAAAAATGGTTTTTATCCATAACACAACTTTTCCCACTTGCACTCTAGCTGCCATCCAGCCTGTTTCATTGACCTTAGCTTACCGGTGTACCAAAGTACAGAATGCACTCCACAGTGCTGAGAGAGGGCACTTGAGAGCAACCGTGTCAAGACCCTGAGACCTCTCTGTGCCGCAGCATAATGACAAGGGTCGCCTGCTCTATCTACTGGAAACTCCACCAGGGCATTCAGTAATCCATTGGATTCCATTAGCTTCCGAGCACAGATCTTCTTAATCTGCCCACCAGCCTGCAGGGTAGGATTAGAGCTGTAAATCCAAACTTCACAAGGAAATGATCTGACCCTTACAACAGGGTGACATCACCACTCATCTCCAGACCTCAACTCCCTCCATCTGGAGCAGAAACCCAATTGAGGGTGTGGCCTGCCATTTGTGTCGGACAACTTGAGACATCCCCATGGCCATCATGGAAACCCATGGAATCTCGAGTTTGAATGCTAGGGGCAGCCTCAGCATCGATATTCAATGGATATCAAAGTTCTCCTTCTGGACTCTGTCATGGCTGCAAAAAAGTTGAGGTGTACCTCTTAACTGTATGAAAATTCAGGCTGAGAGAAAGCTGAGCATCACTGAGGTCATTGCAGTAATTAGGCAGCAGTCTAGATTATCTGTGAGCAACTAGAAGAAAAGTAGAGAAATCAAAGTGGCAAACTGCACTTGTTGGATAAAATATATATCACTTTTTAAATGCATCACGTGTTGCCCATAGTGCAGTCTGCATGAACAGTAGAAGTAGAAGAGGAGGTTAAGGGGTGATATGATAGCCATGTTCAAATATATAAAAGGATGTCACATAGAGGAGGGAGAAAGGTTGTTTTCTGCTGCTCCAGAGAAGCGGACACGGAGCAATGGATCCAAACTACAAGAAAGAAGATTCCATCTAAACATTAGGAAGAACTTCCTGACAGTAAGAGCTGTTCGACAGTGGAATTTGCTGCCAAGGAGTGTGGTGGAGTCTCCTTCTTTGGAGGTCTTTAAGCAGAGGCTTGACAACCATATGTCAGGAGTGCTCTGATGGTGTTTCCTGCTTGGCAGGGGGTTGGACTCGATGGTCCTTGTGGTCTCTTCCAACTCTATGATTCTATTATAGTGGTAGCTTCTGATTGGTTGTGTTATGCATCGTTTGCTATAACAGTTCTGTATGTTCATCAGCCAAATTAGGCCTCTCCAGCAGTGCAATTAAAAAAAAAAAGAGAGAAAAAGGTGAAGACCTGAAGAGGATGGGGAAGCTGAAAAAGGAAATACTGTGTTATGGAAAGCTTCACATGCAGTTGTGACAATGTTACATTTGTGTGTGTGGATGGCAGCAAGAGTAAAACATGACAGTCTGCTGCAATGCTCGTTCCACTGATGAGCATGGAGTAAATAAACTTCCTTCCTAGTAAATCAGGAATTATTCACTGTGGAGAATCACTGCATTAGGACAACTCTTTCACACAGGTCTCTTAAATTTTATATATGTCATTAGTAAGGGAAAGTAAGTGTGAATGACTGTTATGGTGTTAGCAATTCTTGTAGATGTTCTTCTGGTGTTATCTGGATTTTTTTAAGAAAGAGTTTTGTCTAGAGATGTTCAAGCACTGCAATGAAACTATTTCACTTCTTTCTTAACAGCACTGTTCGAATATGGGATTATACGCAAGATGCTTGTATAAATGTTCTTAGTGGACATACAGCACCAGTACGGGGATTGCTGTGGAATACAGAAATACCTTACTTACTGATATCGGGCAGCTGGGATTATACAATCAAAGTGTGGGATACAAGAGAGGGAACCTGTCTGGACACAGTGTATGATCACGGTGCAGATGTCTATGGTAATATATTTTAATGTTTGACATTAATACATTTTCAGTAGTTTTTGTATGCTAAAAAATTGTCGTTCAGTATTTTAAAACAAATTTGTTACAATGTATTTTAGGATTAACATGCCATCCTAGTCGTCCCTTCACTATGGCCTCTTGTTCACGAGATTCTACTGTGAGGCTTTGGTCTTTAACACCTCTAATAAATCCTCTCCAGATAAATATATTGGCAGACAGATCATGGGATGAGATTATCGGAAACACTGGTGAGTAAATATACACATATATGTGAGCGATGGATAGATAGATAGATAGATAGATAGATAGATAGATAGATAGATATAGATGCATGCTGACTAGGAATATACAAAGCTATCACTTTATTTCCACATTTTCCACTCATCCTCTCGCATGTTCACAGAAGGTTTTGTGGAGAGTCTTGGATATTCTTGCTTTTCAAGTCAATTTTTGCACATACAGGAGTCTTATGTACCTACTCACCCCCAGCTGAAATAGCAGTAATGGCAATTTATGTGCTTTACACCACCGGTTTGTTTCATGCAAGTACACTGTTTCTGTATTGGTCACAATTCTGGATGCAGCACAATTTTTGTGCCTTTTCTTGATGTACAAAAGCATAAAACAATTTGAAAAGTTGGATCTGCAACTACACGGACTATCCTGGAGACTGACAGCTACAAGCTAAAAATTACCGATTTGCTTGCTTACGTTTGTGCACATTAAACATTACCCATATATAGCTCTAGTTGTGTGTAGTTTCACATGATTGTGCATTGAGGTGTGCATCTCATTGAGCATCGTTTACTGACAAGCATCCCACATTCAGGGATGAATGCTAATGTGCATTCAGCTTGCTATTTTATCCCTTTCCACCTGGCTTGTGGAAGCATTTGCCCAGTGGATATGCCAGTTAGTTTCTCATCACATTGGAAGGTAAATAAGAGATAATGGAGCATTCAGGACCATTGCCCACACCAGCAGAACACCATATGTGGTAGTAATCACACTTGCTGGGTTTACTGTGGAATCCCTAGCTGCAATTCGCAGGGTGCCAGAGGCCAACAACTAGACATGCAAATGTCCACCCATGAGTGGACTTCGGAGTATAGCCATATATCCTCCACATTGTCTTCTCTGTTTCTAACAAGGTGTATAAATATTTGTTTTTAATAGATCGTGCTGTTGAAGTAGGTGCTTCTCCTTTGCTATGTGGCAAAGTATCTAGGGATATTAAACAAGAAGTAGACAAATTGGCTGGTAATCCCCGAGGGAGAAAACTGAGGTGGTTTTCCGAATGTTTATCAGTAAGTATTAAATAGTAAAAAATTGTGTGCATGTAAGATGTAGCTATAGAACTTTAGTCTCAATGGGTTAGATGCAAGGCTGCACTGTAAGTATAATAAACCTTTCACAAAATGGTATGTTTACTGTATTATATATTACCAATGCATTTTTCACACATCTCATTTGTTACAAAAAATAATAAACTTGATTTGTCATTTGGCATATGGATCTCACATCAATTTAGGTGCACAATATAGCATAAATTATGACTACCCATGGGAGTTCTAACATAATCAGTGTTTTTAGTAGGGTTGGGTTGAACAGGGTATGTAAGGTTAATAAATCTTTTTTTTTTTTAATGATATTTATTAAAGTTTCAAAGAATACAAGAATTACACAAAGACAAAAAATAAAAATACAAGAAAATACAAAATACAGAAAAAAGGATAAAGTTTTTAAGATATAACAAAAAAATGAAAAATAAAATGAAACATACAAAATAAAAACAGTTAAAAACACGTTAATTTTCCATGGCATATCTTCCTTAACTTATTTCCCCGGACCTCCTCGTACCTCCCTTTTTTGTATTCCAGTTCAGTTTGTTAGTTCAGCAAATCCTTACCATTAAGCTTTTACCCATTTGTAAACCTTTTTTCGTATCTCTTAAAGCATTACAGCTGGAAACCACTTAGTTTCTATCCAACATCCTTCTAAGATTTTACAATATTTCTGTAAATAGTCTTTAAATTTCTTCCAATCTTCTTTCACCGACTCTTCTCCCTGGTCTCGGATTCTGCCGTAAGGTTAATAAATCTTATCACCATCAATGTTTATTGCTTATATATAGTATTTCTAAGATGGAAAGTACTTCAGAGTCTTCTACTCCCCTTAAAATTACCCAGTGTTCCCTTTGTACAGATTGGAAACTACCAAGGCAACTGTGTGTTCATGGCCAGGTAGGGCTTGGCCAAGTAGAGACAGAATCCCACACTGAAGCGAGATTGGTTGGACAAAACAAGCTCACTGAGGCTACTGCAGCTGCTTCCACAATTTCCTTTAATATAAGAGTGAAGGATAAATACTTTTGAAGAAAACTGACAGCCCCTGAGTTCAGCTGTCATATGCTTTTCCTCTCCTATTATAACGGATGTAATTCTGTGGATCCATTGTCTTAAGTTTATACAATGATGCTGTGCTGTAAGTTAGTATGTGGTGTGTATTATACCGATTTAGTACATTTAAGAGATCTAGCACCTGTGTGGTAACACCTCGCTTTCACCTGGATTCAATATTGGCTTGTTTAATTTTGAATTGACCTGTTTTTACTTTTGCACTGACTGGCAAACATAATCACTTTCATTGCAGGTTTAATTCTGATATGGCTTAAACAACATTGTGTTCCATTTTTTATTGTTCCAGCCCCCAGGAGGCAGTAAAAACTTATGGGATCTTGTTGCTGTAATAAAAGGCCAAGATGATAGCTTGCTTCCACAGAATTATTGCAAAGGAATAATGCACATGAAACATCTGGTTAGATTTAGAATGGTAAGTTAAATATGCTGGTTGATGCAATAGCTTTTGCTTCCTTTATTACAAAAGAAATAAGCTTTTGCTTATTTCATTTTGCTTCACAAGGCAAAATGATATTGTGGAAAAAGAAAATACATGCATTTCTTACCATCTGTGGAATATGAACTTAAGAATAACCCCCTTGGGAACAAGGGTTGCCTACATTGTCATGTGAGTCACTTAATTTTCTCCTAACACTTGTGTTTCCTTGAGCCAGAGGATTGCTTTAGCTCAGTGAGGTGCAGGCTTGCCTGCTCGTTTTGTTTGTTTAGTCTATATTCCTTCTCATAAGAATGAGTGGTTATAAATGGCATGTGAACCCTCAGTTCAATCAAATTTACAACCAGATTTCAGAATATAACAACTCAGTTTCCTTGTCTGTTTTTCTCATTTGGTTGTAAAGAATATGTATGTAAAGGTGTGTTTTTTTACCAATAGGAATTTCGTAAAGGAATTTATTCTGACAGTTTCCATTGAGAAATTGTTATGGGTTTAACCAATACGAGATTAAGCACAATAAAATATTTTACAACAGCGGATACTCCTTAACACAGAAGTCACTGACCTTGTTTGGGGAAAGAGGTTGCCCACTTTGACCAGGCACATCCTCCTACCCTTTCAGCCTTACAGGTCACCAGAGCTGAAATATCTGTGTTGGGGAGATAAAGTGCAGCAGCATTTCTGCTCTGCTTTAACATCTCTTCATTTCTGCTCTGCTTTAACATGGAGATTGAGGCCGTACGTTTGGGCAGTTTGTCAAGGCTTAACTCATGTTATAGGCAAAAACTTGATGGGATTTTTTTTCCCAATTTTCATCTTTCAGTCCAAAGCCCAAGAACTTACTACTGTGAAGATGTCTAAGTTTGGAGGAGGAATTGGTGCACCAAGCAAGGAAGAAAGGCTAAAAGAAGCAGCAGAGATACATCTAAGACTTGGGCAAATTCAGAGATACTGTGAACTTATGGTGGAACTTGGACAGGTAAACACTACATTATGATATGATAAAAGAGTTCAGTGTACACTTGAGAGGGGAGGGGAGGTGGCATTTTCTCCCACTTCCCTGAGTTTCAGACCAGATGTGAGTATCACTCTGGAACATATATATCAGGCATAGGAAGACATGGCCCTCCAGATGGTTTGGGAATACAACTCCCATCATCCCTAGCTACCAGGACCAGTGGTCAGGGATGATGGGAACTGTAGTCTCAAAACATCTGGAGGGCTGAGTTTGCCTATGCCTGATATATATTCCTTCCAACTCATTTGTTTATATATTTAATGACACATGTGGACAAATGAAAGCGCCCTGTGCGCTAGATATGCATGACAAAGGTTCAAATGCCTTCTGAAAGGTTGGGTTTTGTTCTGTGTTAATGTTGCTGTAGTTACTGCTGTGCATTTAAAATACCCCATTCGTGTGTTTAAGAAGCATTTTTTGTAGCTAGTATTGTTATTATTTGTACCTCATAATAACTATAACAGTGCTATTGCCATGGGACTAATGGTGCTGGATTTTATTTTTATTTTGTCAACCTTGCTGAAACTTTTAATAAACTGGCGTGTGTGTGTTTGTGTGTGTGAGAGAGAGAGCGCGCACACACACACCTCATTCCCACAACTAAGCATATTGCTTACATTAAATGAGGTCTATCATATTCATGGGACGCAGGTGGCGCTGTGGGTTAAACCACAGAGCCTAGGACTTGCTGATCAGAAGGTCGGCGGTTCAAATCCCTGCAACGGGGTGAGCTCCCGTTGCTCGGTCCCTGCTCCTGCCCACCTAGCAGTTTGAAAGCACGTCAAAGTGCAAGTAGATAAATAGGTACCACTCTGGTGGGAAGGTAAATGGTGTTTCCATGCGCTGCTCTGGTTCACCAGAAGCGGCTTAGTCATGCTGGCCACATGACCCGGAAGCTGTATGCTGGCGGCTCCCTCGGCCAATAAAGCAAGATGAGTGTTGCAACCCCAGAGTCGGCCATGACTGGACCTATGGTCAGGGGTCCCTTTACCTTTACCTTTATCATATTCATAGTTAGTATGCTGTTGATGTCTTCCATATAAAAATAATACATTACAAGACAAATGCAGGATACCCAACCCACCCTGGGTTGCAAGTGAGAATTGGTGGGCAGCCAGGAAGGATTAAGAATCCTTTCCTATCTGATGATTATCTCCTGCAAATGTCCTCCCTTCTCTCTCCTGCATTACTGTTAACCAGAAAATGTATTTTGAGAAAGCTGTGTCTGAAAAAGTTACAGTACTTTCACCCTTTATGATCTCTGGAAAAAATTACTTCAAAACGACTGTATTTTAAAACACTGTGAAGTAAACATACAATTCTTCAGTGATTCTACTGTGAAGGGTAACAAATGACGTACTGGCTTCTTAAGTGACATCATTTTTTCAGATAGTACTCATTTTTAAATAGGAATAGAAAGGGCTAATTTGTTAAAGTTGTCCATATAAAGGGAAGAGAATTAGAAATGGAAACTGTTTTTCAAAAACCGTTGAGTGATGCATGTTTCTTGTGTTGAGATGGAAATAATGACATATTCTGTGTTTTAGTGGGACAAAGCTCTCTCAGTTGCACCAGGGGTATCGATGAACTACTGGAAGAAATTAATGCAAAGGTAAGATGCGAATTCTAATTTAAGTCACCCTTTTGTATTATGAGCCATAGGCCTGAATCCAACACAGAGTTTGGCATGCTTAAGTCCACTGATTCTTGTAGGCTTAAGGAAACTTAATTCTGTGTTAGATTCAGGAGTGACTATAGCATCACATGCTGCCTCCCTTGCCTCCCTCCAGAAATCCCCCCTCCCCCGTTCTTCTGGCATCTTTAACCACAATTAAGTTGATTACCAGTACTTTTCAACTTTGTTATAAACCTGGTGTTAGGGCTGAGCAATCAAATAAGTGGCCATATTTACAGAAATGATTCATAGTGGTAGAAACAAACCTATCTCTTCAAAATATATCTTCAAACTCATGTCCTGCTTGCCATAGACATCTGTTTTTATTTGCAAACCCTGGTTAGGAAGGAATCTGCAACAGTCATGTAAAAGTTGTATCTGGTGATGCATTTTTCAATTAGTTATTTGAAACTATCTGCGTAAATGCTTGAGAGTGTAAGTTTTTGGAAACAGTGCTTTTGGGAAGAGTTTTGTGTCTCTCAGAAGGTTATATATAAATCTTGATGCCTCACTGATGTTCTTTGAATGGATCTGATACTAAACATAAATGAACTTAATAACGGCAGTGCTTTCAATTTTGATTAGGAGAGCTGACCAGTTAATTCAGGAAGAAAATGATGATGTTATTCCATACTGTATAGCAACTGGTGATGTGAAGAAACTTGTCACATTCTTTACTTCAAGAGGCCAGCTTAAAGAAGCTCTGCTTGTTGCACAGGTACCACTGTACACAATAGTAAATAACTCTTTTAAGATGTAATATAACTTTTGCTATACTCTGATACCTGTTGTGTTGTTACCTAAATCAACAAGAAAAACAAACTGAGTAGAAAAATTATGTTAGAACCATGAAATTATTAAATAAAAGGAAGGGATAGTAAAGCTCTAGATTTTCCTGCTTCTGCAAAGAATAAGAATTTCCATCCTGTTCCACAATTTACTTATAGGCTGGTGACATTAAAGCTGGTGTTTATGATGCCTGCAGTCCTGAGTTTTAAAAGCCTAGTAATGATAGACCTGTTTAGCCTACACTATTGTCAGAATCCTATACCTGTGGATTGGTACCAGTGCCAGGTATTTTGTGTAATGGTGGCACTAATAGAGCTAGGGAATGGTTTCAGTGTATTGGAATAAAAATCAAACAAACAGACCTATATTAGCTACGAAACAAAGCTTGGCAGCTTTTGCTAAGAATATCATTCTGTTGTGGATAATAGAAGCTTATACATCCTAATCAAAGTACTTGGAATTTTACTCTCCCACATTTACAACATAACAGGATAGCTCCCTGACTTGTAATAAATATTCTACCATCAGTTTGAGATGTACCAATATGGTTGTTCCAGATGGTAGCCGGGCTGTTTTCTCCTACTGTGATAGGACTGTTCCCATTTCACTGTTAACCCCTTTTTACAAATAATATTACCAATAAGACAATGGTTTATGTTGCTTTTGATTGACTTATTTTTTTTACTGATTTTAGTCAGCATGTGAAGGAAATATGCAAACATCCGAGTGTTTAGAATCAAATGGAACAGCGGATTTGGAAGGAAACAGCATGGAAGATTACACTGAGTGAGTCACTGAGTGGTTATTATTCATATGTTATCTTGTTGTTGTTTTTTGTTGGTCACAAAATTAATGTGGCATTTTTAATTGAGATTTGACAAATTTTTTTTTACTGAATTTTGTAAGCTATTGATTTGCCATATCTTTGTTGTCCCTTCTGAGATGGGGGACACATTTACGATTAAATTATGACTTACATGGTATGTGAACCAGGGCACTATATTCCAATAACCAGTGCTTTTTTTCCCCTAAAAAATGTTTAGGGGTACTCTCATTTTCCTACTCATATTGAAATACTGCCCCTCCATGAGGCCAAACTTTGATTCACAAATTGTTTAGGGGTAGGCATCCCCCTGCGTCCCTCCAGAAAAAAGCACGGCCAATAACCAAAACTAATTTATGATTGGACTGCCTCATGCTGTGGTGGTGCTGACCAAACTTTCAGATAGTAAAGGAGAAGGATGCACTAACAACATCTGGTAGATTTAACTACTTTTAATTATTTAATCCAAATTTTTCCTATTTTTGTTTATTTCTAGACTCCTGCACAAAGTTAGTAAAGAATTGTCTGAGTGGTATTTTCAGGATGGCTGTGCGGTGCTAGCTGCTTGCTGCCATTTAGCTGTTGAAAACATTGAGGTAAAAGTATTTTCTGTTTACTCTATACCAAAATTGAAATGTGCAGAATAATTACTCTTCGTTTTGTACATTTGCATACATTCTATTAAATTTTTTAAAAACAATCCTGTTATGTATAAATAAACTTGTTTTTTTACATCATATTGATCCAATGGGCAGTGTGGAATAAAGACACATAGGAAAGATGCATGGTCAGCAATAACAAAGGGAACAAATAATTGAAAGAATTTTTAAAAGCCATTCCTATTAGCCGGATTCTGTTGTCACATCACTTTAGGAGATGTTACCATTACTTTCTAGTTAGTTTTTTACCGTGTTCATTCCTTACAACATGCAATGCTACAAAGCAGGTGATGAAAATTCCTGCAAGCAGCAGCTGATAAAGTTGTGGGAATAACAGGCCTCAAAGCCTAGCAACACTACTACTGTGGTGGAGAAAGTCCCTTTTCAAGATATGTTTTTATGTACCTGCTATCTAGATATTAAAGCTGACCCCAAGATGCCATGGATACTTGCTGACCATTTCAGGAAACAGTAATTCCCAGGGGAGTTCCTACAATTGTCCCTAAAATGCAGATAGTGTAGATAGTGTTGATAGATAAGAAACATCAGCTCCTGGTGGATAGTAATTTCTCCCCTGTCACATCCCCCCTTAGTCCATATCTAAGAGCCAAGCCTGCATCAAAGCCAGATTTCCAGTTTGCTAGGCCCAAATTCATAAGTAGCTCTAAACTTTGCCTCTTTCCAAAGTATTGATTTTCAAAAGGTCTTTTCCAATTGCGCTCTTCCCCTTGAGAAATGACACCTGAGAGAGTGGAAAGGCAGCACACACAGGCTAAAGATCCTATTCCCATTCTCCTTAACAATCTCTTAAAGGGAAACCCTTCATTAGTGGACAAATAACTATTTCTGGTGGCCAATACCTTCCACTGTGGATAAACCCTCTGCAGGGATGGGGAAACATTCTAAAATGCCGTGTCCGGGCGAGAGGAGGTGCTCACTGGCAAGACGGTGGGCTGCCATTATGAGATCTTTAGATGCTTTTCATATTGGAAAGGTTGGATGAGTTACAGAAATTCCTGTTTAAATTTTCTAGAAGTTGGCAATAGCTTGGGTTGACGTGTCTCTTCTATTTAAAATAGTAATTCACTTTTAGCTGGTTTGCTTATAGACAAAATATTGCTTGCAGTGATATAAAGTAAAGCAGGTCAAACTATGAGTCTTGTTCATTAATGCATGTTTTTGTCACTCTTTAATGTAGCATTGGAAAGTAAATATTTTACAATGCTGGTCTCAATGAATCCTAAGTGTTTGTGATGCTTAATGATATGATTTTCTTATTGAGCAAGCTTGCCATGGCAAACCTGATTCGTGGAAATGAACTGGAATTGGCAGTCAGTGTGGGTACTGTCTTAGGAGAATGTGCAGCGCAAGCAACACAATATGCGCTAGAGTTACTAGCAAGAAAATGTATGACTATAACAACATGGTAAGAACTTCTTACTCCAAAGAATGTTTCACTCTAACAAACCTTGGACACTTTTATAGAACACCAGAGTCTCATATTTTGAAAACAGCAACAACAACTTTGAGGAACCTTTGGTTTTTTTATCCATAAGAAGCTATTAAAAAGTAAAACTCAACTACAGTAGCATATTATGAACAAACACCAATATTCTTAGAGCAGAAAAATGTCGTTTTAAATTAGCAAGAACAAGTCAATAGGTTTTCATTTGGCTAGTACCAAGTGCTTCCATATTGCAGGAGTAATCACTACCATATCAGTAGGCAGGGTAGATTTTTGAGACAGTTCTAGGATTTGTGCTCTGCTTGAGTGACTAAAGTGCACCAGGAACATGCTTGTGTGTGTCCACATTTGTCTTTACCACCTTTGTGATTCCACCTCAGTTAGAATCAGTTATTCTGAGTACCTTTTGAGCCTATTTTTTCAATCCACAAACATTAAAACTACATCTCACAGATTGAATGCCCCGTGCATAAAATGGACATATGACTAAGTTGCAGCAAGTACAGATTGCTAGTGCGCACACAATAATCTACGTTGATTTTCTGACCCATGTGGCTGATTTGACAGATAATCCACGAGGGAATAAATCTGCACATGTTGAAATGAGCCAAAAGGGTGGCGTGAGAATCGTCCCCTAATCCTCAATTTAGATTCAGATAATGTGAAGAAATCCAGCATAGTTTGTTTCAAATTTTGGGGTGATGTTTTGCTTTTCTCCTTTCATTTTGCTTTGCGTATCCAAGCAAAGTGTTATGGGATAACTATTAGCCTCATGGTTTTGATAAGGGTTGGAAGAAAATGGTTACTTTGGATTGTGGCTTATGTCAGGAGTGCAGTTTTAATAGAACTCGTTTTTTTCTGTGACTAAATGATAGCGTCCAAAATCTGTTCTTAATTTCAGGAACACTTGTCTTGCATGTAGCTGCTAGACATAAGTGGATGAGAGAAATGTATTGGCAGTTGCCACATTATGGTAGGGGATGTGAAAAGGGACACCCCACCCCCGTCCTCTAAGTTTAGCAATTGCTCAGTCTTCTCCAGCTATAACAAAGTCTTGGAGATTGCCTTTCTGTTATCATTTATGTTTCTCAGCTCCTTGGCAAACAAATAAAATGAAAGAGGAAGGTGCAGAAATGTAGAGGCCCACAGTTGTTTTAAGGTATGTACAGGAGAGGCCAAAGGGAAACAAAATATAAGCAAAAATCAGGCGGTGTTGCCCATGACCCACACTGCACCAAAATTAACTTTGGTGAGGACAGCAGTATGTGTTGCACTTTCTGTGATGGCATGCTGTAACCTTCCTGAGTATAGCTGCATACTGAGATGGCTGCGGAGCTTATAGCTAAGCCTTTCTACTCCTTGCAAAATCATATGCTTGTGGAATCCAATCATACAAACCAGAGTTTGTATGATTGGATTCCACAAGCACAATGAATTCACAATCCAACTTCTTGCAAGCACTCGCAGCTTTATCCTTTGCTTCCCATTTAAGAGAGCGTAAAGCTTTTAGCATATTGCTTTCCGAGTCAATAGAGCTTTTTTCTTTTGCAGCTTGGGTGATAACCACTACTAGCCATACTCTCAGTAAATCCAATAAAATCAGTTGATTTGAGTTATTCAAGTTATTCTCAGTATTATATTTCCCATAGATTGTAAAATGTGAAATAAAATCATGACCAAGAAAATGAATATTGGAATTCATTATTGCCTAAAGCCTTGCGATTTGGGTAATGTTTTGTTTTGTTAACGGTAGGATTGTTTTTACATAAAAAGTCAAAAGATAGTTAACATGGGACACATAAAATTGCAGTTTGCATGTTGGATGTAGTAGAAGCAGAATAAGAATTTGGAGCTGTCGGTTCCTTTCCCTGCTTTTTTAAAAAAATCCCAGCTTCTTCCCCAGCCTCTCACCATTTGTCCTGTGTGTGTTTAGTATATGAATGCTGTTTTTGTCTGTTACATTTTGAATATCTTTGTTTTAGCTTTCCATCACCTGGATACAGGTACATTCTTTTCTCTAGAAGGACATTCTAATCTATCCTCTGCAAAGCATGACATTTCGGGTTAGACTGAAAAGAAAATCCTTCATCCTCTGCTGGCTTTTCTAATAGAACAAAATACTTTGCATTTTAAGTAGAATAGACTGGCTGAAAAGAAACATAATGGGTTATTGATGAGAATTCAACCTGTAAGAACAAAAAGGGCATATCCTTAAGATATCCCTCTCCTCTCATGGGATTGTCCCATGCCTTCACGAAGAGGAACATTTGCAGTTCTGACAGTTTGATCCTGATACTATACTAGCACATAAGAACTGAGGTTAGTGATTCAACAGCTGTGGTGTTTGAATACTTAATATTATGCCAGCATTGCAGCCGTGTTAATGGCAACACTGGAGATTGGCTCCAATATTTAGGTTTTCCTAAAACCTTTCTTTGGCCAACCGTTTCTTGAAAGTTGATGGCTGCCTTGCCAGCCAAGCAATAGAAGGATCATAATCTATCCTAAGTGAACATTTATTTGGGCATATGCAGATGTACAAATTGGTATACATACTTGCCAACTATTTCTTGGAGCACAGATGGCAAATAGCTTTCTGTAAAAGCACTCCTCCAGTACTTAAAATATAATCCCATGGGGAGCATTACTCAATAAACAAAGCAATTGCTAGTCATACACCTGAGGTTCTTCGTTCATGCAAGGCTCTGGTATATGAAGATGCAGAATTTCCCCCTTGATAGTGTCATGGATAACACAGTGTGCACATTCCCATTTTGTGTATGGAGGTTCCCTGATACAGAATGGTGAATGATGGATTCATTTGGATTTTCATCATTCCTGACTATTGGCCATTCTTGCTAGGAGCTGGAGTCCTACAGCATCTGGGAGGCCACATGTTTCCCATCCCTTCATTGTGATAACAACTTGTTAGGCTCATGTACTATTGACTATATAATGCACACCATCTACAGTGAACTAAGACAGCTTGATAGCAGCAATATTTCTGGAGTTGCAAGATGTGTTTTCTAAGAGGTCACAGACTGCCTATAATCAGGGGTGCCCAAACTTTTTTCAAAGAGGGCCAGATTTGATGAAGTGTACATGCGTGAGGGCCGACCGGAGCTGCTGAGCTTTTTGTTGTTGAGCTTTTTTAAGGATTTTAGCCCAGGACATATACTGCCATGGGGGCCAGATTAAATCGGCCGACAGGCCGGATTAGGCCCCCAAAACAGATTTTGGACATGCCTGGCCTATATAGTTGCTGAAAATGGAATAAACTTAGTAGCTGTTTAATTTTTTTGAAATGATACTGAAAGATGTGGTCTTGATCTTGAATGATAAATCTACCTGAATTTGATTTTTGTTGTTGTTCATAGAATTGTATTTTATGACTTCACCAAAGCATGTCCAAATTACCTGAAGTGTTCATACATAGCTGTTTGCTATCCTAGGGATCTGAAAATAGTAATTTGATAGTGGCCCAAGCATGAGAGATGGAGAGTGGAAGCTTCTGCTTTCACTTTAGAACAAGCCACAGTTCTCTGTAATGACCAAACAGAAGTAGCAGTTTGTTCTAGTGGTCATTTGTTTTGTTAATTGACTTTCATCGGAACACACCACAGTTCCTCAAGCTCAATGCATTGTGAAACTGTGGTTTGTTGGAAAGTAGGAAGCTTTTTCACTTCCCCATCTTGAGGCTTGCTGCTGTTCACCCAAATCATGGTTTAGGTGATAATCTGAGTCAGGACTGTGTACATCCGTTTTACAACTGCATTAAAGGCTGTTGAGCTCATTGTTAGTAGGCAGTATCTTCTACATTACCACACTCTCTTCCAGAGCTGTCCGCTGCATAAAAGTAGCTTCACCTCACCTACAGTTTCACAGCCAGTTAAGAGAGGAATGGGAGCAGAACAAGTAATCTTAATTCTGGCATTGCTCACTGCCACCTTTTCACATTGCTAAATAACTGTGGCATGTTTGTCTTTTCACAGGGATTTAGCAGCAGATCTTCTTATGATGATCCCCAATAATGAGCTACAGTTAGTAAAGCTTTGTGCTTTCTATCCTGGATGCACAGCAGAGATAAATGACCTACATGAAAAGGTACACTTAAGAGGTCAACTGTCTCTTAACCATTTATGTGAGTAGCAGAAGAAGTTTTATGTTAATTTGCTAATACCTAGATCCATTTATTTTAGGATTCTTCCTATTAGAGTGCACTATAATCATAATCCTCTATGTTATTTATTACCTTTACTTTTTTTAAAAAAAAATGCTATCCAAGTCCTGTATGCACAGGAAGAAGCAGTCATTTCCTGTTGGACATACCAATATTTTTTCTTGTGGATGGCAATAGAAAGTTTCTCTACAGATGAAGCTTAGTGTGCATAACTGAGCTGTTGATCTGTGGCCTTATTATAGTATTAAGGTATCTACATCAGCTTGAAAAGTAGGTTTACACAGAATACTCTTTTCTGATGGAAAGGATAATATAGATTTAGCTGTGTGTACAATGAGTGAAGTCCGGTTTTGTTCAGGCGTGATACTGCAATGCAGAGGTGTCCCGCAGGACTTAACAGAGCCCTGTTTTCCTATCCCAGTGTAAGGATGTATATATGTGCAAGGGCATTATGGTGAATGAGAAGTCTGGACATACATCTCCTATGTATGCCATACAGATTACTTGTACTCTGGAGCATACGGTAAATAATGTACCTAGTGCAAAGACAAGGGGCTCAGGATACACAAATTGCACACAGACTTTCCACTCCCTGTAATGTTCCTTTGCACTGCCTGGGAAATAAACTGGTTTTAAGTTGTGGGGAACATTTCATGTTGGACACTGCACCCGTTCTTGTGCAAAACCCCAGCTTTCCGTACAAATATTGTCATAAATGTTGTTTTGTAAATGTTTTGTTTTTCAGTGCAGCCTACCAGATGTAGAAGAATGTATGCAGTTAGCAGAGACAGCTCAGGAGGAAGGAAATATATTTGAGTCAATAAAGTATTATTTGTTAACTATAGAACCAGAAAAAGCACTTCCAATAGGCATTCATTATGTGAAAGGTAGGCTTCTTAATGAGTCAGAAAATCTAAAAGATTAATATTTGCTTGGTTTTTCCGTTCTTCAACACTTTAAACTTTTCTTCTCCTTTTCTGTTTGACAGAACAAATCAGTAGCTCAGATTGGACCTTGGACTCAGTCTGTCCATTTCTTGATCTGCTAAGCTATATCCGGACAGAAAAGTTGTTACTTCATAAATGTAGTGAGTAAGTATGCTTTGTGAAAGTTGTGAAATTGAATCTGAGCTATTTCTGTGGTTAGACTTTATTTACCCCTGTGCCCTCCATTGCCAGTACGTCTTAAATAGCCCCAGCACAACTAAGCTGAAGAGAAATAAAGTAAAACCAGAGCTGACCATTTTAAACAGATGAACATAGGACAATTTTAGATGAGTTCATGTATAATAATAAACAGATTCTGTTTTTTGTAGAAGTGCAGTTGACTTCTGCAGTGTTTTATTCTAGAGCATGTTGAGGTCAGATCTTCACCTCATTATAAAGAATACTTATGGTAAAAAATGCATTTTTCTGCAAGCATTTTTTTTAAACCATGTATTCTGTAAACATGGGATATTGCCGGTTTTTGCTGGCTTTAGATATGCTTCTGGATTGGAGATATTCTCTGTGCTAGATGTTTTTAGGGCCCTGTGCACAGAGAACCACCCACACTGCCATAAATCCAGTGCTGTCACCGGGCCACTAGGCTGTCATTTTAGTGATGGGTAGGTGAACCGTTGCCAAGATCTGCTCCCATCTGCAGTGGCCACCCACCACTTTAATTTGCCCAGAATGTAATACCCAGTATGGATGGGAGCTGAGCTTGGTTCTCATTCATAAGTGACATCTCCACCTGCCCAGTGCTAACCTGCTGTCCAATGAGGAAACTGATTTAAGTGGTAGCACCACTGGAGAAAAGTGTGTGAGAGAAGTGGAGGAGAAAGGGTATGTGGAAGTGTGAGGAGCAAAAGGCCCCTTAAGTTTGGAGCTGGCACTGCTTTTGCTGTTTTGTTTTGTTTTGTTTTGTTTTGTTGTTTTATTATGTTTTAAACAGATGTTAATTTACTGCTTTGAAAGAGAGTATGGGTTTTATCCAGAGTTGTCCATGTGGATGTGGAACAGACTTCCGCTTAAGCAGTGTGACTTCAACATCATCTCCTCCCCACTGCAGTTCTCCTGTGACCTCAGAATCTGCTCCAAATGATTGGGGTGGGGGGTGGCAGCTCTGGAGTATATTTGGGAGCCAACTGAGGAAGGAGAGAAGGTCCCATTGCTCAATAGTAAACAAGTTTTATGTCTATGATCTTCTTTCATAATGATTGGGCAAAATAATGGAAGCACTTATTAATGTTCTTCTATTTTCAGATTTAGAAACGAGTTGTTAATATTGTGTGGTTACATTGGTGCATTACTGGCTATTAGAAGACAGTACACTAGCATTGTGCCAGCACTTTATGAATATACAAGGTAATTCTTTATTACACAATAGTTGCATCCATTGGAATTATGATGGATTTGATTGTTTCCTTTTCTCCAATGCTGTCAATTATTACTTATGATGTTCCTTGGCACTTGAATAGTGATTAATCCCTTTGAAATTGGCTTAGTCTTTGTAAAATATAATTTCTCAGCTGCCTTGATTTACTTGGCATATAACATGGGCACCACAAACACTGTTTCAAAGGGACATTGGGATTTTCTAGCATAATGTTCCAAATGGGTTTTATTTTGCAACTCGATACAAGGAAAAGAAATAAGAAATACTAATGAGAGATAGCTTCTATTTTTTTATAGCAAAGATGAACTAAACATATGGATGTGGTAGTCTTAACAATTATTATTAGTTTTTTTTTGCATAGGTTATATGTAATACTTTAGGGGTTAGAGCAGGGGTCTGCAACGTTTTTTCAGGCCAGGCTGGTCCACTCCCTGGCATCCACTCCCCATGCATGCCCGTGCGTGCGCTCAAGCTATTTCTGGGTTGGAAGAGTGCCGGAAATAGCGTGTGTGCATGGGCGCTCCTCCGCCCTAGAAGTGCGCTGGAAATAGTGTGTACGCATGCGTACAGGCGCTCCGGGTGAGGAGCGCATGTGCACACACACTATTTCAGGCACTCCTTCAACCCAGAAGCCAGTTCCTGTGGCGAGGAAAAAAATGGCGCCATGAAGAAAAGAGCACAGAATCCCCATGCCTATCCATGGAACGGCCTTGGGCCGGTTCCAGGAAGCTCATGGGCTGGAACCGGCCCATGGGCCTTAGGTTGCCGACCTCTGGGTTAGAGTGTTACATCTGATGGAATGGGCCTGGGTTAGACAACACTAGCCAGGGCTAGTGTTTTCCAGATGTTTTGGACTACAATTCCCATCATCCCTAGCCTACAGTAACACCAGTTGTATCTAGAGCACTACTTAGTTGTATTTTATTGGATTTATTTCAAAAATTGTGAATCTAGTATGTGGATAAGGAGCTTCAAGGAATGCAGCCTGCTGTATGTTTCTTCAGTCTTTCCCTTCCTGCCTCCATAGCTGCTATAAGCAGGAAAGAGTTGATCAGCTTGGTTTGGGAGGTAATTGCATGCCCAGTTGCAGAGAACCTAGCTGCCATTATTGCCTCCTTGCAATAATGCCTCCTTGCAATAATGCAAGCCTCCTTGACTGCCGTGAAGGAGGTGGTTGTGAGACTGCTTTGAAAACCTCAGATTGTGCTAAATATAGCACAGTTGGTAGAGCATGAGACTCTTAATCTCAGGGTCGTGGGTTCGAGCCCCATGTTGGTTTGGACTACATGGTCCCTTCCAATTCTATGACTGACAGGTTGCAAATATACCTTTCTTGTGCCTACTGTGGCATTTGCCATATAACCCAGACAATCTGCACTAATTTCAGTCTGGCTTCAAACCTGGGTTTTGCCCCCAAACTACCTTCATTTCTATGATGATTGAGGAATGCCAAGATGGCAGATGGAGTGAGACCCTTCAAATTCTCCTGGGTCTCTCAATGTCTTTTGATATGATTGATCATGGCATCTTTCTAGACTGGCAGTTGGGGGATAGTGCAGTTCAGTACTTGTGTTCTGATCTAGGCTATCATTTCCAGCAGGACATATGCTATGGTGTGCAACAGGGCTCCATTTTGTCCCTGTGCTGTACATGAAAATGCTATCTGGAGAAATGGAGTGAGGGGTCATCAATATGCAGATGACAGCCAACTCTATTTCTCCTTTTCATCAGATTTTGATGAGGCTGTTGAGATGCTGAAATGATGTGTGGAATCAGTAAAGGACTGGAGAAGGACCAAGAAGTTGAAACTCAATTCAGACAAGAAAGAGGTTCTGCTGGTGGATGGTTCATCTGGTTTGGGAGATGCTATTCAGTGTGATTTGGGTTGCATTCTCCCTAAAGGATTAGGTTTGCAGCTTTTGGTGCTTCTAAAACTGGACTTTAGAGGTTCAAATAAGTTTCACCTGCTAAAGGAGGTGTGTCAGCTATCACCCCTCTGGCCAAAGACCCTGGACACAATCCAGTATTATATCTCAGTTAGACTATTGTGAGTCATTGTATGTGAGACTGTCTTTGAAAACTACTTGGAAACTTCAGGTAGTCCAAAATGATGCACCAAAATTACCAAGACTGGTTGATTGGAAGACATCTAGCCAGTTTTAAAATTATTAAGGATAATGGTCTGTTTCTGAGCACAATGCAAAGTGCTGGCTGGGACTTACCTTTAAAGTGTGTGCATGGCTTGAGAGCCCCAGGTACCTGGAACAGCTCTTTCTTTTATATGAACTTCCCTGGGTATTAAAATTTCCAAGGGCCTTTCTCCATGTCTCCTTGCCTTACTTCTGGAGGCGAGCAGAGATAGGGCCTCCTCTGTGGTAGCTTTAAACCTTCTCCAAGATATACTCACCTGGCCCCAGTCTGATATTTTTTCCATACCATTTTTTTATCTTATTTGCTCAGGCCTTTCAGTTTTGTTAGTTTTATCCTTTAAAAGCTGCTAGCTTTTAAATAAATTTCATTGGTTTTATTATTTGTGTCTTAAATTCTTGTGAGCTGCTCTGGAACTCTGTACAAAGGAGAGGGATATTGTATTAAATACCTGGAAGATTGACTTCCATGGTGGTCCTGTTAACAATTCAACCAGGCCATCAACAGCAGGTATTTTTCATAAAAGTCTCTGAGACTGAACTGATTTCAAGGAATTATAGAGGATATGAAACAAAAGGGTAGGCAGGTGATTCTTCACTCGCACTAAGGCCTGCTGATTGTGACATAATGTGTTTTTCAAAACTGGTGGAAGTAGTTATATCTTCCAAGTGCTCTCAAATGGAACTGGGGAGAGGGGCTTGTTCATTTGTTGTAATTTTTTGTGTAATATATATAATATTTATTGTTGCCTGCCAAAAACCTTCCATATGGGGTGAGAAAGCAGTCTGTATAATTTGTATGCAGTTTTTAAAAGTTTGTTCAGATTGCCCAATTGTATAGAGCTAGAATTTGTCATATGCTTTCAAAACTTCTGTTACACTGCATTCTTTTCCAGCCAGCTTTTAAAAAGACGGGAGGTGTGTGTACCCCTGAAAATTGAACAACTCTCTGAGGAACTAGATGCTTGGAGAGCTTGTACTCAATCACTAAACAAGTAGGTGTACAATGACAATAATAGAATTTTAGATGATTTGAATTTGTGATCTTTTGTCTTTTAGTAGAGGACAAATGTATCAGAAATTCTGTTAACTTTTAGATGCTTTTTTTAAAAAAAAAATTCTTGTTTGTATGTTTCAAGTCAAGAAAACTATTGCAAATAATGATATATATTTCTCACACAGATCTGCTGATGAATTGCCCCCTACACCCCCATCTGAATTGCAACAAGAGATATATGCGACACTGACGTCTAGAATAAAAGAGGAACCTCTGAAAGTAACAATTGGACCAGATTACGTTACAGGCTCTAACCTTCCTAGTCATTCAGATGTTCACATCTCTTGCTTGACAGGATTAAGGATACAGGTATTTCTTAGTGGAGCTGGATTACATTTAGGAGAAGTTTGAAAGTATTAACTTCTGCCACAATTTCTCTCAAGAGTACTGTATTTTTAAAATGTGTAATATTTTGCTTCCCTCCCCCCATACTTCTTACATCCAACAGGGTCCAGTGTTTTTCCTTGAAGATGGAAAATCCACAATTTCACTCAACGATGCGTTAATGTGGGCAAAAGTGAACCCTTTCTCTCCACTGGGTACAGGAATACGGCTCAACCCATTCTAACAAAAGAACATAAGAACTCACCTTTACTAAAAACAAACAGCTAATATGCTGGTTGCTATTATTTTATATTTATTAGCTGGAGGATTTGAAGTTGAATCCCACTTGAAGCATAGTTTTATGTAAATTTAATTTTATATTAAATTTGATACTCCAAAGAGTCATGTATATCATTGGTAGCCATGGACTTTTGAGAATAGATTAAAATGTTGTTTCTGTGGACAAACATGTGAAGCATGTGGAGAAGTATCTGCACTCTATTAAGTTGCAAGGATAGCACAAATTGAAGCTCATAATTTGAAATGCATTCACGCATGTTATTTATGACATTTTGGAGCAGTATGGCTGCTTTTAGAACTAGCAGCCTATGATGGGGAGTATATGCTTCCTATTTTAGGTAAAGTTTGTGTATTTGTATCCTTGTGGTGGAAGCTAAGCACACATCCTACTGAACGCAACATGTTTGCCGTGCAATATCCTCTGAAACGAATGGAGCTTATGCAGCTCTTATAGAGGATGGATTGTATTCTGATAATCTAATAATTTATTCATGCGTAAATTAAATGGTTGTAAAGTAAACACAGATTATTGTTTAGCAAGTATTTTGGAATACTTAGTTTTACACTTCAACTGGCATGAGAATCTTTTTTCTTATATTTTGTCAACACTTCTCTTTATTTTAAATGAGTAAGCATATTTCTAAAATTTATTTTCAAAGAAAAATTTGTAAGTAAACTACTTATTGGAATGTACCAAAATACATGATGTAAATTTTAAAGTATTTAATTCCTTTCATTCTAGTGATTGTAAAAATACTGTATTCAGAGGTCCAGATGCTTAAATAAATTGGTATTGTTTCATAAAAAGGGTTTATGCTACTGTTTGTCCTCTTGTTAAAAAACACAATTGTGGCAAAAAGAGAGGTGAGAAGTTCTACACCACATGTAAATTAAGTATGCATGTTGGCCATGAATAGCCTCACTGAATAAACTTTGTGGAGGAACCACTGTGGCTGTTCCTTCATAATACTAGAGACAAATCCTATGTTTGCAACCACCATTGTTTTTCTACAAAAATATCTTGTTTATGGCCAAAATAAATGTTTACTTGATTTCCAGATTGTGTTTTACAATCCTACTAGAGAAGGATCAGGCCAGATTCCTGGTTCAGATATTGTGGACATAGTTAAGTGTGTCCTATGTGATTTAGATGTCTGGAGGTTGTGGCACTGGGAAGGTAGAAAGACATTTGATGAGGACAGGAGTTTTACGAAAAAGGGTGGATTGGAGATGGGAAAGATTTCATTTACTCTGGACCAAATCGACTAAGAATATGAATTCTTTTGTTAAGGAATCACAATGGCTCAGCAGTAGAGCACATGCTTTGCATGCAGAAGGTACCAGGCCCAATCTCCAGGTAGGACAGATCCTGTCTGAAATCCTGGAGAGCTGCAGCAGCCGGTCACTGTAGACAATATTGAGTCAGTGGTCTTAACTTTGTATAAGGCAGCTTCCTGTGTTAATAAAACAAGAGTTTTATCTGAAGGCAGGGAGTGAACGAGAGTACTTGAAGTTTTCACTTGTTCCTACCAGGGAAGGTACACTTTTCTACTAGGACCCAGGCTGCAACCCCAGTATCGTGAGGTGAACAAAGTGATGAATAAAATGTTGGCCATGCTTGAAGAAATATATGGAACTATATTTCCCTCTGTAGCTATTCTCCAGATTTTACGAAATTTTCTGGAGCCAATCAATAACAATGTTAGAGCAGAACAAGCAGTGAGATGCTGTCCCAAAGCCCTGCTCTGGAACAGGAAGTATATATTTCTGCAGTTAAACTAGAACTTAAGAGTGTAAGAAATAAAAACTTGTGCTTGCTTGTGTAGCAGTTTCAAAAACTATCAGTCCCAAAATTTGTCTAGGCAAGGAAGATGGACAAAGCATCATAAAGAACTCGAGGCCAATGGAAGCCTGTGTTGGTGGTAGGATTTATAGGTCTAGAATATATGATAGTGAATGTCCAGTGCACAGACAGTAATTCCATGTCTGGCTATAAATACAGATCAGGCAGCCAGAACTGTAAGAAGGTTAAAAAGAGAAGTTAAGCTAAATGAAAGAGCCAATCCTTCAGTTCAAAACAGACAAGAACTTTCTATAGCCTGGTTTGGGTAATATACCAACTAGGGAAGTAAATAAACACAACAAAGATGAAAATGATTTCAATATAGAGACCAGTCACTTCTAGATGATCTATTTATTGCATATTTATCCTTATTTGTTCACAAGGAGATTAGACATTGTGTCACACAAACATTATTGTACACTGTCTAGTGCATTTCCCCATCACTAAAGTCTGATTCTGGGGGGAAAGTTGGTCTGTTGTGCAAGAGATCCCAACCAGCTTTAATTGTGCAACCTGAATCTGTAACCTAAATTTATTGGTTTGTGATGGAACCCTGCCTTAAACTAGTGACTACCTGATTAAGAAAAACTGTCAGATGCATATGGTCATGTCATTAACACTACTATATTCAGTATGTTGTTTACAAAAAATAGCTATAGCAGAACTCCTGTGTTTCATGTTTGTTGAAATGTCCGAGCTTGTAGACTAAAGATATAACAGATAATTCATGATTTTGCAATGAAAGAGGCCAGAAAAACCAAAGCTTTAAAGTGTGTGGGCACACACAGCTAACTCAACTGTTTGTTACCCCTCACCATCCGGGCCAGTCAGCTCAGAATAAACTCGTTTGTCAATGTCCTAAAAATGTGGAACCAAAGACTAAAAAGAATTCATCTTATTCACGTCAAGCCATAAAAGAATAGGTAGTATTTTGTCAAAACAATAGTTAAGTTTTACTTTTTTTCTACTTCTGTCCTGTCCTGTCCCAGCACTGAAGTTAGGAGCACCAACAGGTCGCACAATGCACTATATCTTCTTAATAATACATGCATATGAGATACATTTAGTTATCACTGTGTTGGACTGAATGGCCCTTCTGCAAACAGAGGCTTTTGGCAGAAGGGTCTGAGATCCAACAGAAGTTCTTACCGAAAAGTGCAGGGAGGCTATTTCAACCAGTTTCCCCTTTCTGCTATAGGTCCCCATGCAACCTCTCATATTATTCAAGAGAGTCTCTCAAACTCCTAAAAGAACCTTTTCAGCGGGCTGTAAGGGTGAGACGAACTCAGCAAAAAAGCAGTCTCTACACCCTCCCAGAGGGGTATCCCATGAAAAGGGTTTCTGCTCACAGAAATTCAGTATCCATATCAATAAACATAAAATGAAAGACCACACAGAAGGAAAGTTTTACATTAGAACAAAGTATAGGTGATCTAAGGGGACACACCAAAGTTAGAGTGCAAAAAATATGTTAAGTACTTAAAATGCTATTGGGAGAAATTCCTTACAGTTAGTGAGGTTGGCTGATTTTAACATTTAATTATGTATGACATTGCTTTCTACCAAACTTTGCTCAAAAGCTTGCTCAGGACTGCAGATTTCACCAAAATAATGCATTTTAGATTGTTTTATTTTTAATGCTAGGAAAAATGTTTGAAAATATAAACCCAGCTTGCCCTAATAATCATTTGTATTAAACTTGCGCCATTATCTATGAATATAAGGGTAGATACACCAGCATTAGAAGAAGTCACTTTTGAGAATCCAATAAAGTGTAAAAAGCACTGATAATCTGCTTTTCATGTAGCTTATGTCTGTGCACCTACCAGCTTCCAAGTATGTATTTACCTCAGCACAAATGCTTTATTGAGCATAGTAGTAAGGCACATGTTCTCCAATATGGTAGCAAAGACTTCATAAGACTTCTGTTGTGTTCAAAAAGAGCTCTCTCAAACTTCTCTAGTTACAATTCTTTAAGATGGTTTAAGGTGCCAGAATTTAATTCACATCTAAAGGGCATCTCAGCTTGTTTCACTTGGACGGTTTTGAAATGAACACCCATTTTGCCTCTGATTTCTGTGGATGCTACACCTAAGCAGAAAAAAAGGTCAGTACTTTTACATCCCAACAAATGCAGTTACAAAACATAGCACTTTTTAAGAATCCTTTATAAGGCAGGCTTTATCAATCTAAGCTATTCTAAATCTGCTACTGGATCATCTCTGAACTTCACAAAGCTGGCACGATCACAGTTTATTTTTAATTAAATTGACATTGTTTATTAAACTAAGTTATTTTGCACTTCTTTTATCTCATCACGGTATGAAGATTTTGAGTAATAGACACATTTAGCTAAATTTCAACAACAGATTAAGACAGCCAATTAAGTATTTTAATTGGTTGAAAACTTCAGATCAGGGAAACCAATCTGGTGCCCTCTAGATGTTGTTGGACTCCAACTCTCATCAGCTCCAGCCAAAAGGGCAAGAGGTAGGGATGACTGGAGCTATATTCCAGCAATATCTGGAGGGCAACATATTGTGATCACCTTCTTGGATTTATATTTAATATATTTGCAGGAAATAGATTTAGAATAGATTTATAACATGAAGCTTAATTTAAAAGAAACCAATAGCCTTCTCCACTATGAAGTTACATTAAAGAGGGAGGGTTATACATTTGAGCAACATAGACATTTGTTTAAACATGCAACCTGGTGTTAAGTTACATTTACTCAAAAGTCCCAATGATTTATTCTCAATTAAATGTTCATAAGATTGCCTTCATGAAAAAATTAATGTACATTTAAATTTGATCAATGGTAATGACATTCAAGTAGTAAGTGTGAGACTTTCAAAAGAGAAAAATAATGCTTACTTGGCACAGGAATAGATTTCTCCTTCTGAATCTTCACTGTACTCACAGAAGGAACTATCATGGAAGGACGACGAATGGCACGCTCCCCCAGCGTTTTTTTAATACCAAACCGTTCTTAAAAACAAAGCAATTTGTTGTGCAAGTACTGCGATTTACACATCACATTTTCAAGATCATTGTCTTTTCAACACGACTTAATACTGATGAAAGGTAAAACCATCCTTCATTAAGGATAAAGAACTACCACCAGAAGATTAATCTGTGTGTGCCACACATCAGAAGGTGTGGAATAATTTGACGGGGGGGAAAGCTTCTATCCCTCACTGTGGCAAGAAGTGTAGCTACACACTGGCAATATTTCGTATCCCCTTTCCACTGAACAGTGGTCCTTTCCACTGAACAGTGCTCAAAGCAGCTAACAGAAAACAATGTAAAAACAATCCATTGAAGCAATCTATTACAATGCAATAATTATAAAGCAATAAAAAGGAAAGAAAATTTGCAGAAAGCAACCCAAGGGATGCAAAGAAATAATCCACAGAGGAAGCCCTCTCTTGATGTACCCTGAATAAAGGCAAAACTTGCAGTTCATTATTCTTGCATGTAATAGAGAGAAGACATTCAAGAAACATTTTGTCCTCCCAAGCTACTCACCTGGAACTTGCTCCCTCTCAAGCTGCCGTCGCTGCATATGCATATTGATAATGGCATTTACTTTTTGTCTGTTTTTTTGAATATTGGGCTCCACCATTATTTCTGTTAGCTTAATGTTGGTCTTAATAGCCCTTGAAGCAGTTGATCTCGCAACCATTGGTAATTTATCCTGATAATTACTGTCTGTAAAGTCAATCTCTTCATCCTGAATATGTTTTATCCTAATGGGAGAAATTATAATTATTTAGGTATTTGTGTTTGGAATGAAAAAAAAGTTTTGTGACCTCTGTGACAGTTTGAGGCCCTGTGCTGTTACAATGTTGCAAGCCTATGTAGCAGTAGTTTTTGGTGACAAATTCTGATGCAAGAGAAAGAGACTATCACTTTAAGGTTTTGTTAGACAGGCCTGGATCTGATAGGTTTGTGGAATTTCAGGCTCTGATTGACAGGAGGTACCAGTTCAGTGAGGAGTTAACTGTCAGTGAGACAGACAATTGGGATTTTGGACAGTTGTTGGATTGGGAGAGATAAAGGGGTTTTTGAGGAAAGATGGGATGCGGGTGGCGCTGAGGGTTAAACCACAGAGCCTAGGACTTGCTGATCAGAAGGTCAGCGGTTCAAATCCCCGCAACGGGGTGAGCTTCCGTTGCTCGGTCCCTGCTCCTGCCAACCTAGCAGTTCAAAAGCACCTCAAAGTGCAAGTAGATAAATAGGTACCGCTGTGGCGGGAAGGTAAACAGCGTTTCCGTGCGCTGCTCTGGTTTGCCAAAAGCGACTTAGTCATGCTGGCCACATGACCCGGAAGTTTTACGCCGGCTCCCTCGGCCAATAAAGCGAGATGAGCGCCGCAACCCCAGAGTTGGCCACAACTGGACCTAATGGTCAGGGGTTTCTTTACCTTTACCTATGAAGAATAAGACCAGAGAATAGCAGAGGGGAAAATTGAAGCCTTTATATTAAAACCCAGTGTGTTATTAATACTTCTTTGGTGGAGATCAGGGAAAGGAAGTGGTGCCTGAGTTCATCTAAGAGGCCACCCTGTGTAATGTCTTGTAAAGATATACTACATATGGATTAATGAGCTCACCTCCCTCCATTAATGAGCTCCTGAGGAGGAGAAAAGAAAAAAAGGCAAATGTGCAAGACGCCTGTAAAAGGCATTTATGTTACAAAATGACCACATTGATATACCAATTTATGTTTATGACATGGGTTATTTTTTCATCATAAGGTATCTAATGATATTAAAATAAGCTATATTCCATTGATCATTGTTGGTATTTCGTTATCTTATACGGAATCTGTTTATAGCTTTATTTTATTTATAGGCAGGTACCAGGGCTTTCATATATTTTTAGCCTTACTTCTAAAACACAGTATGTGCACTTTGAGGAATAAGGTATTTTAAATGCGTTTTATTATTACAATTATATTATGCATCAAACCACCAACTAGAATTGCATTATATGTAGTTGTAAATGCTATTGAGGGCAATTGCCCCTTTTAATTTCCCCCTTTAGTAAGGAGGAATAAAGATTTTGGGGGGGAATTTATGTTCCACTAATTCTGAAAAAAGTCTAAGAAAGACTAGTGCTATTTAATAGCTGTTTGATAGAAATAATAAGTTTGTTGATACCAAACCAGATAGTACAGGTATCATCAATCTTTAGGCATCAACTTGCAACATTCAAATATAATGTTGTTACAAATATAACTCACCGCCTGTTTGTCAGCATTGTATAAATGTCTTGTAGAAATATTTCTGCAGCTCCTGGTTTACAATGAATTGTTCCATCAATTAGCTCTCGGATGGGATGCAGATTTCTTTTTGCAAAGAACTTTAATAAAGGAGGAAGAATTTGTTTCAGATACATTAATTCATTTGAAATCTGCTCTTCTTGAAGGACATGAAAACTGTTTTTTATTCTTATCTGAAATACAATGTAGACTCCAAAATTTTAGCCTCACAGTTTGTATAACATAGTCATGGCAGGTATAAATATGCAAAATTTCACTGGGGCCATAGCAAACAAAGAAACATACATCAAAAGTATTTTCTATTTTAAAACCAGCACAAGTAGTTGTGCATTTGAAATACCATTATCATTACATCTTAATATACATGTATGTACATAAGCATCATGCATATCAAAATAATTACAGATTAGGTTGCAATCCTATATCAGTTTACCTGGGAGTAAACCCCACTGAACTGAATGAGACTTGTATCTTAGACATGTATAGCACTGCACTATAAAAATGGGTGAGACAGTAAAGAAGTTCCCATCCTTTTCTCTTTAACATATATTTGAAATTCACTACTACATTAAATACCTTTCCAAGCTGTGACCAGTTGCTGAGTTTCACAGGTAGGGACGTGCCATTTTCAAAGGAACGCATTTGAATGTCTTCTGGGTAATACCAAGAGAATATCTCAGCAATGAGATAGCCATTTGAAAAATCCCTACTCAAAATGTATAAATAAATGAAAGTTCACTATTAGTTACATGCCTTAATTAAGAAGTGGCATTCCCTGGATGGGAAGCCTCTGTTTCATTACCAAATCAATTTTGGAGCTTTCAACCATTACAGTACTTTCTTGTGGAAAGAAAAAATCCCTACCTACTCCCCTTCTCATATCCATAAGTCAACAAAACAGCTGTAAGTTCCTCTGCCAGCTGTACAGGTTACATAAAGAAGAAGGGAGAGGGAATTCTTCCTGGAAACCAGAGAGAGGTTCTGCTGTAAGGAGTAAACAGCATTAAACAGAAATCTAGATAATATATTACTAAACTATCAGTAGGTGAAGATACTGAATAAACATGTATTTCTGCAACATAGATAGGATTTTTAAAAAAACAAACAAACTAACTAACTAACTTCTGTTGCTTATGGCCAATGGAATACCCAATAATAACCAAAAGAATTATATGTGACTTCACAACACTGAAATGCAGGCACAAGAATGTATAATATTACATCAGTGTATATACGTTGTTCGCTTGTTAGTATACTAGGGGCTCTACTCACCAATCCTTCCCCCCTTCCGCACATTAACCCCTAGAGCTTCCCTTTTCAACCCCACATATCTACTAAGCTAGCTTTTCACCTTCGCAACCCCATGTCTGAAGTCACCACCATTTGGTCTGTAGGCCCACTTTGTGCCTGTTTTCACCATCACTTTTATGCCCATGCTCTCTCCTTTTCTATAACCCCTCTTGCGCACAAAACATCGCCCTCTCACCTTAGCAACGGCTTTTGTACCCCCATTTTCACTGTCACCTTTTTCCTACTCTTATCTTTAAGATGAATTTAATCTTAAGAGCAAGCCTGTCAATTAGCTCACTCAGAAAAGGCTTAGTTCAGCTGATGGATGGGCATTTATTAATAAAGCACCTTCCAAATTACTTATTGAAGACAACACATGGTATCAGGAATGAAATACATTGTAGGAAGGTACTATGGAATATTTGAAGGCTCTTCGTCCTTTATCGTTCTTACGTGAGACAGAAGACGAATGGAAAAGTGGAAAGTTTAGCAATGGAAACAGACATTCCCCCCCCCCCTTTCAGTTTGTCTTCTTGCTGTACTAAAACAATAGAAGTTTGTATAAAGAAGAGGTGTTGGGACACTGAGGTGTTTTTTAAAACAGTTTTAACAAGGAGAAATAGCAGATGGGTACAACACAGAAGTTAACAGCCAAAATTAACAGAGCCCTTCCCAAGTCCTTGCTGTACCTTATTTTAACTGCCATGCTCCTTTCACCCAGTGTAACCCCTGCTAACACTATTCCAGAGCTTTTTAGACATGCATCATTTTGCTACACAGTAATTCAGTTTTACTAGCAAATAGGCAGTTAAACTAACCCCTTTCCAGCGTTGGAAGGAATGCAGGGAACGTATGTGTGTGACACACCTGCACACTGCAGCCAACACACTTGTGTCGTGACAACAGTTAGGAAAGCTCTGCTCAACTCAAATCTATCATTGTTTAAAATTGTCTCTTTCCCTGTTTTTTTCCACCTCTGCTTTATTTAAGTCTCTGTGTTGTTTAAGGCCAGTTTTCCCGTGTCACCCCACCCTTGCTTTACTTAAACTTCTGTAAGTTTAAAACTGCCACTCTCCCCCCTTTCACATCTCCCTTCTCACTGTAACCAAACTACTCCCTCTTCCATTCCTCAGCTGCCTCATGAGAGCTCTCAAATATTCCACAGTACAGTACTTTACTCAAACCTCGTATCATTGTTTAAAACTGCCAGTTCCCCCCTCCCCTCCGCCTTTCAGTGTTTCTTCCTTCTCACTGTCATGCCATGCTCACTACTCTTGTGCAACCTGACTTCACTTTTGCTTGCTGCCTTTATGCAAATCCAGGATTGTGATGCAGCCACTACAAATCCTCCAGTGGGGGCTGCCACCATGAAAGCCTTTCTTCCTAGGGAAAGAAAGGTGTCTTGTGGACCATAATTCTGGACTAAACTTCGCAAGCCCAGAGGTTTAATTTTTAAGGAAACCTATTCTCAACGGATAAAGGGGAGGCTGGTGCTATCTTACCAGGCGTTGCCAGCAGTGATGACAACAGAACACAGGTGCTTCCCCCCCCCCTAAAAGGGCCTCTCTCTCTAGCCCACCGGTTCGCCCAGCCTTCGGTCTGAAAACATTTGATATACACATAGCAAAAACCCCTCCTTCCCCAATGACGGCCTTTGCCACCCGACCCCTCCCCTCCCCCAGAGCCTCCCGTGTTTTCTAGCAAGCGCCCTCACGGCCGGCCTGGCCTTACGGGGGATTCGTGTGAGCAAAGGGCTTCGGTTCAAGCTCCCTCAGAGCTCCGTGGGAGATTTGCAGTCGCTTCTCGCGGGAGGGGAGGCGCCCACACGGGCAAGAGAGACGCAGCCGAGGGAGCCGAAAGCAAACAGGCCCCTTCTTCCCGCTGACCCCGAGGCGCGTCTTCAGCCTCCGAGGCGCCCAGGTACGGCGGGAAGTGTCATGGCGGCCAACGTGTGGGAAGGGGGGGGGCGGCCTCACCTACGGAAATGAGTAGGCGAGAAGCTGAGGTCGAGGCTCTGCAGCCAGCGCAGCACCGTCCGGGGCAGCCCCGCGCGCCTCGGGCTGGTGGAGTAGGACATGAGGAGAGGCAGCTTCCCTTCGCGAGCACCTTCGAGCACCATAACGGCAGTTGCCACGGCAACCGTCGCCGCCGCTCTGTTTTTAAAAAGGAGCACTGCCACGGCGCCTGCGTCGGAACGCCTGGGCGCAGGGCTGTTTGTTGCTAGGAAACGCGTGTTCTGCGTCAGAGAAGGGGGGGGGGGTTGTTGTTTTGAAGTCGACCAAATACACATACACACAAAAACAAAACAAAACCACAGCACGCAAACAACACGCACATACAACCCACCGTTGATGGTGAAAGACTTGGGATTCTGCTTTTAGAGAAGCTGTTACTCTTACCAGATGCTGTTACTCCAGTTCCTATAAGCCCAGTAGCCAACATGGCCTGTGGAATCAGAGATGGAGGGACTTTACATATACCAGCAAGTTTTTTAAAAAATACTAATAATAATTTTGTATGCAGCCCTTCATCTGAATAGGGTAGTTCACATTATAAACATACAAAATGCAAACACTAACACATTGCGCCACTGAGGGCTAATCTGTAATTTTAATATATGTGTTTATGTAAATACAAATCTCCTTTGACTGGAGTTTGTGCTGATTGGGGGGGGCGCGCCTCCACAAATAAGAGAAAAAAGTCAAACAAGCACCACCAACTAATAAACGTTTAAATTATGAGTGATAACCTATTCAGGATTTCCTGATTGACGTAGTTGCCTTGGTCCCAGGAAAGGGAAATTTTCTGTGCCAGATTTGCTGGTAAATGATCCCAAAATTTCCATGAAACTTAGTTCCAAGTGAGTTAAACTCATGGACTGCTGGCTATGAACACACCATAAACCTAAGGCTGCTTGTTTATTTGCTTTGGCATTTGGTTGGTTGACAATCCTGGTAACTTCCTAGTCGGTGTGCATACTTTTAAGATTGTATTGTGTGTCCTAGCACATGGTGTTTTCAACACTTGACAACAGCTTACACGCAAATCCTCGTAAGTATAACATTTATTACTTTCATAATAATAAAACCTCTAAAGAATATGCTAGTTCCACATTCAGACTGCTAGCACCTGTCCCCAGTGGATGCTATTTGTCAAGATTTTATGTCAATTTTACCACCATTGAGTTCCCCTCCCTCCTGATTTCTGCCATACTGCCCCTTGTGTCTGAGATAACTCCTGGTACAGTAACAATTTACTATCTTCCCCTCAAAATATCTCCTCAAAACCAGCTTCTTCAACTCTGAAGACTCCATCTGGCTGACAGAGGCTTTGTATCTTTGCCTGAGCATGTGGAAATGAGCTGTAGCAGCCAATTAGAGAAGGTATCTCTAGTAAAATGTACTCAATAGCAGTTTCTAAAATGTCATGTTAGTATTAAAAGCAAATTATTTATTTATTTATTTATTTATTTTTATTAATAGGAAGGGGAGAAACAGATTTCCATGGTCTGTGTCATCTGACTGACATTTAGGAAGGCATTCAGAGTTTGTTTTGGCTTTCCCCCAAGTCTTTGTTGCAGAGAAAGAGTCCTCTTATCTTGCAAAGCCTGAATATTGAACTGTGGTGTTTGTATTGTTTCCAAATTACCTCACCAGCTTAATATATCTGACGGCAAGATTATTATGTAGAGCTTTGTTTTTTTACACTGGATGATAAACAACAGAGGGAGTTTATCACCCTTACTCATTAAGAGTAGCATAAAAATTACAGTACCTGCACACCCATTTTTAAATGGTAAATATACAAGGGGGAAAAAATATGAGTTCTACTTTCATCCCACACTCACGTTCTGATTACTTAGCAACAGATTGGGCTTTAAAAATAAGTGCCTAGTCTCATGTTTGCAAAATAATACTTTTTTTTTTACAGTTAAATAATGAATGCCATTGATAGGTATAAGTCCTTCACTGCCCCTCAACAACACCCTAAGTGTCTGTGAGAGAGGGAGAATTTACACAAAATGAGTTTTAAATACCAGTCAATGTGATGAAACTTGTGCTGGAGTAGAAAGATTTGTATATTAAATAGTTCATGGTACAGTGCCTCATGTAACCAACAGAAAAGAAAGGGAACTTAATTCATAGTAGGTGTTCCTTATGAAGTGCTTAAGCAGGGACAGCAGAAAAAAAGACACCTGTTTTATGGTCTTTCAATATGTATATATATTTATAGAGTGCATCTAACACCCCATTGTTCTAGATACACACAGAACAAGACACCTTGAACCAGAATATAACAAAACCAAACAATAATTCATCTGTGCCAGTGAACAAAAGATCTTAAACACATGTACAGGTCTTGAGCATTGCACAACACTCACTTACACAACATTCTGTGAGAGTTTTTGGGTTACAGTACACCTTCATTGCCACTCCAGCCTCCAGTCCACTGAAAAGGCTGTTGCTCCTGACAACTGCAGTTCCCATCTTCTTCTCTAGCTTCATCCCCCCTCCTCCAATGAATGAAGAGTAGAGCAGATCCTTAGAGAGCAACAGCATTTAAACGGGCAAACTCCCTTAGCAATAATACACAGGGGGTTGGGAAATGCTGTAACTGACCCCGGAATCCCTGCATATTCCTGCACATCCGCTGTGTGAGGAACAGTCCCCACAAAAGCCCCTAAAGGAAGATAAAATTAAATGAAGTGGCTGATCAGTGAACATTATATTAAAGTGTACAGCAAATTTCAAGAGTACAAGCAAATTCTATTTTATTTAATTATATTAGCCCCTCTCCATCAGGTTGCTCAAGGAATCCCAAATATCACTGGATTATAATGTAGCTTCAGTTGTGAGATATATATTAGTAAGTAAATGTTGGTTTATGCCCTCCCTTCCCCATCTCAACAGTTTTTCACATAAAACATATAGTAAAATACTTGGCTGCTTTTTTTTCAAGTTTTGAAAAATTAGTCACTACTTTATCTATACTGCAGGAACTCTTTCAACATGGTTGGCAACTGGAGCTGCGGTATAAGATGCAACCTGGCTTTTCCTATGTAGTTTCGGATACGTAGCCGACACAGTTGGCAAAGAGAACATGGAGTAGCTGTAAGTAGATAAAAAGAAAAAGAAATTGTGGCAATTCACTACTTCAATAATTTGCAATGTGTTAATTATATTACAACCTACAATGGAAGCCTTTGGGAACCTGGTATCCTCCAGATATTTTGACTTAAAATTCTCAACAGCCCCAGGCCGGGGATGATGGGAGCTGCAATCAAAAAATCTGGAGGTCACCAGGTTGACAAAAGTTGTTCTATGGTGTGCTCAAACTCACAGTTGACTAGCATAACATTAAAAAACATAAATATTTCAACTGAATATTTGAAGTGCCCTCCGTTTTTACCAACATATGTTTTGTCATTTTGCAGTACAGTTTTCTATAAAAAGCACTGAGGTATTTAATTAAGGAATCATATAAGGTACTTGAATGTGAAAGTTCAGCAGCACACTTAAAATGTCTTGTAACAGAAGAGTCAGTTCCATGAGAGCAAAAGAATGGCAGTTTTTCCATGAAATGAAAATCTGAGACTTATCCGAGACCTAAAAAATGTCCTAGACATGAAAACCACTCTAGTTCAGAGCTGGTCAAGGTAGCCCAGTATCAATGTGACTACAGGAAGAAGTTAAGAAGCTGTCTCATCTCAAATCAAATGTGTTGCTCTCCCCTTGGCAACAGACAGCACCAAAATAGAGGGAAAATAAAAAATGAGTCTCTGAAGAATTCACCCAAAGCTCAGTAGCAGTGGGGAAAGAGAAGAAGGAACCTTTCTTCACCAGACAAGACGCCTGTCAATGTTAACAAGTGTTTAGCAGAACTTCCTTCTCCATTTTCTTGGAACCATTCTTTCCCTCAAAAAATGGATAGGGAAATTCTGTTTTCACAGGGAAGGGATTTCTATGCAATTTTTCATAGAGTGGGAGTTGGCTCGCCTTGCTGGAGAATAACAAATAAATTTATTTCCTCTGAGCTTCTAGGTAATGCATGTGTTACTACAAACCACATGAGGGCACTGTTACTTCCTAGTAGACTCTTTCTAAGATAACTTCCCCTCTAAAAGCTGAGCCATTTTGCTTCTCTCCCAACTTGTTAAGACAATATGTCTGCTCTCTCTTGGTCATCTCTACTTCCTGCATAAATAAAGCCTTTGAACTCCAGAAATGGTAAGTGATCTTTCCAATCTATTTCCCCAAGCTGCAAACTCTCCTAACATATCTTACTTACAGAGGAGGTAGTTGAGGGTCTTTTGTTAAAACCGTATAAAAGAAGCTATGGTCAGCAACCAAGTGAGCCTCTGTAACCCCCACAGCAGTTCTCAGTATCTCTGCAGCTTCTTGACTCCGAATGGGAGGGAACTTCAGTTTGGTTCACATTTAAAGGCAAACCTTTCACAGGTGCCATAGGAGGTACTGGTGGGCACCTCCCACTTGTGGGTGCTACATTGGCAATGCCTGTCTTACAGATGTGAAGATGTTTTACTATGGATGCAATTATTCAGGAGGAGCTTATCACTTCCCTCCTCATCCTTGATTAGATTGGAAATGTCCCCCCAATGCAGGTATATCTTTTCAATCGCTGTGGGGGTGGGATTTCTGTTCCAATCATGTTTTCCAAAATGGGGGATATCACTGTCCCTTCAAATTTATGGCAATTAATTTTATTCGGTTTTTGCTGTCATTTGCTCTGGTACTCACTGTTTCCAGAAATTATACATAGCTCTCCCCTAAAAGTGCCAAATCCAAATTTTCAAGTCATGGTTACTACTCTGATGTAAACATATCCCCTTTACCTTCTTGTAGAAGCAATACTGTTTCCACCAGACTCCGTGGAGTAGCTACATCTACAGGTCGTTCAAACTCTGTATTTTTGGCATTTATGTCTGCCCCAAACTCAAGAAGTACATTTGCTATTTCAGCACTAGACTGCTTTGCAGCTGCATGTAGTGGAGTTTCCAAAAACTTTCCTTTCTGTACATTAGCACCTATAGATTTAGAACAGGAAAAATAGGAATATATATTAATTAATGATGAATTTATATTAATTAAATCAAAGCCAAATCACAATGTCTAAATTCTTGTTCTCAAAAATTAGATTATTATTCTAAACACTGGAACCAAATACTTTATATAAAAGTATTGCTAAGCCTGTCAACAATTTTCTTAGTTTTGTTGTATATTCCCTGTATCTGTTAAGGATAATGGATTGTAGTGTATACTTAGCTAGGGATGAGTAAAACCCTCCAGAAATTATTTGGGAGTAATCATGAAGATTAATGACTGGCAAAAGGTACTCCAAGTAAGTAGCATAGCAGATATATTTTGTGCTAACTGTGGTTTTGGAATTGTCTTCAAGTTTAGATCCTTGTATAACACATGACAATAATCCAATACTGGCACGAATAATTCTGGATTATTTTGGACAGGCCATATCTGGTGCACCAGCTTTAGCTGTCTAAAGCAGGCATAGGCAACCTCGGCCCTCCAGATGTTTTGGGACTACAATTCCCATCATCCCTGACCACTGGTCCTGTTAGCTAGGGATCATGGGAGTTGTAGTCCCAAAACATCTGGAGGGCCGAGGTTGCCTATGCCTGGTCTAAAGGTGCTTTGTGCCACCAAGGCTATTTAAATTTGCATAGAAAGCACCAGATCTAAAGGCATTCTCATACTTTGAAACTAATGCTTCAGAAGGGAGTATGAGCCTACCCAGAACAGGCCAAACACCCTCACCAAGTCTTTGTCCTATCAGGATTGAATTTCAGTTTATTGGCAGTCATCCAATCCATTACCATTCCCAGGCACCCTTTCACATGAAATCTGATTATACAAAGTTGGCAGGGATATCAACTGCTTGAGACAATAGGCTATGGAATTAAAGTGCTATTTTATTTGTGTTAAGAGAAAATTGTTTCCAAGGCTCAATAAAAAATAACATTACTCTAAACAGTGCTTAGTCCTCATTTGTTTATAATCTCTTTCGGTTTTATGCCCCGAGTTGAAGACAAGTTGGCAATGACCTGGGAGTGGGCTACAAGAATAATTAAGAGTCTGGAAGGCAAGGTGAGAAAGGGGATACCACAGGCTTACTTTCAGCTATGTGATGTGGATGCTGATGTTGTCATCCTCACATTATAAAAGATCAGTGTGACTTCTGAGATTTGCTGAAGATGGAACTCAATATTTAAATGAATGCAAAGCTGAATTGTCATCATTTGAAATATCCTATATAGTTCATATAATGCAGGCTAGTTATGGATATTGTATATTCCTATTCCTAGAGAATTTTAAATTAATTGGATCTAGATTAACATCTTCATCTTAAAACCAGGTTGGTTAAAAGAAATACAATGTAAGTACAGTAAGTGAGAAGAAGGAGTAAATGACACTTAATGTAATTATTGTGGGTGCTTTATGATTTTGGCGAAACAAATTTTTACTAATCGTCTTGGTTCAGTTGGAATTCTATACATGACCCAAAATTATATGTATAATTTGACCCTGCTAGACCATAAGCGTATCCTTGTGATGGACAAGGAAAGGCCCAGTCTGTGTATGAGTCAACAATAATTCCAGCACATGCTAGTCATAAGCAAGAGGTTGTGCCATGACCCAATTAATTCCAGAATCCAGTATCTAATCTAATGCAACATACCCTTAATTCAGCAAAAAAGCAAACAAAACCCACTGAGAATAAATGATTATCAGCTGGAAAGCATAACATGTCCTAATTAAATTAACTAATCCTTTTGCCCATCTGGAGAAATCCAAGTCCATTCTCTTTTTTGCAAGGTGGAGGCACATTGTTAACAAACTGAGGTCATCGGGGCAAGAATATTCCATTTACATTTCTTAAGAATGTCAACGCTCACCCCCCCTTTTGTCAACAGGAAATGTAGCCTTGGATGGATGTCCTAAGAATTGTTCACTCATGTATTTTGCTACTAAACGGTAGTCAACAAGTCCAGGCCCTATGTGAAAACCTCCTTTTGTATTCAGGGTTTGGCAGTAATAATATTTCTCCCCCCCCCCCATAACTGGGTGCACATGGCATCCCCCAACTTGTTCATTTTATTGGGAGGCTGCTCCACATCAATATTTTCTAAAATGCACTACTCCTGTCCTGGTATGTGGAAGTGTGCTGTTTCTTTCATTCATTTAGGCTTTAACTAGGTTGTGTCCTTACCTCTACCTGCTCCATGCTTCCTTGTCTCCAATCCATGTTTGTTAGTTTGTTTTTGGAATTAGTCAGGACCCTTACAGAGAGGTACCAGCCACTATCTTACTAAAGGGGAATGTTTTGCTATCTTTAACAGGGTTCCTTCTTGTCATAACAAGAATTCCAGAAGCTGGAGCATTACCATCTTATTCCTTTCTCACTGGGACAGGTAACAACAACAATCTCAACCTTAGCACTCTTCTCTGTGACTTGTATTTCCTCCAGTCTATCTCCAACCTGGCTCTCATGAGACAAAAAACCTGCTATTTTACATATGCAGTTGTACCTTGGTTTTCAAACAGCTTAGTTCTCGAACGTTTTGGCTCCCGAACGCCGCAAACCTGGAAGTGACTGTTCCTGTTTGCAAACTATTTTTGGAAGCGGAATGTCTGATGGGGCTACTGCGGCTTCTGATTGGCTGCAAGAGCTTTCTGCAGCCAATCAGAAGGCACAATTTAGTTTTCGAACGTTTTGTAATTCAAACAGATTTCCAGAATGGATTCTGTTTGAGTTCCAAGGTATGACTGTAACCTTTTCTAATCCCTGGGACTTTCTCTTTCCGCATAGCAAGGCTGTGTCTTTAAACACTGTTAGATGAATCTCTATTTCTTTCCTTCTGTCTCTGTAATATCAATTAAGTAAATGTTCCAGGCAACATATGGCTGGGCTCACATGTTTATGCATTATTAACCTATTATTTTCTGTACTTTTCTGTAGTGGTATTTCAAGTCACAAAGCTGCTTTTGCTGCTATTTATTTGTTTTACATTGGCATGTTGTCATCTTTACACCTTTACTCATTTTAAAATAAACCGTGGTGTGCCTATTGTTGGCTCCTCAGAGAGAGCAGACTAGGATGGTCCATACTAAATCCCTCAAATTTTACAAGGTTATAAAAGTCAATGTAATTTTGTCTATGCACACACAGTCATCTCCAGTAAATATCTCAAGATAGATGACCTCAAGATTATCCTTTTAGGAAAATGCATGTGTTAGGATATGTGTACATTTGAATGTTTACACTTGCACCCTAGCAGATAAGTTAGCAAAACAAGGTGGTCAGATCAAATGTACTAGTTCATTCATAGCAATACAATACACTATGCATTACAATGAAACTCTGGTCCAGTTTAAGAAGCAAAGTAAAAATATATTAATTAACCTTATGTACCTGAATGCAGAAGCTTGTGTACACATTGTTTCTGCTGTGAAATGCAAGCCACGTATAGAGGTGTTCCCAGGTGAGGAATATCTTGGTCAACATCTATGCCCCGAGAGATCAGCAGTTCTAGACAGTCACTATGACCTAGTGAAAAGAGAGTGCAATTCATCTCTCAAACTAAGAATTGGATTTATAATGCCTGATGTAGTTTTTGATTCATTCAGCTAGTCTCTTTCCTTACCTCTGCTAGCTGCTTCGTGAGTTGGAGAAGGGAGGCATGTCTCCCACTGAGCTTTGGCACCATACTCCAGTAGAAGCTCTACACAAGATGCACTTCCTCTTGAACATGCATTGAATAAGGGTGTCACTCCATCAATTGTTGTAGCATTCACCTAAAGTATTGGATATTGCTATGAGTAGAACTAAAATACTTGTTTACATATTATATTTCTGCTTTGGGAATATAGGTTGTCTTCCCCCGTCCTCCCCCTCTCAATCGATGAAAAATCAGGAGAATGAAAGAGCTGGCAACATGCAGATGATAAGAAAGGAACAGAGGTAGGAAACTTGTATACCACCTTGTAACGATGTTTAGTAAAATTTGCCATTGAAAGCATTGAATGCCACCTGAGAGTCTTCCAGCCACAATTTATAGTACATTGATATCAGTGCAAGGTCTACAGCAGGCTATTCTTATGTTCTTACATACAGAAGAAAATTATTTTATTTAGAAAATAATACTTGCATTTGCTCCTGCTTCAAGAAGAATTCTTGCACATCCTACATGATCTCCTAGGCATGCTTCATGTAGTGGAGTCACTTGATCAATGGTCAGAGCATTTACATTGTATCCCTAAACAGGAAAAGAACTAACAGCTGTAAGCCAGTTTGTCCAAGTGACAGAATATTACAGTGGTGCCCCGCAAGACGAATGCCTCGCAAGACGAAAAACCCGCTAGACGAAAGGGTTTTCCGTTTTTCGATGCGCTTCGCAGGACGAATTTCCCTATGGGCTTGCTTCGCAAGACGAAAATGTCTTGCGAGTCTTGAGATTTTTTTCGCTCCCCCCCTTTTTCTAAGCAGCTAAGCCGCTAATAGCCTTTTAGCCCCTAAGCCTTTAATAGCCGCTAAACTGCTAATAGCGCTAATCCGCTAAGCCGCTAATAGGGTTGCTTCGCAAGACGAAAAAACCGCTAGACGAAGAGACTCGCGGAACGGATTAATTTCGTCTTGCAAGGCACCACTGTATAGGCAAAATATACTTTACTTAGCCAGCATAAGGTCTAAAATCAAAGGGTGAAATCTAATTGGTGCCCCCTCATGCTCACAGAAGGGTTTTTGACCCAGCAGACACTTCCATTAGCAATTTTTACACCTTCCACCCAGTTCTGGGGTTCAACAGCTCTAATTTTGGGTGGATTCTGGAGTCTGCAAATATTGCCTCCCCTCTCCTTCCATTCGTAAAGTCCACCAAAATATTTTTTAAGTTTTTAAATTGTTAATCCAAACAAATGTTTTAGAGAAAACAGTGTTATAAACTGACTGGAGTAGTTACAGTAACTTTCCTGGCTTCGGATGGCTTGGGAAGCTGCATGCTATGAAGTTGCCTCTTTTTCTGGCAAATACCCCTACATGCGTAATCATGAAGGTGATTGTGGAATACAACCTAAATCCCACACAGATTAATCATTAATTTCAATGGATATATTCTGAGTAGGACTAACGGTAAATACCACCTGATATAGTTGGCACTCCATGTGGATTGATGGCATTAGGATCTATGTATATAAAAAGGGAAGGATTATTTCCACCTGCAATCTCAGCAGCTGGGAGATGTGGTTTATGTCTTTGACCCATATGCTCATGCTAAATTAATTCTATTGGTGGAAGAAGTGGGTTGATAGTGGGATTTGTACATTAGAGCAGTTAATAAGTTTGGATGGAGATTTTTTTGTCATTTACAATTTTGCTGTTTAGCTATCTCTTACCTGCTAGTTCAGAATGTCAGTAATTTTCATATTAAAACACTGGATTGTAACAAAGAATGGGGGAGGGGAAACGTACTGTGATTGAAACACTTTAACATTTTTACCTGTGCAATTAAAGTTTTCAGAGAAAGGAGGCGTCCCTGACTTGCTGCATCATGCAGTGGTGAGCGATCTGCCCAAGAACCTGTGGAACAATAAATACCACCATATAGTTTAATTACAAAAATGGATATGTTTTAATTCATATAAAATAATAAACTGATGATCAATTTTATGTTTAGACAACCCCAATCCTACATAATTCCTATTTAAATCTAAACCCCATTCTTCACTTTAAATATTAAATTAATTATTTTGTAAATGTAGAAAAAGATGATAAAGTAAAAAAAAATTCACACGATCCCACCTGAAAATAGGGAACAGGATCTGGCCACTTCCTTCACCACCAACCCATAGGCCACTTTGACCATGATGTTGGGTGACCCAGCTTCAAAAGGAAAGAAATGAGAGTGCACTCAGTGTCCGCTCCCAATTCTTTCCTTTCCTCCTTTGCAACCAGAATGCAAAAGAAGATCCCTTCCAAAAGCCGCTTCCAGTCAGCACAACTCCTGTTGGGATCAGCTGCACTTGGGAGTTCTGGGGTTTGCAAACCCATTTTTGGCAGAGTTCTCAAGTGAGGCATCCTGAGTGGAAGCAATCCTAGGGGTTTGCAATTGGTGCCAAACGTAAAAGGCACCAAATGCAAGCCTCACTTGCAAAGGAAGCTAAATCTAATTTCCCCTATCCCTAGCGCACAGTTAATTGAGAACAAGTCTTATTGAGATCAATGGTACTTTCTTGAGTGTTAACACATTAGAATGGAAATGCAAGTTGACTAGTCAGAAGGTGGCTTGAAATATCTATAATCCAGTGTTGCTTCCAGACGGAGATTGCAACTCTTTGCTCTGCCTTGCAGAAATAGTGCTTTGTTTTGCAGTTCTAGGATGCTGCAGAAAGTAAGTAATTTCAACAGCAAAATGTAGGGTCCACCTTAATATAGGACCCAAATATGGTATTCATATGATGATAACAAAAAAATTGCCAAAAGTTAACATGAGAACTCTGGTGACCACCCATTGCATTGAACAGGTCTCTTCTGAGGTACATGGGTGTCCTGGTACAATTTATGAAAGTTATCCTAAATCCGCATTTAGTTTATGCTAGAAAAGCAATCAGCACTTTAAAAATCCTAATCAATATGTATATCCGACAACCACAAAACAAGAAGAAAATGTTGCTCTTCTTGCGACAAATTATTAGCGGCTGCTGTTTACAATCACACTGACGCATCCTCACTGCAGAGAATTCCTCTCTCTCTTGTGCCAATTTGTTTTACTGCCAAACTGAGCTGCCGCCCTAAGACTTTGTTAAGAGCTGCTGCACTGGGAAATGGTAGCAAGCATATAAAGTACCTTATTAACATCTCTCTAGCATTTCGAACTTTGGATAAGGAAAAGATCCCAGATGCTAACTTCACAGATTTTTTAAAAAATCTGAATCCAGCATTGCAGTTGCAGTTCTACAAATCATATTTATCCTAATCTGTGCTACATCTGCTATCTAATACTGTGCCTCTTTTTACATGTGTTCACTTGTGCTATGCAGAAAAATGTCTGCACATTTCATTGCTGCAGTGACGCAATTTTATTTTTCCCATGGTGCTGGAAAACAACCCAAGTCCTGCTTTGCACCAAGCATTCAGGGTATCTCTGCCCACTACTGTCCACATCAGGGTATACATTGCAACATTCCATGGGTGAAAATGGAAACACACTTCTGTACATGTTAACATCCCTATTTCTGTTTAAGAGGGTGTTTTGTCTTAAACTGGATCTAGAACAGTGGAAGGAAATCAGTGGCCCCCCAAAGGTTATTGGAGTGCCTACTTCCAAAATTTCCAGACAGCATGATCAGTGATTAGGGTTGATGGGTGTTGACGTCCTGCAACATCTTAAGGGCCGCCCTTAAAGGTTCCTCACCCCTGTTATTATCTGTACGGGTGGTTTGGAAGGAAGTAGTCCACGGGAGTTTTGCGTCTCTGTGTATACATATGTATAAATGCACTAGTCAAGAAGCATCTCCCTCCCTCCAAGACAGCTAACTTCTAAAGATTATTACGGAAATGATAATGAAACCTGAAGTGCTCTTGAGCACACTAATAACATTTTTAAAAGCCACTCTCAAAGGGAAAAATAGGGTCATTGGGTTTCCTTCCTGGCTAAGTTGGAGTGTATGAAACTCAGCAACTTGTCTTGGCTGGTAGTGACTTTTTGTGATTGGTTCTACTGCAGACAGACTTGTAGATTGTAATAAGACTACTGGTATACACTATGTATATTTATTTTAGAGAATTGTTGCATGTTTTTCAGTGACCTTCTGCTCTCATAGCTTTCCCATTTTTTGTAATGGAGATGGGATTGGGTACCCAGCTGTCTCAAATAAAAAATATACCTTTTAGAAAGGCAGTTGCAAAAATACTCTTTATTCAAAAACAATCTCCCTGTGATTCTTTTCTCTCTGACTGAAGTGCAAACTACTTCAAGTTATATTTAGACTCTGCATTCCAAGCCAGCTGGTATCTAATTTACTGGAGTATACAGTTCTGTAGTACTGCAGAGATAAGGCTAAGAATTATAACGAACAGTCAAGTACAAAGAATGATTTAGAAATGTATACAGTACCTAAATCTCCATCTCCCCATGGCATTTCCAGCCAATCGCAATTATAAATCCGGCTCATGTTAAACAAGGAAATAAAACTCTTCCTTTTGCTGCTGCCTATTAATACACTTCAGCCATTTTAGAAGGAGCTCTGCACTCATTATAATATGAACTTTCACCTGTAAAGCCTCTGCAGTAAACAGATATCCAAAGCCCTGAGTTTAGGAATAAGCCAGCTTTCGTTGCTCCATAGAAACACAGTACATGAAATAATTCATAGTTTAAATATAATAATGCATAGTTTAAATAAAGTATAATTGTTGTTTCATTTTATAATAGATAACTTGATGTAGAATTGGGTCTGGATTCAAATCAAAACATCCACTATAAATTGGTCAGGTGGTTTTCAGGAAGGCAATTTCTTAGCTTCAGCTCAATGGGAAGAATTGTAATCTGCCTCACAGGATTGTTGTGGGAGCAAATGTAATAAAAGCTGCAAGTCATTTTACAAGTTAAACGTGTAATAAAAAAATATCATTTTCATTATGAATATGGATTGTTTCCAGTGGGTCTGAATCAAAAATCAAATGAAGCTTTGTCTAATAAATTATGCTAAACATAGCCTATACGAGCTGTTTCCTGTCATATCCATATATATTTATATATAATAAAAAGTTTAACTACATGACCCCTATATTTAAAGTTATAAGACAATTAGTCCACATTTGGCAAAAGTTATAAGACAATTAGCACACATTTGGCAAAAGCAGGTATTGTGGAAGACCTAAGTTAATATACTATAGGATTATATGGTTCTCTTTCATTAGCCATGCTAGAAAGGAAGCCCAACATGTAAGATCAGCTTTTATTTATTTTATTTATTTCATATTTATATGAAATTTATATAGTTTGATTGTAAAAAAATCTCAAAGTGGTTTACAAAAAAACAACGAAAAAATTCAATAAGAAGAATTGACAACAATAAATCAAGACTTTAGAAAGGTTAAAGTAACAATAAACTAAAAACAGATTAAAACCTGCAACAACTTTCTAAATATCTGGGTAGGCTTATCTAAACAAAAATATTTTTAGAGGGCCCTTTTCAAAGGCGCCTGCCTGATTTCAATAGGCATGGAGTTCCAAAGTGTAGGTGCTGCCACACTAAAAGATTGAGTTCTTCCAAATGTGAAAATCGGTATTATGTGGCACTTGTAACAGTGCCAGTTCTGCTGATCGAAGCAGTCGTATAGGTGCATGTGGGATCTTGTCTGCAGAGACATTCCATCTCCATTTACTCTGATACAAGATGGGATTTTGTAGACATGGCCTGTTTACCCCCTGCTGCAGTTGTCCTCAGAAATGTGGGTGAATGATTGGCGGCCCAGCAGGAACTGTATGAGGATGTTGATGCTTCCTTAAGGTGAGAGGGCTGCTAAGCTTAATGGACCCAGAAGTGATGGGTAAGGAATTTGTAAGGGAAGGCTGTGGGGACAAAAATACCTAAGAATTGAGAGAAACAGAAATATTTTTTCCTCGTTAGCAAGTATTTGCCCATCTGCAGCAGGGAGAGCAGGGGCTGTATTAATTCAGTGGTAGAGTCCTTGCTTTGTGGACAGAAAGTCTCAAATTCAGTCCCTGGCATTTTCAGGCAGGACAGGGAAGGAGTCTGATACCCTGGAGAGCTACTGCCTTTGAGTGTACGTAGTAGACTATCCAGAACTAGATGGAAGACTGCAAGGCTGTTTCCTGTTCCCATACACCTTTCCACCATTCAGGAGCCATGTTAAAGTTATTGCACAATGCTCATTATAATCCCAGCATGTGAAATTCTAATCAAAATGTCCCAAATTAAAGATATACCACATGATTATGAATATCTCCTCTCATCTTTCATTTTCACCATGACAACAGACATGCTCTAGCAAAGAGAAGTACTTTTAAAACCAATTTATTTCTGTTGGAGAGAGACAAGCACATGCTTGCCTTTTCCAACAAAATCAGTAGGAATTGGCGTCGTATATATCTTATACAGAGCTTTAAAAAAGTACCCTACAGTAATTAATTTGAAAGCGAAAGGAGCTTGAGAGATCTAGAAAATGTAAACTATATTGTACAAGATATATAGTGCATAAAGGTATACAGGTCTATTCAGAAGCCAGGCCTAATGGGACTTATTTCTAGAAACTGCAGCCTAAATGTGCATTGAAATACTTGCAAGTAATCAGATAAATAGCACCATTGCTATTTTAATATTTATTATGTATGATTATAATAGATAATTGGTTCTATGAATATCCTAATGCTCACATGCCAATCTTTCCACTGACACATGCCAATCCATTTAGGTTTTTTGGATCTGCCACCTTAACCATGAGCAATAAAGCCAAGCTCCACAGGATGTGACAGATCTTTAGTCATATCTCTCATCGTTTCTATTCTTAACTTAAAATACTGGCTGAGGGCTCAAATTTGAATTTGAGCAATGGTACTGAAGGAGTGATGCTTAAACTTTCTGCACAGTTTTCTCAACCTAAATTGCACCCCATTGAGTGGCTATTAGTTTTGTTGCAAAAGAAAAATGCAGGGACTTCTATCTGCCACCCTGTGAAGTTTTGGGAGATGGGAGATCAGGAAATCCAGACTAGGAGGATGATTGAATCCTGTTTTCTCAACGCTGCTGCTCCAGGACATCAGCTAGTGTTTAAGGATTTGTTGGGAGATATGATGGCCATGAATCTCTGGTGTCTCATGTATTTTGACCCACTGAAGTGGGCTGGTTAATGGATTTATACAGAAACAAACTTGTAATCTGTCTCCAATCAAATTCAAAGCTATAATAATGTCTTCTAAAGATTCAAATTCTACCCTTTAACAAAATGGCAGTTATATTAATAGCAAATGATATCTGCAATGCTCCTTGTTTAAACTGACAAGTTTTAAGTGACATACCTGTATCATTCCTCTTCCTCTGACTAGAAGTATTAGCTTGATCTACTCCGTGAAGCACTGAAAAGCTAAGTATGTTCAATTGAGATTTATTTACATTGGAGGGATTTAAGCATGTGTTTAAGTGCACAGTATAAGTCAATGCTGCTTAAAAGTAATTTGTGTCATAGAACCATATAAATGCTGTATGTTAGTACAGTCCCATGGACTGCAAGAAGATCAGACCTCTCCATTCTGAAGGAAATCAGCCCTGAGTGCTCACTGGAAGGACAGATCCTGAAGCTGAGGCTCCAATACTTTGGCCACCTCATGAGAAGAGAAGACTCCCTGGAAAAGACCCTGGTGTTGGGAAAGATGGAGGGCACAAGGAGAAGGGGACGACAGAGGACAAAATGGTTGGATAGTGTTCTCGAAGCTACCAACATGAGTTTGACCAAACTGCGGGAGGCAGTGGAAGACAGGAGTGGCTGGCGTGCTCTGGTCCATGGGGTCACGAAGAGTCGGACACGACTAAACAACAACAACGTTAGTACAAACAGGTATAGAGGTTGGATCGACTTAAAAGGGCGTGGACTACTGAAAAGAGACCAAATTTTCAGCAAGAACGACGTTCAGCTGTGCCTGCTGATACAACAGACGCACGGGGAAAGTGAATGGCATGGGAGGGTTAGAGGGAGGGGGAAAATATAACGAGAGAGAGGGTTAAATTGCCCCTTCTACAGTACTGCAGGCGGGTGGCGCTGTGGTCTAAACCACTGAGCACTGGTGGAGGAAGAGGAGTGCGGGGGGGGCACCCCGCCCCTGGCAGCGTGATCCTGGCAGGGTGCCATCATGGCTGCCCCCCACCCGTGCTGGGCGCCACGCCCCCGCAGGCAGTGCGCCCAGCCCCCAGGACGTGTGCCACGCCCCTACAGGCAGTGTGCCCCACCCCCAGGATGCGCTCCAGCCCCCGCCTGCTCTCCGCCCCCCCCGATGCTGGAGCATGAAGCTCCACCACTTCCACTGAGTCTTTTGGGCTTTCCAGTCAGAAGGTCGGCGGTTTGAATCCCCGGAACAGAGTGAGCTCCTGTTTCTCGGTCCCAGCTCCCGCCAGCCTAGCAGTTCGAAAGCATGCCAAAAAAGAGGGGTGCAAGTAGATAAATAGGTACCGCTCTGGCGGGAAGGTAAACGGCGTTTCCGTGCACTGCTCTGGTTTCAGTGTTCCATTGCGTCAGAAGCGGCTTAGTCATGCTGGCCACATGACCCAGAAAAACTATCTGCGGACAAATACTGGCTCCCTCGGCCTGCGACTGGACTTAACTGTCCGGGGTCCTTTACCTTTTTCTTACAGTACTGCTGTTTAGGTCTATTTCCTACTCCTCCTACATAATTTCTTTCAAAAGGAGTCTAACACCAAGGTATTCTGACAGCATTCATATGTCACATGCTCTGATCCCACAGTCTATGTGGTTTGGATCAGGATTTTGTTCTGTGCACACAACTCCCTCCTCCTCTGACACCTCCAGCCTAATGTAGCACATTCTGGCTTGCCAAAACAGATTCTTATTGATGTCTGAACCAGCAAACTAGAGGTGATTCCTCCAAACGAAGATTGTCAATTGTATTTTGCAAACTTGGCTTGGTGAGGAAATGGGAAGGAAGGAGGCATGTTCTTCTTCCCAGTGCTCCAGACAACAACTGGAGGGTTGAAGTATGTGGTATCTGAAAGCAGCCACTGTGCATTACATACCAAAGGGTCTGCTCTGAGTGTGACTAACATTGGATTTTGCCTGGTGCCTTAAAATGATCATCTTAATATGAGTTTCAGATTATTAAACTCCAGAATGCAAAATGTTATTGAATCTGACCTTTTGAATCTGGTAATGCATCAACTACAAGAATTAGGCTTGTTTGTTTATTTTAAACCTATATTATCTTACATAGATATCCTCTTATAGAGAATATATCCCATCTGTTGGAAAAGGCTTGGCACTCACTGGATGTTTGTAGAGCACTAAAGGTGTATATTGCTAGGATAAAATACATAAACACCCTGTTTATATCTATGCAGGGGGAAAGTCTCACCCACTTTGCCTAGATGGATCAGAGTGTGTATCAATATGATACTCTTAAATTACACCATCCAGTTAATTTAACATCCCATTCTACCACGTCTGCAGCAACCACAGCCGCCTTTTCTACAAATTGCTCCATTGTTAGAAAAATATAGGGCAGCTACCTGGGCTTCTCCTAACACGTTCACGAGGCATTGCAAAATGGACTTATTTGCCTCTGTGGAGGCTGCCTTTGGCAGTTTTCCAACAGGCGTTTATGCCTTAATTTGCTGCAGTTGAGACCTGCTCCAACTGGGAAAGCTGTGGTATGTCCCAGCCTAGTGGCCTCATGATAAATAGTATGACTGGCACTTCCCTGTACCTGTGGATAGTAGTGCCACAAGTCATGGGGGCATTGCAATGTTAGAGGATGGAAAGCTACCACTGGTGGTAAAAAGCAGAATGCACCCACTGGATCCAAAGACCCATAGATCCCTGACGTGCCTGATCCTAGGCTGGTGAAGGGGGAAATTGTGAAGTTACCTGCTCCCCACCTTCCACCATGGTTTGCACAATCTGATGGGGCTTCGGATGTGGTGATAGATCTGTCACAACATTCCTCCCTTCCCCTCAGACTCCAGGTAGGATTGTTCTGCCCATGACTAGTAACACCTGGGGGCAGGGAAATTGGCATGGAGGAAATGGGTAAAAACCTTCTCTGTGCCACAATCCAAATCTGAATCAGAGCCTCCATGGCAGCTGTTGTTTGTTTAGGGGGAGGGGGGTTTCCAAGCCCAGAATTCTGGGTTGTGGTTAGTTAGCATCACATCTAGTTTGACCCTAAGCTGGAACCAAGTCTCTAATAAATGAATCTATATATTTCAATAATGATTCCAAAGTGGAACCCAATCCAGAAATAAACTGATACTCAGGTGGAGGGGACCCAGGTTTATTGATTTTTGGTAGCATATAAATGACAGGAACTTAAAACAAATTTCACAGCTCCTTTCATAGTTATTGTAAACTTATTTTGTATGCATCACAGTGCTTCTGAATGCAGGTGCACACAGACAGATTATATAATATTAACTAATATCTGCAGTATTTGCATGTCACATGTAGTTCTTACAAGGTCTCCTGCCTTGTTTACCTCCCCATGTATATTTACAATTTACATATAAGGTCACTCCATCCCTTCAGATCTGTAAACAGTCCCTGGTACTTAGCAACACTGGCATTTGGTTTGCTGTATATTGAATGTGACTTCAACATCTGCAAAAGCATACCTCAGACAAAACATGCTGTAGCTAATTTCACACTAAAAGAAAACTAGATTAAAGCTGTGTCTATCTTTCTATTATAATACAATAGCACAAATTAATATTTACATTGAAATATTTACTTTAGGAATACAGTCACGATATAAAATTGATCTTGCAAAAATGGTTCACATTAGAAAATTCTGGAGCCTCCATCGGCTTGTTGAAATGATTGCTGTACTGACCTTGACTGGTGAGAATACCCCAGCTAGCTTTTCGTTTCGCAGAACACTCCCCTATGCATTCTAGGCTTCTCTTTGAGAGATTCTGTTTAGAGCAGCTCCTCTGAACCGCAGTGTTTGTGGACATGATTTTAACGTTCTCTTCCCTCCTGCCAAAGCCTGTGTGTCATTAATGCAGATGCTCTTCCCTCTGGAATGTCCACAAAGTGCTAACTGCTCTCGGCCTTCCTTGTCATTTTCTCACAAGCTGTCTGGTTGTACTTGCAGTAAAATAGCTACTACACCATCCTGCAATATTTACTAGCAGGACGGGCAGCTAGAGTGAGGGAAGGAAAGGATTGCATTGGCATGTTCTATTTATAAAACAAGAAAGAATCAGCTTAGCTGCAGCCTGGGTCTGTTTACACGAGTTAAAATGGAAGAGGGTGTTTGATTCCTCCCCCTCACTTACACTTGTCCTAGAAAGAAAGTTATGTTGGTTCTCCATTTGTAAAGGGGGGGGGGAGGGCACAGTAGGGATCTGTCACCCAGAAATGTTTTGAAAGCAAGCATAATAACAATTGTAAAGCATTTTGCAAATTAATTTATAAAGCAATTTTTGGCCATTTTGCAATGGGCAGAGTATTTTCAAGTTTTTACTGCAAAACTGAAATATTAATATTGTAATGGGCAAGGTTCTTGAGCAGGTGATTGTAACCAGATCTAGGTGCTTTTGGAGGAAACAGATTTTCTAGATCCTTCAATCAGGGTTTCAGCCGGGTTTCGGCACGGAAACTGCTTTGGTCACCCTATATGATAATCACTGCTGGGAGAGAGACAGGGGAAATGTGTCCCTATTAATTTTTTTTCGACCTCTCAGTGGCTTTTCATACCATTGACCATGTTATCCTTGTGGAGTTGCTGTCTGAGTTAGGGGTGAGTACCATCGCTTTGCGGTGGTTCTGGTCCTACGTGGATGGTTGTTTCCAGAGAGTGATGCTTGGGGAGTGCTCCTCAGCTCTGTGGAGCCTTCAATGTGGGGTTCCTCGGGGTTCAGTTTTATCCCCTATGCTCTTCAACATCTACATGAAACTGCTAAGTAAGCTTATCTCATGTGTTGGAGTACGTTGTCAGCAATATGCTGACACGTAGCTCTATTTCTCCTTTCCATCTGCAGGTGTGGCAGTGGATGTGCTAGACCTTTTCTTGCCTTGGTAATGGACTGGATGAAAGCCAACAAACTGAAGCTCAATTCACATAACACTGAGGCACTGTTAGTGGGCAGTTCCCTAGACTGGATGGAAAGGAGGTTGCATGCTCTAGAGGGGGTTACACTCCCTCTCAGCGAGTGAAGCTTAGGGGTACTCCTGGATCCTTCGCTGTCTTTTGAGGTTCAGGTGGCCTCAGTGGCACAGAGCTTAAGAAGGTGGCCCAGTTGTGACCCTATCTGAACTGGGGCAGCCTAACTTCTGTCATCTATGCTCTGGTAACCTCTAAGTTATAACGCATATACGTGGAGCTACCTCTGAAGATTCTTCAGAAACTTCAGCTGGTGCAGAATTTGGTGGTTAGGTTGCTGATTAATATTTTGGCCTTTTAAACGTGTTGGGGGGCGTTATTGGTTTGCTTTTATTTTTGTTTTATTATGTATTTCGTGTTCTCTTTTTGGGTTGTGAGCCACCCTGTGATCTTCAGATGAAGGGCAGTATACACATTTAATAAATAATATTAATAACAACATTGTGAGATATAATAATGTTGATGATTTTATTATTTATACTCTGCCCATCTGGCTGGGTTTCTCCAGCCACAATTTATGGGGGAAAGGACTAAGCTTTAGTAACAGTTGTAAAGAGCTATTAAACTACCTTCTCGTGTGTTGACCCAAACAGGAGCATAAACTGTAAATGTTAGTAAACCAGAGCAAATACTCTTTTGGCATGGCACTAAATAACCCCCTTGTAGTGCTGGAAGAAAATCTTCATGAACAAGCAAACAGAAGAGACTAATCTGGGATAAAGTTACAACACAGATTAACCAGAGTAATGATCTTATTACAGTAGTGGTATCCCCAGTAAAAGAAGCTTACTTATCTTGTGGTCCTGTTTAACTAACTTAAGCTTTTCTAGGTGCCAATGCATTTATGATTCCGGCCATAAATGTTAGCAAATCTAGTGTTGTCTAAAGGATGGATTAATGTGGGGAGTAGGACACTTGCACCTGGGGGCCAAATCACATATCTTGAACCTTTACATCAGGCATAGGCAAACTTGGCTCTCCAGATGTTTTGGGGACTACAACACCTATCATCCCTGACCACTGGTCCTTTTCGCTAGGGATGATGGGAGTTGTAGTCCCAAAACATCTGGAGGACCAAGTTTGCCTATGCCTGCTTTAAATCTTCTCCCCTTTCTAGCCCCTCTCACAGCCCCCCTTTTCATTCTCCTTGCTGCTTTTTTCAACCAGATTTTTTTTTTATGGCGTATTTTTTTCATTCATTTTAAATTCTGCATACGTGTGCAGGAACATCCTTATTCTGGGAGACAGAAAAGCTGGAAGTATTTGATGAGAAAGGCATTCAAAAGTCCACTTACCTTTTCTGGTGGGTGGCATTTCAGCCAGGCATCGGGCTCCGCAGTGATCCGGCTGGGGGCAGAGATCGGCCCCCTCATTGTCACTGCCCAGCTATGTCACCAGCGCTGGGTGGGGCTCTGTCCAGGGGCAGCCCCGCTGACGAATCAGTGCTAGCTGTAGGCGTGGCCACAGGAAATTTAAACTGCGGCACAGCCAGGGGCCATTCAAGTCATAGGACTCCCCCTATTGGTGCTTTACCCTTAGCTGGTCTCCCGGCAGATGGGCAGGAGTCAATATATAGTCTGGCTTCACCCAATGCCTAAGGCCAAACCGCTCACATCTATAACTGATAAAGTTGTGGCCTATTCAAACCCATAAACCAAAATCCACTTGTCTGTGTGTTTATTTATCCACTAGGGAACTGCGGGTCATGGGGCCTTGGCACGCAATCACTGATATGGCTCATGCCATACTTTAGACCACTCTCCTTCCCTGTTGTGAGTGGTGGTGAGTGTCAGGTTGATTGTTTTGCTACTCATTTGCTCTGGATTTTATTGGGGAGGGGGAGGATAAAAATGATGGACAGTAAAGGCCAAAAGGAACAACTGGGCTAGCCCATTCAGCTTCATTGAACCAGTCAACCTCTTGCCACATGCCTGCTCTCTGTCTTAGTTGGATGGTTTCGCAGATCCAGCCCCTATCTTAGCGCACAGATCCTCAGACCTCCTACATGAATGAAAGGAGCCATCTCACATAACTACTGCTGAACAAAGCAGCAACAGCTACCAGATACAGACTATGGGGAAATGAGAGAGAGAGTGTGTACATGTGAAAGAGAGATTATGGTCTGTCTGTGAGACAGAATGGATGAATGAAAGGGAGGATGCAAACCTGCATGGGAAAAAGAAGGAAAGAGATCTGCTTTGTATAGATTTTGAGTCGTTTGCCATAATCTGAAAAACGATCAGAAAGTATCTCCGCTTCTGTGTTTTCTAGAAGGCAATCTTAATTTTTAACAATGTAAGTGCATTGTGGGTGCGGTTTAATGTGAACATTAGATTCATCTGTTTGAGTTATAAATGGAATTTTAGTTTTTCCTTTGTGACACCGTTGGAGTCTGGATTGTGTAAGAATGATATGTGATGATGGCTTGATATCATGGATGAATGTATTGTTTGGTGGCAGGGGACAAGTAAACACATGGAACAGGTCTATACCTAGATTACACAGTGTTTTCACTTGTCTTCTGCCCATGAGTACAGGGCTCTACCCCAGCTACTGGCCTTTGAGACTGCCAGCAGGAACCTGACTTGCATATTGCCAAAAAGAGGAAATATATCACCTGAAAAAGGACAATAGTAAATATTTGCTTGTGTTTTTCATATGCTAATTTGTATTTATAGATGCAGATTCAGAATTACTTAATATAATTTTAAAAGAAATACAATTCATCTCACTATAATGAGAAAGACTGACTAGGTGGCCTGTCTGTTCAGTCTGCTGTTCAGGTGCTAATTGTTGATAGGGAACTTCAGGGTTCCTACTTTCCCTTATGGTTATTTACTGTTAAACTGGTCTTGGACCAGAAAACCTTCAGAGAGAAGACTGCCCTCTGTAAAGTATGGCACATAGTAGCTGCTTTACCTGTCAGGCTTTGCCCCTAGGACCCTCCCAGGTACTAAAACGTTGTCTTTCAGGAATTGATGGCCCTAGACACTACACAGTCCGAAGGCCTTGACCCTCTATGCAGCATATGCAACAGAATCCATGCCTACAAAAATGCCCAGTGAGTCAGAGTAAGGAAGGGAGAAAGCAGTCCTGCATGAATACTACATAAGGGATGCACATATTAAGAGATTTTATGGCTTTATTCACAAGTTCAAGATCTTGACAAGGGAAAGTCCACTTCAAATGGGGAAAGTGGTAACCTCAACCATCTATATGAATGCAACTAACTCATTATACCTCAACGAATCTCTTTTTAAAAAGATATTTTTATTGAAATTTTCAGTTATACATTTCCCACCATTAAATACCCACCATTATAATAATACATTCATTGACTTATCTTCTTCTCTTTCCGTGGTTTCTTTTCTTTTCATGGTTAATTTTCCCATTATTACTGCATATTCTATTACAACCATTACAACCATTTAATCCCATCCCTATTTTCATATTACCTCATCTTTTTATACTGTTGAATTTACCTTAATACTGCTAGCATTTTCACTTGTTTACAATTATTTCCCAAATATTCTACCAAGATTTTCCATTCCTCTTTGTAGACTTAATCTTCTTGTTCTCTTATTCTGCTGGTTAGGCCTGCTAACCCTGCTTATTCCATCATTTTAAGTTGCCATTCCTCCTTCTTAGGGACCTCTCCCACCCTCCATTTTTGGGCTAACAAAATCTGAGCTGCTGTAGTTGCATATATAATTTTTTCTCTCCTGACTTCTGGGAACCTCCATCTGCATCATTCCTAAAAGGAATGCTTCTGGGTTTGGGGGGATGTTATTTTAAACCATTTTTTCATCTCATTATACTATCTCAACAAATCTCTGCATATTAATCATTTGATGGACATGTTTTTTAAGAAAAAAGCTCATGTAAAACCACAGTGCTCAGCTGTTGACTACACAGCTTAAGAAAAATAAAATGCTAAACCCTGCTGTTTTTATGTGTTGGGTACCGTGTGCCATATTCCTTTCATGACCGCTAGAGCTCTATTATACCTAGAAAGCTAGGATGTTCCTATATAGTTTTTATTAATAGAACTATGATCTATCTGGAATGTGAGCTGAGAAAACATCTTGTACTATTTTTCCTCGCCCAACAACTGCTGTTGAGTGACATTATCAGTTGCAATTGTTAAACAGGGTAGTAGGAAAACATTACTTATCATTCCTAACGGTATGAATGCCATCAACCTCTTCAGATAACACATCAAGAAATATGAGCTTCTATGGAATTTCCAGAACTTATGGGGACAATTCATAGGTATGACCAGTGGCGTAGCGTGGGTTGTCAGCACCCGGGGCAAGGCAAGTAATTTGTGCCCCCTAACCCGGTAGGGGCAGAGAGCTGCGAGTGTGAGCGCCCCCCCCAGATGTTGCGGCCGGTGCAGCCGGCCCCCCCTGCACCCCCCACGCTACGCCACTGGGTATGACTAATAAAGGAGATGGGTGATGTAGGTTGCAACCCTGTGTACCTGGGTATAAGTCTTGTTGAACTCAATGAGGTTTACCTTACTTCTGAGGAAATCAACCTTGGCTTGGGGGGGGGGGTCCCTGCCATCAACCCACAATTTCTAGTGTGGGTTTATGTCACAGCAATTATACATTACTCAGAAGTAACCCCTGCTAAATTCCATGGGGATGGCTCCTTTGATACATTCACATAAGGTCATTGTTGTGGAGAGTCATCAGCCACTGTAGTATGGGAGTTCTATCTCCACTCTGCACAAAAGGTATATATTTTGACATGCAATAGTAAATGACCATTTTGCGCACGTTCAAAGCACATACGACCATGCACATGCGCACCGCCGCGAACCCGGAAGTGGCAGGAAAAGTGTGCATAATGGGGTAGGCTTAAAGACGCTCTGCCACCACGCATAATGATCTGGAATACAACCCCCATGCAAATCAGGGATTGTTGCCTATATCTGCAGACCCCCAACTCCCAGCCTAGGGAGTCATTCCAGGAGAATGCCCAGTGCAGAGGTTCCGCATGCATGTACTAGAAAGAGGAAAATAACATAACACTTTTTCCCTACCTCGCAAATAATAATACAGTATCTATAATCTTAATTGCAGCTGGAGTGTTGTTTGGAAGAACTGCACTTAGATCCTTGCAACAATTCAACCAACTTGCCCTCTATTGTGTCCAAAGCAATGTTGTAAGTATTGCCTAAAATAAGGATGATTCATTCTGTTGAGAGTGTATTTTGAACCACAAGGGAGACAGAAACCTTCAGAATAACCTGGGGGAAAATTCCTTCCTGATTTGATAATGCTGTTGGGAATGTATCTAACTTCTAGCCATTCATTTCTATCAAAGGAAATATTCTTAGCACTTTAACACATACCCATCCCATCTAATTTCCTAATGCTAGTTGTTGCTATATTTTATGTCTAGAATCTCTTCCAGTCGCTCCAAGCGAGTGTTTTTGGAATGATTCCCATGAAGACATGCATTAGAATTAGCCATTGTGTCAGCCATTCCCATAGGCTGGCACTGGAAAACGCTTTTCCATAAAACTAAACTTGGATGACCAGCTTCCATACAATATGTATTCTTAGTAGGATGCATTTCAGAAGCACTCCATTGGAAGCAAACATGTGGCAATATCACCTCAGAGAAAGAGAAAATACTCAATTACAGGGAAATGAAGTATAATATATCTCATTAAATAGTATCCCATCTGCATTCAGCTCAGTTATAAAACAGTATGAGGCTTATGTTCTGGGTTGTTGTTTTTCTGATAGCTTACTTACCGATATTTGATAATTACCCTGTTTTATGATATACAACACCTTAAAATCTGATATGATGAAGGGTGGTATAAAAATGTTTTAAATAAATAAATGGAAAACTTTCTTCAAATCTCTAGCTGTCATTTCCTGTTAAGAGCATTTTTAAACATTTGATATTTAAATTGACTTATATTTACCTTAGTTTATATTGCAAACCTATTTTAGTAGAACTACATTGCATTTAAATGCATTGCAATAACAATATTTACACATGGAACAAATACAAGAGAGGCTCATGGATGTATTAGTGTCGTGGATGGAGACATTCTGCACCCCTGCATATACTCAGGAGGAAATACACCACATTGAAAATGAACTTCTTTCTTTAAACATAGTATTTGGGATCATGATAGCTGGGACAACAACCTGTGAGTTGGCATTAAACCATTCCCAATTGATAATTAAACATCACAAGCAGTTTGTAGGGAGGAGGCAGTTGCAGGCACTGGCAGAGGAAGAGGAGTGTGGGGGGAGCGCCCCGCCCCGCCCCTGGCAGTGCGATCCCGGTGGGGTGTCATAGTGACTGCCCCCCCCCGCCTGTGCTGGGCGCCATCCCCTCGCAGCCGGTGTGCCACACCCCCAGGGCGCGTGCCACGCCCCTGGGATGCACACCAGCCCCGCCCTGCCCTGCCTGCTCTCCGTCCCCTGGTGCCGGAGCATGAAGCTCTGCCACTGGTTGCAGGATTATGTTAATAATTTGCTGGGTCAAGGGATGCCAAATGATTACTTCTGGCCTTGCCGCCAGATAAGAATCTTTCCTGGACTTGGACAATCCTTGGCACCAGCAACACCTCTGGCTCCTGCAATATCATGGGCAGAACCCGAAATCTTTAAACCTGGCTGCACCAAAGAATCAAGTGATCATAAATCTCATAATGTAAAATCTCGTACCCATTTGTTTAGAACTGATGGCCTCCTTTGACACACATACTTCTGGGATTTTGAGTATAAAGAACTCAAAGCTGACTAACAACACACAAATGCTGCAGTGCAGCCGCCCCTTACTCATATAGACCGCAATTGCATATTACTTAGGAGTGAATTGCTGAATGCTGAGGCCTAAGAAAAGCGAGCTCTATATATGCTTAGCTTATGACATATATATACGCTTTTGAACACATTTACAAAAAATATCGCATCTTCATAATATAAATGTTTGAAATTTTATAAACCAGATGAAAAATGGATTTTACTACTATCTTCAAAAATGTTAAGAATCAGGTTCCACTCTATATTATAGTTTTGCATTAAAAGTTGGATAGTGTTATGGCACAAATAATCTTGGTAAACAAGGAGCTGTAGTTACCCTATGCAAGCATTATGAATGTCAGCCAGCATTTTCCTTCCTCCATTTGATAAAAACAGAACCATAGCAAATGAAGATTAATTTCACAATTTTAATTTACTAATTTACCATTTTATTCATGTTAGATTGAATCTGCTTTAAAAGTAATCATAAGACAGCCTATAGCTCAGTTGGTAGAACATGAAACTTTTAATCTCAGGGTAATGGGTTCAAGCCCCATGTTGGGCGACAGATTCCTGCATTGCAAGGGCTGGACTAGACAACTCTCGTGGTCCCTTCCAACTTTACAATTCTGATTCTATGAAATACTATTCAATGTGAAAATAAAGTGGGAAAATCTGGTCAGTAACAGGTTGCCTAAAGATTATGGAAAATTACAGATTAGTTTGCTTAAAGAAAAGACTTATAAAAGTTAGCAGCTCAATAACAAGAAATGACAAAGGTGATAAAGGAAACAAAAGCGTACCTTGTTCTTGAGGAAGTCCATAAAACTCAGCAGCTATTCTTGCTGCCTCTTTACGGTTCCCTTTTACAATATAGAAATGGCTGAGTATTGCGAGGCTGATTTTCACAAAAAGCTTAAAGCAGAAAAGTGAAAGTATCGTAAAGTAGACATTGGATAGTTGTTGGGCAAAAGGACGATTTTCCTCTACGACAGTCATTGCTGCACAAGAGGCTTTGTCAGTGTTTAGATACAGCTCCAAAATATGTCAGGAAGATAGAATGGCTCCAGCCAGACACTCCTAGGGAACAGCTGGTGCTGAGGAAAGAAAATATCAGCTGGTCATGATGCTTGCAGCTCAAAATATGGGGATTATTTATACTGTACATAGCACTGAGTTCACTTGAGCTCCTGCTAGCGTGATGGTATTTCAGCTGGAGAACACATATAAACAGTTTCAAACACTTTGAATATGACACTCCATACTAAAACAGTAGCTTCGTTCCACAGCTCACATATCTATTGTGTATAATCACATCAGTTTTGCATCTGAAGAATAGTTGTCAAACGGTATGATTTACAACTTGTTCCTTGTTTTACTCCACAGTTTTAACCACCTGCTGTCAATCTAAAAGAAGATTGTCACCCTCCCTCAAAACGTGATAAACACACATACACACTTTTGTTGGATCTTTTATTATAGCGATGTTCTTACATTTTCTCAACATATTTATTTTAAAAGGATGAGTTCTGTTTAATTAGAATGAAATCGAAAGCCAAGCCAGGAAAAAGGGCTTGGTGTGTTAACTAGGCTATGCCTAGGACAGATCCCTGAAAGGGAAGGAAGCTGATGCAATTTTGGAGACATTTGTCTATGCCTGTTATAATGAATGTTGTTTAACAATTTGGATGTATGTTTAAACCCCAATGGCTTTGCTTGAAATACCATTTAATATGAGCTTGTGCAACTAAGGCTGTGTTTCAGATTTCTACTAATGGACACATTCTCAAATACTAATATGGTCTTGAAAGCAGAGGTGTCACCAAGTTCTTTGACACAAACGCATGATACAAATTTGTATATGCAGATGTGTGTGTATGTGTGTGTGTATATATATGCAAATTTAAGCAGACTTTCAAAGAGAAAGCTGCCCTGCAGGGAAATTGATTGTGTGTTTGTTTTTTGTTTTTTAAAGGGGATTGAGAAACTAAGGCGTGATGCAAAAGACTAGACTCTCTCCTCCACCAGGTCACCCCTGATTAAAAGAAACATAGTCTTGTTTGCCTGATAGCTATTCCAACTTTCTAGGGTTTGAAGCTTTGGGGTTTAGACAGGATGGCCCTGGCAAGTATCTCCTTTGTTAGGGAAATTACAGATAAATAGCCTAGGAAGTAACTGGAGAATCATTTGGATTCTGTGCAAGAAATAGCCAGCTTGTGAAGACAAACTATGGTTTGGGGGAAAACAGAGATACTGTACCCGATTTATTGGACTCTGAATTAACAGCATTTTGTGGTGCTGGCTGTATCCTTAAAGATCTGATGTGGAAACAGTGAACTCTGATTGTCTGTTGGAATGTTTAAGCTATACCTCCACCTACCTTCAACCTGTATATTTGTGTAAAAAAACACAAAAAGCCCACCCTCAAACATAAAACGCCAATAACTTTGCAGTAGCCTTCTAAATCTTGGTCTGTGCTCCTACATCTCAGTGCTTGGAGAAGTGGAGTATACAACACTAATGTGAGCCTGTCCTCTTCAGTAGTGTGCGCAGAAGTAGTACTGCTTGTTTAAAAGCTTTAGGAAAGATAAATAATATTCCGTGCTTGAGTAATCTACAACCACTGACCCCAGAGAGACCCTTTCATATCTCTTTCTCCAGGAATTGCATCTAGGGTGAGCCACTTCAGAGCCGCAGAGGTGGGTGGCAACTTCAGTGCCTTTGTGATATCGCCAGCCAGCACACCAATCCATCTCTTATCTGACAGCTGTTTGCAGAATTCCATCCCAAAGCAGTAGCTGTGACAGGCATGCCGCTGCTGCCAGATCAAAAGGGGAAGTAACCAACAGAGCTTACCTACATATGGTGAAGCAAAAGGCACTCGTGAGATATGCAAGGTCACAGGGAGAACAAACGCAGGCTAATTATGCTACCCATTCTCAAAACATCCCACCTGGCCCGCTTACAACACTTGAGATTAATAGTGAGAAGTCGGGGCGAACGAAACGGGGAAACAATTGTGCATGGAAAGGCTCTAGGCAGAAGGAAAAAACTGCCACATGAACTAGTCACAAGGTTAGAAATGTCTGGCAGCACAAAACAAACACAAAGCCAAGCACAGCTGCTGCTTGGTAACATGATTGACAGTGCATGAGCGGGAAAAGGAGTGCATAAGCAGGAAAACGTTCTCCAAGGGAAGAGCCAGCCTCCAGCGAAGGAGTTGCTACAGACTAAACGGCAGGTAAAAAGGCCAGGGGGCTGTTGGAGATCCAACTTTTGGAGAGAGAGATCCAACTTTTGAGCTTATGAGGAAAGGCCACTAAATAATGGAGGAGAGGAGGCCTAATTTGGCTTGGCTTCTGATGGTCCTAGGGAGGAGAGAGGCAGCGTGATAACCTCAGGGGCAGTGGGCTCTCTACTTTTACTCACTCAGGTAGGCCTCTCAAGGTGCACAGGTGGGTGGATGTTGCCATCAGGGTCTATGAGGCAGTTGGCTAAGGATAAGGGGAGCATCAATGAAGCTTACTAATATGTTTCCTAGCAGAGCTGGCCTATCAGACAAGTGGGAGGAGTTATGTGGGATGAAAGAGAGTGGTCCAAAAGAGCTGGTTGGGCCATGCAGGAAAACAACAACACCACAAACTGGCTTATAAGTTATAAAACCAAATTTACTAGAACAATAGCTAGAGTAGAGATAGGCTATAACTATTCAAACAACAAACATGCTAAGGTGCCATGTGCAAGACAAAGCCTGGAGATACTGTAAACATGGAATGGATAAATGTACAACTCTATCTTAACAAGTTACATGTACAGTAAACGTTATACAGATTGGATAAATGAACCGTTCAACACGTAGCGTAAGTCCTATCACGGAACGGCAACCCCGTGCCGCCACAATGGCAAGGGTAGCACACTGGAGAATATGAAAAAGTTTTTCAAAGCTGTTTTTCAAAGCTTGAACTGGATGAGATGTTTTCCAATGAGTCTTGAGTTGGAAACACAAAGCCGTGTACACAGATCAATCACGGGAAGGCAAATCAAAGCCACCACCCTGGTGAGAATAACGCAAGTAGGCAAAAGGACCAGAGAAGTGATCAACTCTTAATTAAAACAAAACCAAAACCTGCTTGATTTGCAGCATGGGGAGCTGGTGTTTAAAGCAAACAGATTTTGCATGGGCTTATTAAACTAGTTCCTGCTTTTCTTAGATCCTAGCCAGGATGTCAAAATATATTGAATTAAAACACACACTCCCCACCCCTCATGAAGTAACTGACCCATAAGCCTTGTCACTTGAACAGCTTGTTAAGGGGCAAGATACTGCGTTGCATTTCCGTGTGTAGATGCTCGACTTCCCTCCATACAGATCAGTTCATAGGTGGATTCGAAAAGCTGCTTTTTCAGCAGACAGCCGTCAGGCGGCACTCGCTGCCTGCGGCGACTAGCAGCGGGTTATATAGAATAGGAGACAACCATAAGGGAGTTTAGACTGTTCCTTTGCCTGCAGACCGGATTTCCTGGCTATTTTTGACGCCTTGACTACGTATTTACCTTCAGAGTGGTAAAAAGGCAGTTGCTCATAAGGCAGCAACAAGGGAGACGTTCCGGCTTTTTTCGGTGCAGTGATTTGGGAGCAACGCGCGTCTTCCTCTAGAAGGAAGGACTAAGTTTAAGTTTCTCCAACGTCAAGTCTTCTTTGGGTTATTTTATTTTAAAGGGTTTTTTAAATGCCCTACAAAATGTCCATTGCTCATTGCCCCCTTCCCTGAAGATGGGGTAGCTGAGAGCTATAGCGAGAGTTTACTATAGTCCGCTCTCACGGTGCTGATTTGGACTCTATTTATCACCTTGCCACAATTCATTCAACTTCGGAGTGGCTGCAAGTGAGTGGATTGTACCTGAAAGTGATTATATCACAATCCTGAGCAAACCTCACGATCTCCACAGTGCAGGCGGTGACTGAAGTTAATAATGACTTAAAATAACTCGCTTGCTTAAAAAACCGATTCAGTCTTTTTTTAAAACAAAACACAGTCTTTATTAACGAAATGAAACCTCACCAGCAAAGGTTTCCATCGCGGTACTACACAGATGAGGCATGTCATCAAGATGCAGGTAGAACGATTACAGTAGAAACCAGGATATGCAGATAAGCTAATGTCGCTAATGTCCATATAACTAGGGCTTGCGATCTCTAAACGCACAAGCCCTATTGAGCTCAGTGCGGTTTACTTCTGAGTAGACATTCACCTTGCATGGCAAATGCCACGAAAGAGGCGCCTCAACACAAAACACCCCTCGGGCTGCAGCAGAGGCGAAGGTAGCCGACTTCCTGCCCTTCCGCCCCCGGCTGCCGCCGCTGCCGCTGTTCTCCGTTCACTCGCGCGCGGACACGCCGTGACACTCCGCCTGTTCTATAGGGATCCCCAGTCCATGCCAGAAGGTGGTTCCCCTACTATCACTCTGACCTTTTTTATCTCTCCTTTTTTCTTGCGGCGGCGGCGGGCGGAAGCGACTCTTCGAGGCCGATTGAACTTCCGGGCAGGCCGAGCTAGGGCGGAGGGAAGGGGGCGGGCAGGAGGCAGGCAGGGAGGTGCAGGGACGCTGGCTGGGCTCCTCCTCGCGCGGGCGACTGGGCGGGCTCGGCTTTTCGGCGGCCGTTTCGGGCCTCCTTTCCCTTTCAGCCACGCAGCGCGGCGGTGGCGGCAGCGGCAGCGGCAGCTTCCCCTCCCCCTCCTCCTGCGTCCGCTTCCCCGCCACCCGAGGCTCGCTCGCTGGTCCTGCCTGCGCGCTTGAGACGGCGGAGGCGGGTGGTGCGACTGGCGAAGAGGGCCGGAGCGAGCGAGCGTGCGTGTTTGTGTGTGGTGAAGGCCGGAGCGGCCGGCGGGGGAGATGAACACCGTCCTGACCCGCGCCAACTCTCTCTTCGCCTTCTCGCTGAGCGTGATGGCGGCGCTGACCTTCGGCTGCTTCATCACCACCGCCTTCAAAGAGCGCACGGTGCCCGTCAGCATCGCCGTCTCGCGGGTCATGCTGTGAGTGAGGGGCGAGGGGAGGGTTGGGGGTCCTCTCTTCTTCCTCCTCCTCCTCCTCCTCCTCCTCTTGCTCCTGGGTGCTGAGCCTCATCCGCCCCTCTTCGAAGTCTTTCGAGTAGTGGGCGGAAAAGGTTCCCCTTCTCACCCCTTTCTCAGCAAGGATGTGGGGTGAGGAGATTGGGGTGAAGAAGGCGAAGCCTGACTTGCTTCGAAGTATTCTCCCTTCACCCCTCCCCAAAAAAATCCATGCCCCCCCCCCTTGTGGAGCATCCCTCATGTGCAAAACGTTTTGCAACGAGCCATCTCCCTTCGCTCCATTAATATTAACCTGTGGTCCTCGAAGTGATTTGGGGCGGGGGCATAACTTATCAGGATGTCTTTGTGTGCGCCCATGGCAGTGGCTGATGTGTATTACACTTACCCCACCTCCCTGCAATTATTATTATTTCCCCCCACACACATCAGTCCCATCCCTGCTGCAAATAAGTCGCACAATGGAATGTTCGCGTTAAATGGGGTTGTCACTGAGGACGGATAAAAGCGTTGTGTATTATTGATCCTGCAATAATCACCCGTTGTTCTCTGTGTTATCACCTAAGTTTGGATTCCCTTTTCTCTTTGTCGATTATGGGTCTCAGAACAGTAGACCTTTCCTTCCTGTTCTCTCATTTCCCCTTTGTGCGAGCCAATGAGCGAGCACCACGAACTCTCTGGTGCTGTAGTGTCCGCCCTCTGGCAGGCTCCCTCCAGGGTGTACATAGAAAGGCAACTCGGCTATTGGGTTTAGCACACGTCAGTGGCTGTTGCCCTGGCAGCATATTGCCAAGCATAGGTCTGTTTCCATGCAGTTGGGGGTGGGGGGGCAGTGTTGTTTTACAGCAAATTCCCGTGCTGTTCTGACAAACACAAGTCCTGCTCTCAGCATTGCTGATTGGTGTTGCTCTGAATGGTTTCATAGACTGCCGTGCATCGTTTGTGGTGCTTGCATACTGATTTTACGTTCCTTGGTGCATTTGGAGCTAAGTAGGAACATCTCAGCTGAATGTGTTAAATTGTGGGCTTCAAACATCATACTCTATGCTATTAAAATGTGCTAAATGTGACTGCTCTTCATGAATAAAAGCATGGCAGTGCATGGAGAATTAAATTTGTTCTGGTGTTCTCTCGCATTGTGCCTCTTGGCAAGAACATTAACATTAGTTGCCAATGTCATCATCGCACAATGGCTATGATAACTATAACTCATAAGGTAAAGGAAATTAAATTATGTAGCCTATACATTATTGAAATCACAGGTGACATTCACTTGGCTCACGTTTGCCTATGTTTCTTGCCCAGCTTCTAAGTTCCCTTCTGCTGCCCTGCATAATGTTGCACGCCACCCCAATGTCTGAGTGGTGTGAGCATTCCAGGCTCTTACCTAGGGTTTGGTTTCCTCATTCCTAGGGACAGTAGAGACTGACTGATGTCTTTAGGATGTATGGTTTATCTACACACACACACACACACACACACACACACACACACACACCCTATGATGGAGGGACTCACAGCATTAACATCCCAGAAGGTCTTGCTTCTCCCATATTCACAGCCTTGGATTCCAGCAGAAATCAGGCATGACTCTCACTCTCTGACTTCTGCTTGCTTCTAGCACAGCTCTCACTCTCTCACTATAGCTTTTGTCTTCTCACTACCAGCCAGGTGAGGGAGGGGGTCCTCCCATTTGCCCTCTGGCACAAAGTAACTTCCTTATAACAAATAAGCTGGCATTGCTACTTCAACAGTGGAATCCTCCAAACATAACCCTGTAAACATTTGTGTAGCCATAATACTTTATTTATGACTTATAGAACATTTGCATTCTCTAAGGGAATATTTGTTTAAAACTTTTAATTTTTCCAAATTTTGTAGAATGTTTAGATATGCATGTTTAAAATATCCAAGTTAAGTTATTGGCTTGGATTCTAAGATAAGTCAACTTCAGGAAGTATATTTAAACTGTAATTATTATTGTTCATTCTACGTTCTGTTACAAGGGACCAGCCTCAGCACTACCTATGTTTCCCATTTTTCCCCACTGAATAAGAGTATCCTTTCTCTGAAGAAACTAATATTATCTTGTGCCACCTGCAAAGAAGTTTGAATAATGTGGTTTTTTGTGTGTTTTTAGGAAAAATGTAGAAGACTTCACTGGACCTGGAGAAAGAAGTGACCTTGGAATCATTACTTTTGACATTACTGCAGATATCCTTCATAAAAATTTGTAGAGCTTCAGAATAAATCCTGTTTTTAAGTACTGATTACTAGAGGGTGACAAAATTAAAAATCTATACATCTTCGAAGCTACTTCTAACAAAAGCTGGGAATGGAGAATACATGATACAGATATTAGAGGCTAGAATGTTTGGTTTATATTTGAGTGTTTTCTCAACTACAGCATTGTTATTAATGTCATAATGATACCTGATTCTTTAGCGTGGTGCTGATGTAACACTTAACCATGGTTGAGTGGGCTGCAAGCTTGCACACTTCTGTTATCTCAGTGGTGAATTCCCCTTCCTTCCTTTTTAGCGCTATGGTGTTGCATTACTGAAGGTTGCCAAGTATTTGCAAACCAATTTATATATCTGGTGTTAAATGATGGTTAAAGCTAACCATGGATACTCTGAACACAAATGTTTACATTTAGAAAAACAAAAACGGAAGGGGACCAATGCACTAAGTTATTCATGGAAAACAATGCCACATTTTGTTAACCCTCATTTTCTTGCCCATTATCTTTGCTTTGCTTTCTCTCTGTCACAACTCTCCCTATTCTCCTCACCAAATTGTGTGTGTGTCCCCCCCTTTCTCTCTTTTCACCCACATCCTTTCCCTCCAGTCTTGCTTTTTGCTCTGCTGCTGGTCCTAGCCCCTCTCATTGCCTAGTATGGCTGCCTGGTTGAAACAGGACAGGCAAACTGGCACAAACTCAGCCATGCAGCTCTCAGTCCAGGAAGCAGCTGAGTGTCCACCCTTGCTATTTTCAGGCACCTGCAATCTGCAGGTGTTTCCATAAAGAGTGAAAACAACAGTGGACAAGTGTTTCAGTTAGACGTTTCCCCAGGGAATGGCAATTTGCACACAGACCCTATGTTATGCAGGCCTGCCCTAAGTGTTTTCATTATCCCAGTGGGATTTCTTGTCTTGAAACAGCATACTCTGTGTCATATCAGAAACTCCCTTCAGCTTCATCTGTAGTTTGCTGTGTAGAATAAGGAATTGCTGTTTGGGTTACACTAGTCTGAAAACTGAACTAGTTGTACTAGTCATTGAATACTGGCCTAGAACTCTAGTACGTAAGAGACTTCGGCTTTGTTTCTTCAAAATCCCAAATTCCTCAGTCCTATAGCTGGAATAAACAGGACTGGCATGCATATATTCTATTACCTGTTTAATACCAGTATCTGACAGTATTGCTTTTATTGATTGATTTTATTGAAGCAGCATCTGAGGTAATGTGGAACAAAAATGTTTTAAAATGAGCAAAAATGGTTTATTTGAAACAATATGAAAAATCCATTTCCTTTTGAAGATTTTAAAAAAAGAAAGAATTGGGAAGAATGCAGGGGAGTTACATAGATTTGGAAATGGTGGGTAATCACCCCTTCCTTTCTGTCTCTTATTCCCTCAACCCAAAAATAAGAACCTTTAGCAGTTTTCTTTTTTTACAAAAGTAAGCCTGCTGGTCTTGATCTACAAAAATTAAAATGCCACGAATCCTCAGTTAATATGTTGTTTATCACAGAGAAAAGCCTTAAGTTGAGAAATGCCTTCTGAATAGAACATTTCTGCTTTAAAATGCCTGGATAGTTGATCTGCACTGAATGAATGTTTTTGAAAATATTCGAAATTTGAAACAATATGTGTTCCTTAACGTTCACACATCTGCACAGTATATTTGACTGGAATGTGAAACAATTATTTCTGTATTTATCAGCAGAATATTCAACAAAGAACAATGTAAGTATAACTTGTAAAGTGGTTAAATGGAAATGCATACTAATTGTATAGTTATTTCTGTCGACTCATGAAGGGGGAGCAGGAAAAAACTTAAACGCGTAGCAGAGTTCCCCCCCTCCCCCCCCAAAATAGACCAGAGGCAACTGTACTTCATTCAGCAGAGCTTTTACTGCTGCTGAGGCAAGTGAGCATAATGGTCACAAATCCAATACATTCAGGATTGGCACAGTTCATAAAAATCCAGTTGCAGCACTTACAATAAAACTTGCAAAACTTATCATAAGACTAAACCTTAACACTACAGTGGTACCTCGGTTTTCGAACGTTTTGGTTTTGAACGCCGAAAACCCGGAAGTAACTGCTTCGGTTTTCAAATGCGCCTCGGAAATTGAACAGGAAACGCGGCTTCCATTTTGAGTTTTCTGTAAGTAAATGCTTCCGGAAGTAAATGCTTCGGGTTTCAGAAGTCGAATGGTCTTCCGGAATGGATTAAGTTTGAAAACCGAGGTACCACTGTGTCGCATACAGAAACAAAACACTAGAACAAAGAGAGAGAGAAAGAAAAAGTGAGCGAGAGCCAGGCTCCTCCTGGCCTGACTATCATAGTCAGCTTGACCTTGACAGAAAGGGCAACAAAAGCAGTTTAAACCAGCTGTACTCAGCTTCCCAGCAGAAATAACCCAAACAAAAACTAATGTTTGGCAAAAGTTGGAAAGTGTTTCTGTATTCTGAAAGTTTGTAGGTAAGATCTGAAATCTGTTTCGCAAAGTTGTCTTTGTAGAAAGGGGAACACTTTGGTTTTCAAACGTTTAGTGTTGTAAAGTCCCCAGCACCTTATAATATCTGCTTCTACGAATGTACTCATGGCTGTCTTATCCTGATACAACTGTGCCACTGATGTTTGTAGAATATTTAAGTGGGCACTACATTGAAATTGGTATGTTACCACTCTTTAATTCCTCATTCCTTGCCTAAAAAACTTTGAAAACATGCCTGTGTATTCATGATTGTGCTAGTTACACATGGATGGAATAGTGATGCTCTGGTTTCTTGGATGATTGCACAATCTATAATTATCTGCTGCTTGTTATATTCTTCTGATTGTTTCATCAGTCTCTGGCCTGGTTCACGCATCACGCAAAACCATAGAAAACCAGCTATGGTCTAATGTGAACAAGGAGCTTGTTAGTGCACTCTACTGAAAAATTCTCACTTTGCTTCTCCTGTTCTTGCTGCTGCAATGCCTCTGGGAAACAAGTCAGATTTTGACTTGTCATGATGGGCAAATGTGTGTTTGCAGTTTTTCTCCAAACAAACCATGAGCAATACTCAAGGTCCTTGGCTTATTGCTTGTGGTGGAAGGGTGAACCATGAGCCCAGATTCATGTTGTAACAAGGTGGATTGTCTTGTTTCCCAGCAGCACAGCATGAGTGGTAGAAGAGGAGCAGAGCAAAACTTTTCAGCGCACAAGTGCAAATGTATATTTACATTAAAGCATAGTTTGTTTCCATCTGTGGTTTAATGTGGTGTGATAACAGGGTCTCTGTAACTGAAAGAAGGCAAACAGTGAAACATTGCCACTCATATTTTGTGATTCTTGCTAGATAGATCCACCAAGTCCTCTGCAGAAAACATGTAAATACAGTGGTACCTCGCAAGACGAATACCTCGCAAGGCAAAAAACTCGCTAGACAAAAGGGTTTTTTGTGTTTTGAGCTGCTTCGCAAGACGATTTTCCCTATGGGCTTGCTTCGCAAGACGGAAACGTCTTGCAAGTTTGTTTCCTTTTTCTTAACACCGTTAATACAGTTGCGACTTGACTTCGAGGAGCAACTCATAGAACACGGTGTAGTAGCCTTTTTTGAGGTTTTTAAAGACCTTGGTGATTTTTGAAGCTTTTCCAAAACTTTCCCGACACCGTGCTTCTCAAGACGAAAAAAATCGCAAGACGACAAAACTTGCGGAACGCATTAATTTCGTCTTGCGAGGCACCACTGTAGGCTGGAAATACTAGTTTATTCCAATTTCCATTTATTTTAGTAAGACCTTATGTGAGACTGGCATTTTGGGGGAGTGGTCTGCAGTTCTCAATCTATTTGGTGCACAGTTATAGCTCTGAATTACTAGTCAGCTATGCATACAATACAAATCTTGATAACAGTAACAAAGTCTGTTTTATTACATGTTAATTTTCCAAAAGCAGTTCATTAACTGTTTACTTCTTTTTATTGTAATGCTACAATGTTTTTTCAGGAAGGATTTTTTTTTTTTTTGCCGATGCTTTACTATGTAGTTTACTTTTGAGCCTATATCTCTTACGATATCACTAAAAGAAAGCCCTCAAGCCCTGTGTGAATGGCTATCTCCATGTTCCGCTTCCTTGATGAGAAATTTTTGCCATTTTCTATTCCTTTTAGTGATTAATGGCAGCTTTAATTGCAGGCTTTGAACCAGGTTGTCCTCTGGGACAAAATTATTTTAAGAGGGGATAATCCAAAGCTGCTGTTGAAAGACATGAAATCAAAATACTTCTTCTTTGATGATGGAAATGGTCTCAAGTGAGTAAATTCCCTTCCTGTATTCGTTTTGATTATGTATGCAGTGATGTAGCTGAGAGAACTCGTCAGCAGAGAAAATGTTTACCTTCAGGAATGCGCTCACGTTGTCATCTACGTTCTTTTAGTGGAATAACATAAACATTTTCTTATCACAGGCTTTCTGTCAATATAACACATTTTGCAAACAGCCATAGTTCAAATAACTTACTATGTGCAAAATCCGAGTTCCCCCTGTGTCTTTTGCAGCCACATTTAATGTTGTTGTGGTTGTGCCAGCTGGAAGCTGTCAAAACTTTGGAGTAGTCTCCTCATTACCTGCAAGCACAATCTAACCTACAGCAGCTAAGCGGATGAAACGAATTAGCACGATGGGTGAGACAATGAGCAGGGTGGGGATGGGGAGCAAGATGCACAGGGAACAGTTATACTAGGAGAGGGTTCTTATATAACATTGGAAATGATGGAAGGAAAGCAGCAACCAGAAAGAGTGTTTACAAGGGCTCACAGAGTTTCTACTTTTTATAGTGCTTCTGTTTCTGGATTTAGGGTTCAATACATTAGTGTTCTCAAGTCCTATTGAGATCTGCAGCACTTCCAACGCTTAACAGTAATCTCTTTGAGGACACTTTCTGCAGATTAGCACATCTAGAGTTTGGTAATTTTTTTAAGATGCAAAGTATCATAAATATCGTTATAGTTTCTTGATGAGAAAAATTGGTCCCTTGCATGTGGCCAATGGATTGTATGATAAATAAGATTAACGAATTCTTAACACTGGCATACATGGTCCTGCATGCTGCAGCATTTATTGCAATGTACACTGCTTAGAGTATTCAAATGATTCTACTAATACTGTGTTCAAATTTCAGGGGCAACAGAAACATCACATTGACTCTTTCATGGAATGTCGTACCAAATGCTGGCATCCTACCTCTTGTGACAGGAGCAGGACACATATCTGTTCCATTCCCAGATACTTATAAAACGGCAAAAAGCTATTAAATTATTATGCTGAACCTTGAGTAACATATTTTTATACTTGTACATTATAAATTTTATCGCTTTTTCGTCTCGCGCCCGCCTCAATTCAAAGGTACTGTACTGAGTTTCTTTAGGTTTAGCTGAGATGGAAGGAAAATAATTTGTCTGGTTTGTTTTCAACTTTCAATTCAAAAAAATGAACTTGAAATCTCAAGGAAAGGTGAATAGTTGTTTTAAATTTTGGGCAAAAAGTTATTGTTCTGGTTGTCAGGACAGGTAATACCTTTCTTACAAATAAAACTTTATGAAACCGGAAACAGTTCATTTGGTTTGAATGTATTGAGAGTTCATGTTTCCCTCCGATCTTTCACATTTCCCTATAGGTAGGAGATGTTTGTCTTGAGATTTCAGATCCAAAGCTATGACGAAATTAAAAGACCTTAATAAATGATAGAGTTGGGAAGGACTTAAATAACGTCCTATAAAGATTTAGTCCAGCTTTTCTTATGAAAAGATTTTCTAAAAAGCTTTATGGAGTATGATCTACACCTTACTAAAACTGTGCTGCATCCTTAATTTTTTTAGAGTTTCCTTTTAAAGTGTAAATACAACGAAAGTTAGAATTCATAGGTAAAGAATGAAGCAGTAAATCAGCAATCATGAATAAAAGAGTTTGGATCATTGGATACAGTAAAGATGCTTCATAGTCTCTTGTATCCATAGCCATCTGTGTCTCCTGAAATACATTTCTGAAGTTTTTAGTGGGTTTCTAAACAATGGGCATATGGGGGTTATGTGATTTTTAGGACTTTTGCTTCTCCCACATTTCATTGCTCTTTCCCCAGGTGTTCTCCCCCACCCCCCAAAAAAAACTTAGCAGAGGCGTTTTGGGGGAGTGGAGGTAATTGTATACTGCAAAAAAGAAGAAAAGTTTTATAAAAGGAAAGAGAACAGGGCTATAGAACCCCCTTTCTCAGCAAGTAGAGTTGTCCATGGTTTCTCACAGTATTGTAAGCCAGAATATACATAGCTTCTTACAGTGATGACCATTTATTGCTTACCACGAGATCAATTAGGAGTTGAACTTTAGGGAATTATCTGAATTCTTAGATGAGGAAGGAGGAGGAAGATCCTGAAAAGGGCTTTTATATTAACAAATGATTCATTTCTCTAAGACTTCACACTAGCAGCTTACCTTTTTTTACAAAAAACAATGAAACTGCAATCCCATGATTATTTTTCTAGGGAAACAAAGTTCCATTGCCTGTTAAATATTTATTTTATAAATATATATTTATATTATTTTATATTTATATTCGGCTCTTCCACCCAAAGGTTCTCAGACAAATGTTAATTGCAAAATATAAGCATATACTGTAATACAAAGTCCGTGAAACAATAGAATAAACCAGACATCAAAATAGAAGCATTTAAACACACAAAAGTCAGAAATTGCAAACTCTTCAGTAGCTAGTACCTCTCAATCATTACTGTAGGCCTGCAAAGATAGGTACATCTTCAGCTGAAGTCTAAGAAGTAATTTCAGTATTCCGGCACTATTTTTCTTTTTTTTCTTTTTTGAATGATATTTATTCAAAATTTCATCAATACATAAACACAAAAGGAAAAACAAGAAAAACAGGAAAAAAAAGAAAAAAGAGGAAAAATATACAGCAAAAAATAGAACAAGAGGAAAAAACCCTAAAAAGAAAGAAGATACAAATCTCAGATTGCAACTTTTCATTTGCTTAATTCTTGAACCTCCTCACACCTCCCTTTTTGTATTCTAGTTTAATTCGTTATTTCAGCAAATTCTTCCCATGTTTCTCAATTTTAATTTAAATGATTAATCTTCACAATCTCTCTTATTTATTAATCAAGATAACCTTTCCATCTTTTAATATAGTCTGTTATTCAATTTACCTTAATCTCTTTAACCTTATCTTAAAAATCTTAAAATTTCAAAATTTACATCATATTCATACATATCTCCTTAAAATCATTTCTACTAAAGCCAATTTAATTCCTTTCCAGCATATTCCCTCAAATTTCATTAATGTTGCACTAATTCCAAAATTAACAAAAGAATTTCCCTTGATATCTCTAATTTTTATCCAACGTCCCTTCTTCCTGGTTTCGGGTCATGTCAGTCCTTTCTGTCCATTACATCCAGTCCATCAATCTGGTGTTCTAATGTCCGAGGCCCTTAAATCTCTTCTAGGCCCCTTCTGCAATTTTTTTTGTTCCTGTTTGTGCTTGCGCACTTATTTGTCAATTGTTGGTTTCTTGGGGAGTGGGTCTCCGGCGGGTTCCATCCGGTAATAGTTTCCATTTTCCTTCATCAGATTGGCCCCTTCCCCCCAGTCCCACTCCCCGTCTTCATCTTTGTAATCCAAAAAATATTTATCCAGAAGATAGTTGTTCACCTGTTTCATAGTCCCACTAGAGTTAAAAGCTTCCTTGACTTCAAATACTTCCCGGCAGTCTCCAAGTTCAATCTTCCAACGCAGTAGCTTTTGTTCCTGCAGGACTTTGGATCTTTCCATTTGTGTTGTTTGAGGAGTAATCACTGCCTCTTCTTTCTCCATCTGCCCTTGGACTTGCCTTGTCAAACCAGGTTCCTGAATTGATCGCTGTATAACTTCTTTATCCTTATTCCCTGTTAAATCATATTCACTGGCCACAGCACTCATCAGGTCCAATTTTTCATGCATCAAGTTCATTTTCTCATGCAGCTGCTCCAGCAAAGCATTAGTCATGCCAAGGGCAGACACCAAACCTTCCTGCCAACACATTTCTGTTCAAAGTCAAGGTCAAACGGCTGGTCCCACGATCCAAATCTCACATCTGCAGAGTCTCCAAGTAAGCTGCAACAACAAACTGACAGGCTCCCTCTAGGGGACACAATTTCTATTTGTATCCATTTTTAAAATATATCCAACAAAGGAGATAACTTTCGATTTCAATTCCTTTCGATTTCAAATACTTTGTTTCTTTAAAAAGCAGAAATGCAGAAAGTAGCGTTGAAGTTAATTTGTTACTCTTTTTCTTTCTTTTTTTTACTATCTGTCAAAGTACTCCACTTTCAATCAATGGACGTCTCAAACAGCTTCTGTCCCGACACCCCGTCCCCAGGTTTGGGACGATGGAAACTTAAATTCCTTTACTCTCCTCCTGCAGGATTAAACAGTCAAATCCCCCCCCCCTTTTCTCCTGCTTCCAAGGGGGTTTTATTGGTTATGGATGCAGGAAATTTCCAACTTTAAAGCAGTTTTTCAGGCTATTAGGTTGCAAGGTCTTTGCTTCAATCTATATACAAAAACGGAAGGCGGACTTCCTGTTTACACCTTCCCGCTTCGTGCCTAATTCATAAATTTTGCAGGTTTCTTAATCCAATTCTCCGTTTTTACTCACGGGTGCTTGATTTAGAGTCCAAATGTCATCAGGAAAAAGTCAGCGCTCTCCAGCGATGGCTGCGCGGCTTCCCTCCATGGAAATAGCGATCGGTTCACAGCACCGCGCTGCTCACCCCACTTCACTCCGGAGCCCCAAAAAGGGGTTTCCTCGTGAGTAGGGGAGGCGCTCTTGGTGCTCTGCCGAACCCCACGTTCCCAGGCTTCTCCACCTGGGATTTCTAGCGGGCCCCCACCTTCGCTGCGGCGGGAAGACCCAATTTCCACAGAGCCCGTTCCTCCAATCGGAGGAACTCCGCCATTCGTCGTTGGCGCTGATCCGGAAGTAGTAGTTTTCAAGTAAAGAAAGATGATTATGAGAACTCAAAAGGAACTTAAGGAAAATATCCAAGGCTCCCAGCTTCTGCTTATATTAGCTAGTTGATAAAAATTTAACGTGACGTTTCAAAAAACACTTCACGGTCTCTAGAAATAAAATGTTGAAGCATGTTATTTGGTTTATCCAGAATTACAGCAAACAGCTTACTGGTTTCAATGAACACAATTTTCCTTTACCCATGGAGTCTTCTCGTGGAAGTAAACAAGCTGCTGGTGCTTTTACTATCCTTATTGATAAATACCACGTACTAGAATGTTAAAGGTTTAACTTTAATTAAGATGGATCATGCATTACTGTGCATGAGAGTACCTAGAAAGGTAAAAAGGCCTGACATTAGCACCACTATATCTTTAACTATATGGTTTCATATATGGTGTTATTTCCTCATCAGTCAGACCATTGCATCTGTGGTATGTGAGCTTAGGTGCAATGGCAACGAAGCTTGGGTTGGTATGGTTTTAGCAACCACATGGTAGTTCTTTATGCTTGAATTGTTTTATTATCTCTGGACCGCATCTGTAATCCTTCTAAGCAAAGTTACAATTGTGAGAACCATCTTCTACACCCCTCAAAATGCCAGAACAAAACTGCTAGAATCAATAGTTGGGACAGAAGTTTCTCAATGATTGATCAAGGTAGAAGACAAAACATCAGAGTTCCATAAAAATATTCTAGCCTGTTCCTCTTGTTTTTCTCTTCACTTTTATTGCACTTTCCAATTTCCTTTTTTAGCATAGTGAAACGAGGAGACCCTTTTATTAATATTAAATAGTGATTGTAGTGATTTGGTTGTTAATCTGTGCACGGTAATACTGAGCGTACCTTCTTAGAACAGTGCTAGTGGGTCATGGTAGTTCTTCATTGATATCAATTATAGATGCATGTACTTTCATTCTGATCATACCACTTTGGGGAATTTTCCTGTAGTGCTGAAAACAGTAATTGTTCTCTGTCCCTCTTGCCCACAACATGTGCTCTTTGCATAATGATAGAATTGCCATTACACTACTTACCCCAGTAATTTGGTCAAAGACAGCTCAACCTATTTTGTAGGAAACGTAAGTCTGGCTCTCAAGTTTTCGATGGCACAAGTACACTAATTTGTAGGCAGCATATCTTCACAAAAACAGTTGAGAGCATCAGCATTTGGGAATTCTGTATTTTTGTGTCTCTAGTGGGTGTGTAGCCTGTGGCCCTTGAGCTCTTTGTCGGGGGGGGGCCGCCTTGGGGGGAGAAAAGGATGGTGGGATGAGCTGAAACAGATGGAGCAATGGGAGGAGGAAGAAGAAAATTCTGCAAGCAATCAGTTCAAACTTCTGGCAAGAGTGACCTATCCCCCACTCCTCAGAAGCCCAAGCTGTCTCCACACTATCCTGAGTTCAGGTAAGTGTTTTGGGGGAAAATGAGCCCCTGGCAAGAAATTGTTTTTTTAAAGCAGTTATTCATACAAGTCAATCTGATAAATCAGGAATGGCAGCTTTTGCAAAAATCAAAACAAGAAAAAACACACCTGCCCAGTAATAGCTCATAATGATTCTGGTGTAGATCATTAATGGCACAAGAGGAGCTGAAGTGAAAAAAGAACAAGTAGAGCATTATTCAGTGGAAGGCCCAAAAGTCATGGTTATTTATGCAGGGATCCTTTTTCTAGTATTCTAAAAACTGCAAATAAAACCCAACAACAACTATTTGACAAGCAAAACTGCAAAGAAAAATTGGTTTTTCCACCAAGTTTATCTATACAAATTGTTTATTGTCGTATAAAATGAAAGTACCTAAGATCTTGGTCACCCTTAACTTACAATTTCTTTGTAATGGGCTACTGTTTTTAGGAAGTGCATTATACTGCAAACAGCAACCAGTTTGTTACCCTCCTAGAGCAGAGGGTGTCTCTTAATTTTGAGGAGAGTGGAGTGGGGGTGGGATTCCTATTGAAGGGAGCAGGCTGCTTTCCATTAGCAGCCAGCGCAAGCAAAGAAAACTCGTTGGCTTCTATTGCCTTAAGTTTTCAAAAAGAATGACTTGCTGCTGCTTACAGAAACCATCCTGTCATAGATGGGAGTGGCAGTCACAGAACCTAGCTGCTTCAACAGTTTCTTTGCTTGCTGCAAATGAAGCTGCCTTCTCCTGTAGAGAGTGGTCACACATAAGGTTTGTGCAGCACTCCTGTGGTCAGACAGCTAGGTGCTATGCCTGACCTTGTTGCGAATGGGTTGGTATATGAGATGGGGCTTTTCCTTTCCTTTCCTTCTCCAGGAGGGTGGGGCGTACATGGCAAGTATGCTTGGCAAGTATGCTGCTTATACTGGCTCATTGGTGTAATTAAGTTTTCCTTTAAGCAAATTTTTAAATAAGCAGGAAGGGAATCAGGTATACATCTTTCCTCATTCTGAGGGTCGTGTTTGAATTGCCCCTATATGCCAAATGGCATGCATTTTTATATTGCCCTCTGTAGTGTAGAGTGTAGTGTAGAGGCGGTTGGAGGATGGATGGTGGCTAATGGATTGCGGTTGAATCCTGACAAGACAGAATTACTGTTCTTGGGGGACAGGGGGCTGGCTGGTGTGGAGGACTCCCTAGTCCTGAATGGGGTAATTGTGCCCCTGAAGGACCAGGTGTGCAGCCTGGGAGTCATTTTCGACTCACAGCTGTCTATGGAGGCACAGGTCAGTTCTGTATCCAGGGCAGCTGTCTACCAGCTCCACCTGGTACGCAGGGTGAGACCCTACCTGCCTGCATACTGTCTCGCCGGAGTGGTGCATGCTCCAGTTATCTCCCGCTTGGACTACTGCAATGTGCTCTACGTGGGGCTACCTTTGAAGGTGACCTGGAAACTACAACTAATCCAGAATGTGGCAGCTAGACTGGTGACTGGGAGCAGCTGCTGAGACCATATAACACCGGTCCTGAAAGACCTACATTGGCTCCCAGTACGTTCCCGAGCACAGTTCAAAGTGTTGGTGTTACCTTTAAAGCTGTAAACTGCCTCGGCCCAGTATACCTGAAGGAGCGTCTCCACCCGCATCGTTCTGCCTGGACACTGAGGTCCAGCACCAAGAGCCTTCTGGCGGTTCCCTCACTGCGAGAAGCGAAGCTACAGGGAACCAGGCAGAGGGCCTTCTCGGTAGTGGCGCCCGCCCTGTGGAACGCCCTCCCATCAGATGTCAAAGAGATAAACAACCACCTGACATTTAGAAGACATCTGAAGGCAGCCCTGTTTAGGGAATTTTTTAATGTGTGACCCATTGCAGGTGTTATGGATTGAATAGCTACTGCACCTTTTCACAATATTCTAATTTTTATGAGATTGTTAATTTGGGGTTTTCATCAGCTGTACACCATAATCATCACAATTATAACAAATAAAGCTTAACATATCTCGCTTTGCATGTCATGAGTCTATCTCATATATTAGTTTCACCTTTTAAATTGAATTACTGAAATAAATGAACTTTTCCACGATATTCTAATTTTTCGAGTTTCACCTGTATGCCATTTTGCTAGCAACTTAACACAAATGTTTCAGTCATTTGTAAATTCCATGACAGATCTGGATCACTTCCAGAAGCAGAGTCACATCACCAGGAATTGTGGAGAGTATGCTTTAACATAAGGGGGTGTCTAGTATACCTATATAATTTCAAAATCTTTCTCTGCTACTTTAATTTTTCATTTCACTTTTAGTTTGTATACCACCTTTCTATATTAGTTTACAAGCTGAAGAAAACCAAGATCGCACACCTTATAACAATCTGGTCCAATGCAAAAACCTTACAATAAAAACAACTTTAAACTAAACAACATACCAAATAAAGTAATATTCAATAATCCATTAGAATATAATAGTACACAATACAATTATCAGCAAATAACAATTAAACAGAAATTCATTCTTAACAATTTAATAAATAGTTTCTAAACTATAATCAATAAAAATAACAGTAAGTCACAGTGCATAAAATAACACAATACAAACTGAGATTCAAAGACACATAACTTATAAAATTATTTTTTTTAAAAAAAGTATCCATGAATTCCCTTTCTCTCTTCCCAGCTGTTTCTGCTGTTCCTAACGGCATGGTCTGAGAAAGACTCCTAGGGCTGGAGGGAGGGGCATGGCAGGTGAAAAAAGCCATTGCCTGATGGCCAGCACAATGTCTCCCCTCAAACATCTCTTATGAAGACTTCTATGGCTGGAGGAAATATGGAAGAAATAAAAAATGCAGGTTGGTCCATTAGATTAACTTGGAGGGTGGGGGTGGGACAACAGTAGTGTAATATTAAGATCACCTTAAAAAATTACAAAGTAGTGAGGAAGCTTTTGAGTTCACCAGAATTTTCTTGAAGCTAAATATGAAGCAATATGAAGCGGGTACGGTCAGGTTGAGAAGATTTTGTCACATGTGGTGACAAATCCCTGTTAGAATTTATAATGGCATAAAAATTGAGTGGAGATGTTATACAGACATAGGAGTCTTTTGTCTAAGGCGACAATGTCCTAGAACTTGAGAAAGAAAACCTATAACCTAATAATGCCTGTGGGAGAAAAAGTAAGCAATACCCAGTTGGTATTGATGCTTTGCCTTGTACACTACCTAATAATAATCTTCAACTTTGTAAATGTTAGAACGACTCTCTTTTTCTTTTTTCTTTGCTCTCTGGCTTAGAAAGGATCAGTGTGTTCTGACAACTGTTAGAAAAATATCTCAATAAGCCATGGTGTTACATTTTTGAAAGAAGCGCAGCAATGGCTCATTTCTCCCCATTAGTCTTTGTAGCAACTGAAGACCATCTTTGCACTTACTGCACACCTACCTGACCCCTACTCTAATGCTATTATAAACTGCAAATTGGCTCTTTTATGAGGCCAGGCAATCTCCCCATCACCACTACCACCTGCCTGTTTGTGCTTAATAGCCACTGTGCTTAAGGAAGCGCCATGTTTGTGGTGCTCACCTCCTTCCTTAGGCATCTGGTGGTAGGCCACTGTGCAAACAGGATACTAGACTAGGTGGGCTATTTGCCTGACCCAGCATGGATGTCCTTATGTTACCATCCTGCCTGAAGAGGAGTGAAAGCTTGCTCACTACTCTGACATTTTACTTGCTCCAAATAAAGGAGTTAAGTTTAAAAAACCAACAAATACATGTACATATACTGCTATTCAGCTTTAGGTGGCACTATTGCCTTATATTAAATGAGGCAAGTTGGCGGTGGTTGACTTATTTGGATTGTAAACCTCACCTGGCACATTCCCTTTCATCATGATTACAATGCATACATTTCAAAGTCTAAAGTGAAATGGTGTAAATCTGTGAGTATAGTTAAAAGCATTTTATAGTCACACGGGCACCGAGTTTGTTCACAGATGTGTTTGTTTTATGCTCACCTCTTTCCAGTGAGTTTATGGCCTGTACTTGAATGAGCATTTATTTTCTTTACATGTGTATTCTAATTTGCACAGTTCTGGATGCTCACATATATCAGATCCATGTGATAGAATCCTGCACTAAAAAAGGACATTATAATGAAATGGCGTAGAACTTGGTTCGGATTTATGGCTGTCAGACTCTTTCCTTTTGAAAAGCAGCTGGATCCACTAGCTCATTGCACTGTTAGCCGTACTCTGCAGTCCATAAACTGGCTTAGATTTTGCCCCCAACTGCACAATCACTTGGAGTTAATGATAATTTTGCATGGGGCAATACAGCAGTCAACAGAAACTGCACCTGCCCCCTCCCACCATTAATGCCTGTCTACTAGATCCCACACCCATGGTCACACAGCTATCCTGGTTCAGGGAGAGGCTGTGCAGCAGACAGGGAAATGAAACATAGGTTTTTCTAGATCAGTATAGTCTGCACCACACAACACCTGGTGCTCTTCAGGTTTTGGGCTGCTGTTATGTTGAGTCAGGCCATTGGACCATTTAGGTTTGTTTGTCTGCAGTGGCAGCAGCAGTCCAGAGTTTCAGACTGGAAAGTGCATTCTGCTACATCCCTCATGACAAATGAGGACTATGGAGGTTGTGCATTGTCTCCCACCATCTCTTTCTAATATATTTCAACTTGAAAAATCACCTGGTGCATAAGTGTCCCACTAGGGCAGGGGAGGATGTTGTGAGCAGACAAAGGTGAATTTGGCACCTGGCACAGATGATCAGTTCCTGTTCTGAGCAGAAACCGTCCATACATTTATCTCAATGATAAAAGCATAGGAATCAATATTTCGGAGTCTGGGGAAAAGTCAATAAGGGCTGTGCTAATTCATTTTCAACACTTTTGCATTTTTGTTGCATAGTGCTGTTTAAGTCAGTTGTAAAATTATATTAAAACCAATTATTTGTATAACTCTCACTTCTTTATCCGTGGGCACTGCTGTTTCCATCTCCCATCATTGGCAGGAAAGATCACACGGATCAACTACAGACAGAATGCTACAGAGTAGCATTCCACATAACTGGGGACAGATTTTTTTTTAAAGGGGTAGAATTCCATCTTAATTTCTGATATAGGTGAATGGAGAATCCTCAAACACTTCAAATCAACTAAAAGTGTGAAGAAAATTAAGTATTGCATTAAAAATTTGTTTGCTTAGTTTCCATAGCAGATTCCACTAGGTGTCAGCCCATGCCTCTTCAAAAGCTGTGTTACGTAGGTGCCCATTTTTATATTTGATTCCAGAAGACTTCATTTTAAGACCAAAGTGTAAAAATGCATTTACTTAAAAGTCCTACTGCGTTCAGTGGGATGTACTACTTAGTAAGAATCCAGTCTATCTTTTAATGTTTATAATCTCTAGTGCCTTGGAGGAGATATAAAATTACTCAGATAGCCACATATATGTATTTAGTGGGAAACGTACTACAGTTCACTGTGCCCTTCCAGCCATCTAATTAATGGCACTTTCACCCTCTGTAAATAACCACTCTCAGTATCCATCTTTGGTACTCACATGCTTTAGGAAGCATCAGCAACTACATGCATGTCAGAGTTCTGACTGGGATCAGAGACAGAAGTTCAGGATATGCAATAGGAATAACCCTGAAGACTTAGGGATCATTCAAATTTTATTGGATTTTACTGGTGGTTGCACAGTTATTAACTCATTTTTACTGATGACTTTTTGGGGGTACATTTCTAGCTTTGAGGATGATTTGATTAAAATGATACCTGTATTGCTAAATACATTGTTTAGATTTATAGTTCTTATCTCTCGGCAAGACAGACCAATGGTTTGATTTAGTGAAGGTAGCTTAGTATTTTAGGGAGGAGCCATAAGCTTAATGGCAGAGCTCATCTTCTACATTATAATTCCTGAAAATTTTAACAGCCCAATTTAAACAGTCTGCACAGGATCCCTGCTGAACCTCTAGGGAGCTACTGATATTTGGAGTGGAAAGGACTGCACTAGATGGCTCAGTGGTCTTCCTTTGCATAAGCCATCTCCATGTGTTTCTATAAACTAAAGTGGAAACCAACACCTAACCTATTTTAATTTTTTAAAAAGTGCACTGCAGTGTGAGATAATTGCAATCCATTACTCAGAATATACAACCAACATCTTTTTAAGCCCTGATCTTTCCATCAGTGTGTTTCATTCATGTGAGCAAGGGAAATGGGGCAGGATAGGAAGCTGAGGAAAAACCAGAGAAAACAATAGCAGTGAGTCATATTTCAAGCTTATTTTGTAGATTCCCATTATAGCAGACCTTTTAATGTAAAACAAAATCTGCCAGAATATTGAAGGGAAGCCAGAATTATTTTTAATTAGGTCTGTATCGCCCAGAACAAATTCTTCCTTTAGAAACGGGCAAACCAGAGTTCCTGCCTTTATGCTGTACACTTGAGTTATTATAGTGATAAAACTTATTTCCCTGTACACTGGAGTCATTGAATGGCTCCTTTTTTCCTGAAGAGTCGTGATGTACTTCTTGCAGCCTTGCCATATAGTTTCCTAGGATCCTCTGTTCTCTCCAACTTCAGCGGAAGCTTAGATTTGTCAAGAGGCTCTTAGTCCCACACAGTACAGTGTCCTCCGAGGACTAGTTTTTTCCAGGACCTAACCATTATAATGCAGAGGTCTTCAACTGAGAGCCACTACATCCACACCATGCATTTAAGCTTTTCCCATAGTATCCTGGGGACTGTAGCTTGTTTAGTTCACTGAGAGTTGTTAGGAGACCCTTAATAAACCACGGTTTTCAGGATTCTTTGGGGGAAGCCATGACTTACAAAGTGGTATGAATGTTTTAAATGTATGGTGTGGTTTCTGATGCTGGATATCAAGGTTTCTACTGCCGTACATACCACTGTTGGAAATCGCAGCCAGTGATGCTTGAGGAATTCAGTCTTTGCACATTTCTCGTTTGAATTGACTTGATCTGCACCTACCAGATGAATGAAAGGATAGAACATGCATATCTTGAAAGTGAGCAGGTTTTAAATTATGTATTTTAATGCAAATTTATATGATTTTTTAAAAATCACATTTAATATGAAAGACCAATGGATCAGCCCGATGGATCATGGGTGAATGTATGCAAAAGTGGCTTAGACTGTAAACACATCCCTATCACTTCCATAGGGAAGAACTTTAATGAGTTTAATGTACCCTCCGAACTGTAGAATCACCAGGTCAAATCTGTTTCAGTTAGGCACCCTGTCCCAAATTTTATAAAAATGCTTGTCCAGTGCTCAGATTGGCTTTGGCTTTAAATTTTCTGTATTTATTCTTGATAAAGCAACAGTATGCCATAACTACGGCATGTTGCACTGGCAGAATGTATTCTCTAGCTGGTTTGTCTACAACCAGACAAACACAGATTCTTGTTTGCTAAAAAGTTTTCTTCAGAATATAAAATAATTTTGAAGCTGAGTCTTTATTTTTACCATTAGAATGAAAATGATGAGGAAACTAATTTGGCTCTGTACTGAAAAAGGAAAACGTATGTTCTGAAGAATTCACGTCTAATAAAAGTAATCTTATTTCGCTATGCCTTCTCCCTTCATGTGGCTGTTGTTAAGATGGCTTTACAAAAGGCTTTTATCCTCCCTCAGTTTAAATTGCTGTGGATAAAGGAGGGTCCCTGTTGCTCAGTTATGTCCGCTATCGATCAACCTGGTTTCTTCAGCAATGGGGACACTCCCCTCTTGCGCAAACATTTGTGTGCCGCTTTGAAGCTCTCCCAATAGTTGCTAAAAGGGAGTGCTTCTCAGAGTTGTGAATTTTAGCAAAATACTTCCTCTTTCAGATATGGCAAGTGCATTGCTTTTTTGTGGAAAATGCAATAGATTGCAATATTAGATGTATAAATATTTCAGTGAAATGCTACTCAGAATCTTTTTGGACTTCTTTGGCCTTTGTAGCGATACATTTGATTGATTGCTTAAATTTAAAACTGTGTAAAGTTCATTTTGGAATATATAGCATATTTGTGCACAGAAACAATTTGGTGGTATACAGTATAGTCATGGCTAATATCAAAACATGATGATGTATCATTATAAACAACTTTCCCCCATTTTTTGTCTTTTATTGGAATGTAACATGAAAATGTGCTCTATTGGCTTTGTATTCCTAGCTATAGCAGATGCCCTATTAACCACCATAATCTACATATATTGTTCTGTTTTTTTAAATCTAGTAATGATACACAAATGCTATGGATTAATGGAACTATGTGAAGTGGGTTCAGTGATTCCCTAAGGGTAATACCTCCATAAATGATGCTTTAGCCTGATAGAGTAATGGCTGCTTGTTCTCTCAAACCACAGTTGGATTCTTGAAATATTTGTTCAGTTTAGGGATCCTAGTAACTTTGAGTTATGAGTTCCTGGGTCTCCAAAGGTTTAGTTTTCATCATCATAATTCATGTGATGGTTTTCACACGGAAAAGAATTAAGCATAAATTCTTATATGGTTATGAGTGTTTGCTTGCATGTGCATATATCATAAATCTTTTCATGTCATCACTTACAAGGTGAAGGACTTTGGCAGCACTTCGACCACAGAAAGCCTCCATTCAAAATGGTTCCTTGTCCTTTCCAATATTTGCACAGCATTGTGTAACCAGTCATTTCCCACATTTTTCATACTCAAGGACTTTGCTTCTTCTATGTATACCTACACTGAGAATGCTCCAAAGGTACTGCATAAAGAACCAAGCCTTCAAAAAAAAAACCCAACCATGCTCCTGTGTACTGCCAAGCGAGACCTGCCTGCTTGCCCCTCTTTACCCAGGGACAATACATTGTTATGACATGGGGTGTGTGGCTTGAGTATCAATGGTTACAAGGGAGCAGGTTGTATGGCAGCCACTTCAGGTCAGGGCCAACATCCCTGGCTTTTTAGGCCAAAGGAAAGTGTGGGCATAGGAAGGCTAAATTGTATGTGAGCATGATGTATGAGATTATAGAACATGCATGCTGCTTACATGACACAGAAGGATTTTACATTTTCATGCTTTACAGTGCATGAGTGAATTGCAAGTGGCTCAACTGAAGGTTCCTTGATATATGTGTGTGAGTGTATGTTTATAATGGGTGAAATCTGGATACCAGCATCTGGTTTTAACTGGTCTAGTAATCTCATTGGTATTAGTGTATATGATTTAGTAACATAAATCCCCCCCCACCAATGCCTGAGATGCTGATAACTGCCAACATGCAATAAATATGATAATGTTCAGAAGTCTTTAGGGACATAAATGTCAAAGATATTTGGAGGCAGGAAGACTATGTGAGACTTTGTGTCCATGTGGCTTCCCCCCTCCTTTTCTTTTGAATAAGTCTTCTGACTATAAATGGAACAAAAATGTTTAGTCTCTTAATCTAGAGATTTGTCTCCTTGTGAAAATGTCAGCAATGCCAGAACATCTGATAATACTTACTTAAAATCTGATTTAGAATTATAGTTATTAATACATTTAAGTAAACGTTGGAAAATATTCAGAGTTCGGAGGGGCTTTTTATATAGGGTATAAGATCATCTGTGTAAAATAAGTATATATAGATCTGTCTCACTACATATTCATACTGTGGAGTCAAAGCCGAAGACAGTAACTGAAAGAAGTCGGAATAATAATAATAAAAAGGCAAAATTCTAGTAACTGATAATGTAATACACTGTAATGGGTGATTTCTGAAACTATATTATTTAGTTGATGGAAGCATGTGAAAAACCTCTTAGAAATTTGTACAAAAAGTGTCTAATTATCAGATCATGTACTGTTCAAAGCAGTCTGTGAACTCATGCAGACTTGAGGGTTCTTAAGACCGAAGTCACTTAGTTCCTCAGTACTTGCCAGCAGAGACCACTACATCTCTTCATGTATACTCCTAAAACAAATGTTCTGTTATTCATCTGTAATCTTTAACTTGGTCAGTCTCTAGACAATGTGACCTAAGGACTGGCTTCCCTGCTCTTTTAGTAGAATGTGTTGATTTGTATTTTCGTGTTCCAAATTTAAGTAGTTGAACTAGGCATTAAGATTAGCTTTGTCACTTTGGGGCATCTTAATCACCCACATGATGTGTCACGACTAAACTAGCCCATCTACTTTACATGTTCCTTTTTCCAAAGTGTAGGAAACTAGACTTGCATGAAATACCACAAGTACCGAACGCACTCATAGGAACTTACCTATGTCCAGAGATTTCCCCGAGATTTTGCTTTGGAGGATGATAGATGCTTGTGATTGTGCCTTTTCACCGTGAGCACTGAGATAATGCAATTTCCTCTCAGAGAAGGGAGGGTTTCTTTTTTGGCGTTTTGACATTGCAGGTAGTTCTTTTTCTGGAGGGTCTTTGAGAACCTCTAGTAATGTCTCTCTGCTTCTCTTTTGCTTTCCCCACCAGATTATTTAACTAATTATTCTCATGGTTATTGTGGGGTGGTGGTGTTGTTCTTTTTATGTGTACTATGGAGCTTTAAAATCGTTTCCAAGCTGCCTCATAGAGTCAACGATATAGATCATTTCAGAGCAAAAGGTGGGATGTGTATTTTGTGCTATACAAATAAACAAATATATACATATTCTTACCTTTGCATGCTGTGGAAACCTGATTTAAATATTAAATATAAATATTAAGTGGACCCCCATACTCTGTGATTTGCTCTTGTTGCAACACCACAAGTAGTAACTTGCACTGCTGCAAGTAACTGAATGCCTTGGGAGTGTGTCCCAGGAAAAATGGATCCCTTCCTTTATGAAATCTAATTGCTGGTATATGCTTGTGCAGGACTGCTGTACCATAGAACTGAAGGGAAAGTAACCCCTTCCTGCACAGTGTGAGGGAGGCATAAAAGTAGATGAACTTATGCTTGGTGCTAGTACCAGAGCAGGGTATAACTTGTGGTGGTAGGGCCATTTCTCAAGAAGCAGGTTCCTAAAATAAGATAGGTAGTCAAACTAATAATTGAAGGCTGCAACCCTATACCTGCTTTCCCACGGTGTTACGGTATGAATGTTTGGAGCCACTCCTGTGCTTGGTATCAGCAGCCTCTTACACTTGGGGAAAGCTCCATTTTTCTTCCCTGATGCCCCAGCCTGCTTGGTCCCTCCCCAGGATCGCCAGCCAGCAACTCTTTGAGCTCCTTGCACCCCTCATCCTGATCTGACCAGCCCCTCCAGGTCATCTCCTCAGGGCTCATAACAGAGCGCTTCACAACCTTTGCAATCCTACACCTAGTTAGGCTCGGGTATAAGAAGAACACCTCCTCTAGCGTAAATTTAAATTGTTTTATTAAGGGGATTTTTAGATACCTAAGGGGAAATGGAAACCTATATTGGGCATCAAAGTGCTAGGTGGCAATTTCCACAGACTTAAGAGCCACAGCTACTATCTCAAGCTTAATTTTCTACCCCCACGAATTTACTTCCACTCCTCCTCACTTCAACCAATTCCCAACTCTCACTCTCTCTCTCTTTTTGATAATTGACCCCCAACTGAATGTTGCCCCTCCAACTGACTGGAGCCTCCAGCTAAACAGACTGAAATCTGCCAGATCCAAGCTACTAAAGCTTAAAGCAACCCCACTCTGCCACAAGTGGTCACTTAGCAACCACTTCTAAAACAGGCTTGTAACATCCGGCCAAAATAAGGCCTCCTGACACTCAGGGAGGTCACAGAATATATCTTCCTTCACAGCAATGAACCTAAGCAGACACCTATACAACTTTCTCCACAACCTGCATTAACTTTTTGCCTAGAATGATGTTGTTAATGGCAAAGAATCTCTGTCAACACTCTTCTTGTAGGGAAGCCAAGGCATCTCTCTCCCCTGACTAGAAATTGAGATTCCACTTTGGAGCATGCTCAGTTGGACACTTTGGAGAGAAATTTCCAGGCTATTTTCTCTCAGAGAAAATGGTCACTGAAGAGAGTTGAAGGTCCATGCTTATGTCAGAGATTTAGAAAACCGGACTCCATCCATTTACAGGTATGTTTTAGGGTTAGTGTCCTACCTTAGGAAACCTGTCAGGAACTGTTTTTGTTTTAAGGAGAAGTTACAATTTCTACCTTCATGGGCTTCAGGCCTGTTTCTGTCAGCAAGTGCCTTTGGATGATTGATTATTTAATTTCTAAAACACTTAGTATATTTACAATATCTCAAAGCAGTGTACAAAAAAGCTGAGCCAACAACAAACAACTTAAAATATAGCAAAAATACAGTTACATATAAAAATAGTACAAAAATAGTTACATATAAAAATGTTACATAAATACAAAGTTACTAACACCCCCCCCCAACATCAATTCATTTTCCTTCTGACACACCCTCCCATCTCAGTTTCTTGATTCTCATTCAGGGTCCAACAAGCTCTCAGCTCATCCCCAAAAGTCTCACAACAAGAAGAGTTCTTGGAAACAGCAGACATCACCCTAGTCTCTCATTCTAGACTTGCTTTTTATGAGCAGGCCCAAGGTGGAGAGTACTTCCTTAGGCTGCCCACAGCTGTGTCTCATTCAGCTACACTCTCCACATCCAGTTCCATGCAAAGTAGACTTGTTGAGTTTCCCAAGATGGGAAGGGGGTTCCCTTACACTCACACCTCTTTCTTTCTTCCTTTTTGAAGAAATAATTTTTATTGAAGATTTTCCTCGTTTACAAAAGCACATGCATTCAGGTTGCATTTTCTACAGATCAGTTACATTTGTCATGAGACATTGGTGTTATATGCAATATAGGGTAGATGGAGTGGAAAAGTTTGTGTTCTTTTACTTAGCGTATGTGTGGGGGTTTTGTGTCAGCGTCCCTTGGGTGGGTTCTCTCTCTATTTGCTTGTTATGTTTCCTTGGTGGTGAGAGAGGCTGGGGTGGCCTAGGGTGTGGTTGATTATCTTGGTTGGGTGCAGTGGGATTTGTTTGTTTGTGCGTGCGTGAGGGGAGGGAGTTGTTGGGTTAAGTTCACCGCATTGAATCATATGCTGTCGGTGGGTTTGTGTTGTTGGGCTGTGCATATGATAAATGGAAGCCATACCGGAGTAAAGGCGTCCTCTTCTATTTGTCCCCATGTCATGTTTCAGTCTATTGGTTAGCTTTTCTAGTAAGGCTGTTTCCGATACAGTGGTACCTCGGGTTACATATGCTTCAGGTTACAGACTCCGCTAACCCAGAAATCGTACCTTGGGTTAAGAACTTTGCTTCAGGATGAGAACAGAAATCGTGCAGCAGTGGCACAGCAGCAGCAGGAGGCCCCATTAGCTAAAGTGGTGCTTCAGGTTAAGAACAGTTTCAGGTTAAGAACAGACCTCCAGAATGAATTAAGTTCTTAACCCGAGGTACCACTGTACTACTTGAAACCAGTGTTCCATGTTTATTCCTGACAGGTCCCTCCAGTGCCTGGCTATGATGTTTCTGGCTGCTGAGAGTAGGTGGGTTATGAGCTCTTTATAGTGTGAGTGGGCATTGTGATCAGTGCAGCCAGTTCTGGGGTGACTTCTAGTACCTGTTTAGTTATTTTGCTTATTTCTTGTATGACTACTGACCAGACAGCTGGGTTTTGGGGCATTCCCTTTTCTCTGGCTTTTGATAAGTTCTGCTAACAGTTCTATTTGCTGCTGCTTTCAGTGCTTATGGCAGGGTTGTTAATTGTTGCTTGATGTTGTTTCTGCTATCTTTATAAATGTTATAAAGGTGTTCTAAATAATAATAGTGGCAAAGTCGGATATAAATATTTTGTAAAAAATCAAAATGGGGTGGTATCGAGGATTTCTACATGATGCAAGCTTTGAGCATACTTACTAAAACATATGTTTGACTTTTTACACTTTCACTGATTGTAAAGATGGAAACATTAGCATCTGCTTTGTTTCTGAGATGACCTTAGTCTTTTAGTGCAGAGGTGTGGGAACCTGTTTAAATATCACCAGGAAACATTTAGAAGACTATTGTGTGCACAAAATTTTCCTGACACAGCATGGGGCTTTCAGATGAGAGCTCCACAAACAAGAAGTAACTATCGGTCAGTTTGGGTTTTGTTGATAAAAGAAAATGTTCATGTCCCACAGCCAATATTTAGAAGTCAAAGACAGCATAAAGGGATAGAATGTTCTGTTCATAGGATAATTTTGGATCCTTTTAACAGTTCTTACAATGTTTTTATTCTTTTGGGTTGGGGAAAGTTTTTGTTGTTGTAATTTTGATTGTTAATGCTACAAATAGTTTTCGCAATGCCAGAACCTTTGGCCCAACATGGGGCTCAAACCCACGACCCTGAGGTTAAGAGTCTCATGCTCTACCAACGGAACTATTGATGCATGGGTACTTTTCAAGTTTGGAAGCTGCATTTTCTTCTGCTAGGCCTATTACTCTGCAGATAATTATTTCTGTATCCAAAAACATCCAGTTCATTCTAACAAAAAGTGACGCATGCTTGGTCTCCTCTTAGATTGAAAGAAAGATATCTGACATTGTGGAAGTTGGTTTAAAGGAAAAATTGTGACTATTCAGCGCCGGAAGAAGTAGCTTGGGCACCTGGGGTGACGCGCCCAGCGGTGGGGCGAGCTGCCCATAACGGCAGGGCACACCACGGGGCCTCTGGAGTCTGCCTGCCTCCTTCCACTCAGCCGCCCTACAGCTGGGGGAGAGGCAGTAGGTGGACCGTTTGGGCAGTACGGAGCCTGTGTGTGTCCAAGCCACCATGTCTCTCCCAGGAGAGATGCATGGCTCGGGTGCGCTGCAAGCCCTGTGGTGATTGCCGCCCGGCATTTTGTCACCCCCCTCAATGGTGACACCCGGGGCAGCTTGCACCCACCGCACCTCCTTCCTCCACCCCTGACTATATTCTACAGGGGAAATGGGTTTGTTCTATTTTTAAATTATTGGAATTGTTATTTAAAAAAAAAATCACTTGGAAATATGTATTTTGATCATTTATATTGAAATATTGTGCAGTATAACACACACACACACACACACACACACACACACACACACACGAACATGGATACAAAGGGTTGAGGCATTTACAAGTTTTCTCATTCCCCCAAATTGTGGATATTGTAGGTGATGGCACCTGCCTTAACACCATGTAAATGGTATGTTTTGCAGTCTTATGTAGGCTTCTATACCCATGCTTTTCTTTACTTGCCTTCTATTGTAGGTTGGGCTCAACCACAGCACCGAAGCTGGAGTCTTTAGTATGTCAAAATTTAATGAGATATATGTGTTTACATTCTAAACGCATAATTATGACTGCCAGCCACTTGCATAGCCTTTCTTAAGCTGCAGAGTGCATTCTTGTACATATTTTAACCAAGAGTAAAACAAGCAATTTATCCCAAGCATTGTCAGAGCGTTAGACAATTCTAACTTATTTTAAATGAAGCCAATTTTTGCAAAGGAGAGTCCTTTACATTTTATTCAGAAATGGTGGACTTCTCAAAAGTGTTGTGTGTGCCATTTTATGATGAAAGACGCTTGCCTGTTGGTCTCCAGCCTTGTATTCCTTCTCTACTCTCCCTAAATTGTACATAGTTAGAACTATTTATTTATTCCATACCCTCCAACATTTCTCTGATGGAAATAGGGACATCCCATTCCATAATGATAATTTTACTATTTATACCCCACACATCTTACTTGGTTGCCCCAGCCACTCTGGGCAGCTTCTAACATATATAAAAACATCATAAAACATTAAACATTTTAAAAGAACTTCCCTATACATGATTGCCTTCAGACAGCTGGGGGTGGGGCAGATAACTCCATACCCTCCAACATTTCTCCAATGAAAATAGGGACATTCTAAGGAAAAGTGGGACATTCCAGGATCAAATCAGAAACCAGGACAGCTTCTCTAAATCAGGAATGTCCCTGGAAAATTGGGACACTTGGAGGGTCTGTTATTCCATTATCTCTCAATGAAACCATATAGGAAAAGCAGTGTGCTTTAGTTTTCCTCCAGCACTGGAAGAGAAATGAGGGTGAAAGACCAGGGAAGTATGAGTGTATGGAAGTTAAGTTCTAGGCAAGCAAATATAGGAGACTGAAATGTGTTTAGTGTTGACATGGTGGAGAAGTTAAAGCAAGTGCCTTAACTTACAATTTCCATGCTTTTTTGGTACATGAGTAGGTTTGTAATTGCCTTAAGTGTTCTCTTAAACCAGAGGATTTTTTTTAAAAAAACCCTAGAATAGGATTATAATGACTGACAACTATTAATCTTCATAATGTTGTTGCAAAGTATTTTTTTAGCGTAAACTCAAAAGCACAATTATTCTTGCTTTGTTATTATGCAGTGTTGAACCAACACTAGGATATTATTTGCACACACTTATAAAGTTGATTATTAATATTGATCTCTTGCTTTTAAAAATGTCTGCACTTAATCTGCTCATAACGCATATGGACAAGCTAAAGCTGGCTTATTTAGGGAGCAGTAGAGTAGCCTTCAGATTAGCATATTTTTTTGTTTTGTTTCCTAGGGACCAAGTGCTAAGTCTATTAGACATTTCCTGCTATTCTTTTGAATTGTAAATACTATTCTTGTGCCTTGAAAAGGCTAGTGTGGAGGGAAATCCATGAAATGTCCAATCTATTATGGACAGAGATTTGAGAAGCAAGAAATGATTTTTAAAAATTCAGATAAATTAAGTTCAGTACATTTAAATTGCAGTTCCGAACTCTGGGGTTTATGTATTTGGGATTCCCCAAGCATTGCTTTTGACCTTTTGCCACAGTTGTTTTAAATAAAAAAGAACGTACTGATAATTTCATAAATATATGTATGTTCATATCTGGAGAATTGTATTTGTACCAGTTCATACTCTGGAATAACAATGATAAGCATTTGGCCTTGTGGGTATGTTCTGCTTTAAAATGTTCCTCCAGTAGGCAAGTGCAGATGTTTTCATTCTAAGGTTCAACTGTTTGTTTAGCTCATGGAAAAAAGTATGTTCTTAAAATGCAGAGAGACTGAAACACAGTGTACACTGTGAGACTTCTGATGTTTACGGCAGGAAGCAGCTGATTGAAAAAGACAAGAAATCACACAACCTAATGAATGTTAGCTTTGCGTAAGGTACTGAAAATGAAAGAAGACCACCCATGCAGAAGACAAGTGTGGTTAACTTTTCCTTCTGTTTCTGCACTAATTTGAATGGCAGTATCTCTCCAGAACTCAGTCACTGCTGTTTATACCTATATTTAAATGTTTTAAATGCCTGACGCACTTTTTATGACCTTAGTTTTTAGGATGCTTCCAGTTGGAGCTTAATATTGTGAATGGGTCATTTGGATATTGGATGTTGGGAACAGTAAAAAAATAAAATAAAAATACTTACCAGATTTTCCTCAGAAAGGGTAAATCTGAATTAAATGGTGGTGGTGGGGATTTGGGCTTGCATTTTGATACCAACTATGTCATGTGAAAAATGTGAATGTATATGGAGCATAGATCGAGCAAGAAATCCTGCCTAGGTATTGAGGGTGGGGAACAATGATGACCTGGTCTGATTCATTTCTACTGAGGCTAGGGATTACTTTTTTAGATTACAGTGGTACCTCTGATTGTGAACAGGATCCGTTCCGGAGCCCCGTTCGCAACCTGAAAGGAACGCAACCCATGTCTGTGCACACACAGGTTGCGATTCGCTGCTTCTGCGCATGTGCATGATGTCATTTTGCGCGTCTGCGTGAGTGGCAAAACCCGGAAGTAACCCTTTCCGGTACTTCCAGGTCACCGTGGGACACAACCTGAAAAGACGTAACCTGAACTGAATGTAACAAGAGGTATGACTGTAGTATGTTCTTACTATAGTGGACCACTGAGGCTATTCTTATCATCTCCATATCAGCAAGGGCTGCAACAATTTTCAGATATGGGTGAGCTAATGATGCTTTGAAAACTTTTCATTTGGCTTATAGCATGTTGTTTTGAAGAGAGGGAGCCCTCCCTCTGAATTTGAAGGCAACTCTCTAAACTGAGAGAGGAGGGGAGGATATTGCTCTTTCATAGAGGAAAAGGTGATCAAATGGGGGACAGCTGCCAGTGGGCGCGGGGACGCCAGGCAGGGTTGTTGTTTTTGTTTCCTGCAATTTTTGGTGCTCTGCAGAAATGCAGGAATCGTTAAAGGGCTGGGGCTCTGCCAAGCGATCTAGGTGAGACAGGTACAGGAGCCCTCAGAGAACAAAACATTGGCAACGCAAATAGACAGAAGGGAGTCAACCCTTATTCAACTTTCGCATATCCAGCTGGCCCTGTCTACCTACCCCAACTTCCCCTGAACCTTCTATTGGGGTTTCTCCCTTTTCCCACTCTTCCACCCACCTATTTCCCCTCAGCCACCCTGTCCATTTGTGACATCACAGGAAGTTTGTAGCCAGCGGCAACTGCTAGGAATGCATCTGCACAGCCTCCCATCCTGGTACTGGAAAGGGGAATGTTATGAACATTACTTAGACATATTTAGAAATACATTGATTTAGAAGTAGAAGATGGCTTGCTTAAGCTCTGCTGTCCTCTTCACTGCTGCTTTCGGGGAAAGCCTTATTGGCTTCTGACATCCATGAAAAGCAAACACAGATACAGTGAGGGGAATGACCATCATTCAACAGTATCATCCAGCCACCTCCATTGACCAGCCTGACAACCTCCGCTGGCTTCCACCGATGAATATCCAGTGGTTCATTCACCCAGAGCCTGAAGGGCAGCTTACACCGCTATCTGAACATGCAATTCCCAGGCATACCGTGTCTGGTGGGTGACCTATATCTATTCTCCATTCATACTTATCCCAGCATCAATCCACAAATCATCATCATTTTTTAATTTGTATACCGTCTTTCTATCTTACAATATTAAAGGCTGTTTACAAGCTAAAGAAACAAAAAATGTACTTCTTATAACAATCTAATGCAATACAAAAATGTGATAATAAATTTTTTAAATAGGCAACCTACATCAAAAAAGTAACATTCAACAATAATTAGAGTAGTATTAAATAATAACAACATATAAAAGTTAAACAGAAATTCACTCAACAGTTACAATAAATAATTTCTAAACTATAATCAATAAAAGAATGGCAAGCCACAGTACATAAAATACAAATTGAGAAGCAGAGACTAGACGGTGGGACAAGGCAGGTGGAAGGAGGCCTTGCCTGATAAAGTCTCTTCCCTCACAGTTCTTCCTCTAGGACCTGCTCCCTTATGAGGACTCCGAGGGTTGGAGGGTGGGGCAAGGCAGGTGGAAAGAGGCCACACAGCTTTTGTCAACAGCCTTATGAAAGTGAATTTCAATCAGCTTACATGCACAAACTTCAGCCTCCTTCAGACCTACAGCATCCCGGGCTTCCACATGCTAATAACAGCTTCCGCCCACCAATACCTGCTAGCTTCTGCCAGGTCCACCACTAGCTTCCAACCATGGATATCTGCCGCTTTCAAGCCATGGTCCTACTCAGCAGGTACACTTGCCTTCTCGTTGCTCCACATCATCTCATTGACAGATGATGGCCTCCTTCCATTTTCCACTTCGCCTCCATGTGGAAAGAGACCACCAAGTACTGAATAACACAGCTGTTGTCCACTGTGTCCTCTTCAAGCTTTTGCCTTGGCTTTCCCCTTGGGCTGCTTTTGTATATCCACTGAGCTGCCATGTGCTTATGTGACATCACAGGACATCCACAGCTAATAACAGCAGCTGGAGAGGCATCATCATCATCACTTCCTCAGGCCTCACAATGGTGGGTGGAGCTCAGCAGCCATTTCCCCTTTGCTTGTTTATTATGTACAGCTCACGCCTTATCTGTAATGACACCAGAGAAAGGGATTATTTTTCATCCTGATGGCTGCATTCCCTTGGGTCAGATTTTCCAACTCCCAAGGGCCAAGGTCTCTTCACATCCCCTCAAAAATATTGATTAGTTGATTAGTTGCATCAGGTGTGCTTGAGACAACACCTGTTTCGTGCTGTTGTGAGGGATTCTATTCAGGGGGTTGAATAATATGTCGGAGAAGCCAGTATAAACTGCAATTTCTGCTGATTTTGGGGGGAACCACTTGAAGCATCTGCTGTGTTGAGCTATTTCAGTTGCTTTTGTTTGATTTGCTCATTGCCAACAGATAAAAGTCTGTAAATTTTGATAATAAACCTGATTTGCAATGGGGAAAAAATGGGGGACAGCTCTTCTATTTGAGCCCCATTTCCTTGGTTACTAGAGGAGCCAGTATGTTGAAGTGGATGAAATATTGGGAAGGCCTTGGTTCAAATCCCTACTTGGGCAATCACTGTTTCCCAGGCTAATTTACCAGTTTCATGAGTTTCATGAGAATAAAATGGGACAGCAACAAATATATAATCCTGAACTCCTTGAAGGAAGGATAGGATGAAAATGCAGAAATTTTTCATTGCTGTTTTTAAAATAGGATTTTGCAAATCTGAATCATGTAACCAGGCTGCTTAAAGTGTTTGTGAGGTTGAGTTTGTATGACAAGCTACACCTGCTGACATTCTCTTTTTGTGCAACTATTACATTATTGACCATTTTGGCCAAGAACCTTGAAGGCTCCAGTTTTTATATTCTGGTCAGGCAAGCATTAAACCATTAAACAAGTCTTACTCTTTTCAGGCCTTATGCCTGCAATTCACCACAGTTAAGGCAGATTCTGTGCGAAGGGTATGAAATGTAGCCTTAGGAGTTTTTAATTTGGTTCAGAGTCCTACAGTATTAATGTTCAGTGGACAAATCTAAGCTGTCTCTCTAGTGCCTTGCTCTCTTACTATTAAATGAGCAAATAAAGAAATTTATTCGAAACTAGTTCTGAAATGTATAATCCCATAAAAGGTAAAGGTAAAGGTACCCCTGACCATTAGGTCCAGTCGCAGATGACTCTGGGGTTGCAGCTCTCATCTCGCTCTATAGGCCTAGGGTGCCAGCGTTTGTCTGCAGACAGCTTCCGGGTCATGTGGCCAGCATGACTAAGCTGCTTCTGGCGAACCAGAGCAGCGCACGGAAATGCCATTTTACCGTCCCGCCGGAGCGGTTCCTATTTATCTACTTGCACTTCGACGTGCTTTCAAACTGCTAGGTGGGCAGGAGCTGGGACAGACCAACGGGAGCTCACCCCGTCGCGGGGATTCGAACTGCCGACCTTCTGATCGGCAAGCCCTAGGCTCTGTGGTTTAGACCACAGCACCACCCGTGTCCCTGTATAATCCCATACAGTACAGTAAATCCCCAAAAGGCATTGCCCACCATCTTTTCAGCACTATATGACAGTGCTTGAGGTTCAGACATATAAAGACTGAAGACAGTCAAGTCAACAGCATCCTGTATTCATAGACCCCCCTCCCACCCTGAATGTCTGTGGACACACACGGGCCAGTTTCTATCAGTTTTCATTCCCCTCCATCCTCTTCATTTTTCAACACTCTTACAAACAAGTACTAGAAATATGGCCAAGCACATGGAGGTTTACTAATCAGCAAGTAGGTGGCAATAGTGCAAAGACATTTTACAATGTGCAAGGTGTATTTCCAATGGAATTTTTTCTCTTCTTTGTGATGCTGTTTAAAATCAAGCCTCCTCCAACTAGTCCCTCATTGGTGTAACTTCCTCATATATCAGTGTTCTGTATCTGAGAAACAAGTGCCAACATGAGATAAGACACCTAAATGGAAACACATTTAAATCAAGACTTTGACAAGATTTTAACATTTGTTGCACCTCCAGCTATAGGAAGGCTTACATGCTTCCTTAGGCCCCCAAAGTCTGCAGGTACAGCTGTGTTTTCCTTTCTCCAAAAACCCAGTTCTTCTCTTCTTTGACTCACAATGGGTGTGCTTTGTTCTTTAAGATAAATGTTGCCTAGTTTACAGAATAAAACTTTTTTTTGGAGACTAGCTGTGAGGCCTGACATTATACTGCCAAGAACCCCATCTTCAAAAGCTCTCGTCCTGCTAGCTATGGTGAAGTGATGCATCTCCTTATAGTTCTCTGCTGGAGAGGAGGCTAGAAAAGGGTTATAATCTGAATGGACAGATGACGGTCTTGCACCTGATGGAATCACTGGGTATATTGTTATTAGTTTTTTGCTAGTATCAGGAAGCAGTCCAACATATGCTCTTCAATCTCTTTAATGCCAAGTAAGGTGGACTTTAAGTAATGACCCCTATCCCGCACACTCTTGAAGTCTCCCTCTCTCTAGGTCAGTGATTTACGAGCATTGCACTTTGCAAAAAGGAACTTTTTAAGGCTAAACAGTGTTTCAAGGCGACTTAGAATAAAGCATAGAAATACAATAGAAATAAATAAGTTACTATGACCAGCAACTAGTTTCCCAGATTCAGATTCTAGTATGACAGCAGCAGCTGTTACTGGACTGGGAGAACTTGACAGCAGTAGTCCAAGCATAGGTGATGTCAGGGCAGGACTACTGCAGTGCTTTCTATGTGGGGCTTAGCTTGCATTTGGTCCAGAAACTACCATTGGTGAAGAATGCTACAGCACCATTACTAACTGGAGTGAGACCCTGTCAGTGTTATTACAGCTCTGCTCAGACATCTCCATGGGCTGCTGATTTGTTACTGGGCCAAATTCAATGTGTTACTATTAGTATATAAAACCTTTCACTGCTTGAAGCCCGTCTGCTGCCTTACCCTCATCTGTCCATTCAACCACTTTAGTCTGTGGAACTGGCACAAGTGCCATGCAACAACTTTTCTGCACTTGAAAGGGATGTATATTTTTAACTACTGATTTTATTAACATTAGGAATTCTTTATATATCAATTTGTTTTTTTAAAAAATTCTGACTATTATAGTAATTTTAAGTTTTATGTAAACCATGGAGAGGTTTCAACAATGAAGCAAGTATACAAACTTATTAAATAAAAAAATAAAGAAGAAGAAGCCATGATTGTCTGAAAGATTGATTTTATGCATGGGTTAAACCAGGCTTCCTCAACCTCGGCCCTCCAGATGTTTTTGGCCTACAACTCCCATGATCCCTAGCTAGCAGGACCAGTGGTCAGGGATGATGGGAATTGTAGTCTCAAAACATCTGGAGGGCCGACGTTGAGGAAGCCTGGGTTAAACCCATAGCTGTCAACTTTTCCCTTTTCTTGCGAGGAATCCTATTCGGAATAAGGGAATTTCCCTTAAAAAAAGGGAACAGTTGACAGCTATGGTTAAACCTTGCATCTTTTATGTCTTTTTTAGAGCTAAGTTGTATCTCATGGGTACAGTGTCATATTTTCCTTCTTCTAAAACTATATTTTTTCCTTATAGAACCATGTTTTCATGATCTTTATCAGCTAGACTGGTAAAGAAGAAGTGATTTATATGTGTTGTATGTGCAAAATAACATTGTGCCATCAGATGGCGATGTAGAGTCTCGTTTTTCTCTACCTGTTTTCCCTGTTTAAATTTACAACGCTTTAAACTGAAACATTTCTTTGATGTGTCTAGATCCAGCCTAAGCATTGATAATAGAGTTTTACATTTGGAAATGCCAGAACCCCTGCTTCTATTGATTCATACAATATGCTAGATGATACTCTTGCTATTTTCCCTTTTTATACAAAAAACAACATAGCATTTTAGTAGATAAAGCACTTCCAGTGAAATATTGAGAGAGAGAAATGCAGATTCTTGGGAATAAGTTAATTTTAAATTCTGGTATTTTACCCAGCTTTGGGGTTTTCAATTCAGTCGATTTTGTTGATCCTTTTTTTTATTTCTTGTAGAAGTTAAATTATGATTAAACTGTATTAATTAATCCAAGTTAGGTGTTAATCAAACTCTTGCACTGCCCCCCTCCTCCCCACCATGGGACAGGTCAGGTCTACGCTGAATTTTCTTTGGTCTTCTCCGTATTAAACCTTATCTATTTGGACTTGGTTAAATTTACCCTGTAGCCTAGTATTTGTCCATACCCCCAACCTCCAACACCCTTGTCATTCTCAAAATGGTGCTCACTCAGAAACAGTACTACATCATCTGTATATAGGTTAATCGTCAATGATTCTTTTCCTACCATTATCTTTTGTTCTGCCCATATTGGAAACCCTTTTGTGAACAACAGTGGAGACAATGGGCAACATTGCCATTCCGGTTGCCAGTATTGAAGCTATGGTTTTTTCTGATATATTAACTTTACCCATGCCATTTTTCTTCTGTTATAAATTAAGGGCTTTTTATTATAATTACATATGTTATGTTTAAAACTGAATATTTTCACTATCTGCCTCTATAATATATAAACACTTTACCTGCAATAATATTTTTAAGAGTGAACAAAAGGATACCGGCACTATGCCAAACCCATAATGTGTGTGTGGAGGACACCCCAAGAATCAAGGGTTCCCTAAAGTTTCAAATGGATGACCTATAATTCACTAGCCTGGCTTGGGAGGCTGATAAAGATGTGCATTTGAGTCTTGTGAAGTTTTCTTTATATAAATAAATTGCATTTATTTACAAATTAGAATAAGGCAACTCCTCAATGGTGGTGGCTGACATAGCTCTAGGGTTATACATCATGTTTTACATGAGCAAATGTCAGATTCTTGTTCCATGGAACGTACAATCCTAAACTATTCATATTTAGTAAATACAAGT